GAATTTCAGCTATTTCAGCTATTTTCAGCTATAGGTATCAAAAAATAGCTGAAATTCAGGGCTATTTTTTGACATCTAAACGCGCATTGTAGCATAAACCAGTATCGAGAAAAACTCGTTCAAAGCTAGACTACGCAACACTCCACATCGTCATTATGGGGGTGGGGTACTATTACAGTATTTACGGTAGGTCTGATTTCTGGCTAAACCAGGTATTTTTGAGCTGATGGTGAATCATTTGACTTCAAACGGCTAAGTTTTAAATGACTTTACTTTAAATGTAATCTAGATTTGTCATGTTTTCATGCAAATCACTGGCTTCTGACTGATTCAGTTAATCCAAGCTAGGTGCTAGTCTTAAAGCGTTAGTTAAATACCTTACTGCAGACCTTTAAGGTACATTTTCTTGTTCATATGTCACAAATTTTTTGACTTTTCTGCCATAAAACTATTTCAAATCTAAGTCAACAAAGCTTGAATGTAATCTATGTTTATCTTTACCATATCCCTTGTCAAAGACCCCGCTTCTAGCTTAAAGGTGGATCTTCTTTAAGGGTCAAACACATTGCCGAATCACTCAAAAAGGGGCAATCGACCGCAAAAGAACCAACCAATCGAGAGAAACCAACATCAAAGGCTCTGTAGGGATTCCTGCCTAGGGGTAATTTGCTCCTTCCAATCTTTGGGTTCCACCTGTCCTTTTCTCATTCACCAAACAGGTGCTAATTGCACGATTTCACGGCAACTTCTTCTCCCGAAATTTTACTGTACTAATAATAGGGCATTTGTCTTTGTGCAAGAGAGAAAGAAAAAGAAAATCATTAGCGACAATTACAAGTCATTGTTCGCACTTAAATCATTGAGTTGACATGATTGGGTAGAACAAAGTCTGAGTTTTCGAAAACTGGCTAGCTCAAAGATAATGTTTTTAGCTCAAAGATGCTATTCTATTGAATCTTTCTATACAATGAATTTCCCAAGCCTCACCAATGACCAGATCTTTGACCCAGAAATACCTCTGAATTCTAAACTTGTGTGGCACAAAGTTTTCCCCACAGTTATTCTCTCAAGTATGCATTCATTCGGCCGATCAGGTGTTGTGTGGATGGAAAAAAGTTGCGATTTTTGGAAAATAAACCCTAGACTCTGGTTCGTTGCATGTTTATTAGTTATAGTAATTAGTACTTGACTTTTAAACTTAAACTTTTAAACTATGCAACGACTAGGGCGGCTAAAGATCTCAAAAACTTAAAAGAAGTCATTACCAAGTTGAAATCAGGCTTGTCTGGCTTGTTTAGAAGTGGATTCTTTAAGTCAAAATCAAGACCAAACTGGCTTTGGAAATTCCCAGATAAAAGAATCGAACAAAAAGTAGGCGAAGAACTGTTAGAGTTTCTTTGTAAAGTAACTCTAACTTTGTTAGATTCAGAAAACTTCTAGACACTCAACTATTGAAGCATCTTTTCGTAATGGTGTGAAACAGTAGGCTCACTCACAGGAAATCCCATTTCTCGGGCTACCCAACTCATCTTTTTAAGACATTTCTTTTTAAGCTCTATTCCCTTTCCTTTCTCAATCCTTGCAAATCACTCCTTCCTGTTCTTTTTCACTTTTCACTATCTTTTGAGGTGAAAATGGTTGCCATGAGTACTCCACAATAACTTTACTTGTTACCACTTCAAACAGTGCAAAAAGCACTCTCAAGATTAGAACTTTTCCTTTCTCACAACACTAACGAGTTCAAATTATAAGAACAAGATCAAGATCAAGATTTTCAATGCAAAACTGACCTTTCTTCTTGTACAAAACTAATCTCAATCTACAAGATAGACTTTTTACACAGATTTTCATCACTAACTTGCCTCAAATCTCATCCTAAACGTACTCGACTTCATTTTTTTGCCTGAATTCCTAAGAGATTCTTTTCTCATCTTTATTCCTTTGAAAGAGTCCTCTATTCTTTGGTGAAGTCTTCTCTTGTTCTCCAAAAAGTCTTCCCTCTCCCTCAGCATGCATACTCGATCACGTTGTGGAAAGTACTTTCATTCACACCCCATTCCCATCATATTGTATGTTTTTTGAAGTTAAAATATTCCAATTCTAACTTATCAGATTTGGAGTTTGTTTATCTGTTTATTATTTGTTTTTAATGCATACTGTCGTTCAAGTTTTGCAGATCAAGCTTTGGATTACGCTTTGTATAGAAAGATCCTTCCTGATTTTTATAGAAAGAACTTTTTATTGATTGTAGAAACCAGCAGCTTTACAGCAAAAAAAAAATTTGGAACAAAGAGCAAAAGAATTGACGGCGAGAGGAGTCGAACCCGCGACCTCGTTAACCACTCGGCCATGCTCTTGGCATGGCCGAGTGGTTAACGGTACTTTTGATTTTTTTAAAATTTAAAACCTGCTGCACAACTACATGGGATTCTAAACTAAACTAACTATAAGTCATTTGAAATGACCCACTGGCGCGGCGGAGTAGTGCGCACAGACAAACAGACACTACTCTTTTATATAAGTAGACCAGGCGAGAAACCCGCCTAAAGGCGGGTTTTCTCGATGTTTTCGGGAGCGACGGCTTTTGTCGCCGTGGAGGAGTGGATAGCGCTCCGGTCTATCGCCCATACGATCCGGGTTCGACCTCCCCATGCGCGACTCGAATCGTGCTTTTTAAAAAATCCAAAAGGACGTTTCACAACTACTTGTAATTCCCTATTCAACGGCGCAAAAATCATTGCAAACGGTCCTCTGGGGGCTGAGGAGTAGCGCGCACAGACAGACGCGCACTGACAGACAGACGTCTTAGTTCCTTTATATATAGTAGATACTCTCAAGCGAAACGTTTAAAAGTTATTTGAGCTAAGTTCCTATTGAAAAGCTTGTTTCTCTAGAGTTTAAAAATGAAGCCTAAACCATTATTTTTTAATTACCTAAGTTTGAGAGACGTCATGAACCGTTATCACAATCAACTCAACAAACTGTGCAACAAAATTAGGATATGCTTGTAGAAGAACAGTGACAAAGTCAAATTTTATAATTATAGTTATAAAGGGAATGATCAAAAGTTAAAGTATTATTATTTTAAGGCTAAAGGGAATGACTAGATCTCAATTTCTATTTAGAACATGCCATCACTTTCCAGCATTCTTTAATTAAGCACCAAACAAATTTCTCAATGATTTTTCCCTCCTTTTGCTTATCCCACGTTGATCGATGAAGTCTCGCCAATTTTTGACAATTTTCCCCTTTTGCAATCACACAATCCATCCTCGTTTTTCTTTCTTAATCTAGTGATTGTGAGGGAATCCCTTTCTCAAGGAGTCGAGAAGACCAATTGCTTCCACCCTCAATTCACCGATCTATCACCCGGTGTGTCCAATTTCTCTTCTTTTATTAATCGATTGGTCGATCGGGGTAACAAATTGTTGTTTCACTTTAGCTTTCTCGTGATTTATTTGATTTCGATTCACTTTTACTCTTAACAGTAAGCTTTACTGATTTTTGAACTTCAACTTGTAAGCTCTAACGAAACTTTTAAAAAGTTAAATTTGTATTTTTGGTTTTAAAGTTATTGGGTTGGTGAATTGAAAACTGTGGGCTATTATCATATGTGACAGTTTGAGCACTTTCTTCAAAAGAAACCCACTTTGGTGTCAATGGAAAAGTTGTAGAGAATCAAAAATCAAGCTTATATCCAAATTTTCAGAACGATTCAAAAACTGGTTTTCAAGAAATGCCAAATTTACGAATTTTCACAAAACTTGCATTTTAAGCGAAACTGCTAAGTGTATCTTTTTGGAAATTTGGCTATAAGCCTAATTTTTGATTCTCTACAACTTTTTTATTGACGCCAAAATGGGTTTCTTTTGAAGAAGGTGCTCAACCTCGGACATCTCCAGTCCTCCATTTTTGAGTCTCACACTTGTCTCACACACAAACCAAAATCCTACTACGAAAGAGGAATCCGCAAATTGCCTGTAAAATGGGCAGAAGTCATCAATAATAATGGAAATTATTTGGGATGAATTGATGATTTTATGTTGAATAAATTTTAGTTCAAAGTCCGACAGCTTTCAATTCACTAACCTAATAACAACTCTGACCTAAATCTAAGAAATTGACCACCTTGCCAACTTCAAATCAATTACCTAGCTGTGAGTGACATTTTCAAAATCTTCGAGTCCATAACCGGGTCAATAGATATATTTGTGCTACCTGGTGTCCCGTTCTGAGCGGACAACATAACAAGCACTCTTTCTTGAAGAGATCTTAGGTACCCTTTGATCTTCTTTCCCCCTTTCCCTCCAAGGGCCGGATATGGTCATTCTTCACAAGAGCGTGTTCGACAAACATGATGGAAGAGTCAAAACAATTTCCAATTTCAAATATCTTTCAAATGTCTTTCAAAATTATCTTGTTTTATCCTAGAAACTAACTTCGAACTGATTACAAAAGTTAGCTCGAAAATTCCGTAATTTCCGATTAGTTGTATGTTCTTCTATAGTAATTTCAAAGAGTACTAGCTCAAAAGTATCGAAAGCTATCGAAAGAACAAAACCCATTGCACTTGAGGCAAATAGAAAGCCTGACTACAGACAGAATTTGTAAAGCTTCACTAGCTTGGACTTGATTCCTGTTGAGCTCTAGCCGTGAAGTGCTGAAGTTTAAACGAGCTTGAAACAGATCAACAATTCGTTTGGCTTCCGTTTTTAACTGACCCAGTAGCTCTTTTCTGAAAGAATCTGTGTCCCCTCCCCTCAAGACTCCGCCCCACTCCTCCCTTCATTCCTTTCCCATCCCCTCCATCCCTCTCCTCCCTTTTCTCAACCCCCACGCGTCTCCACGAGCAGGTCGTAAATCACTAAAACTGCTCGTAAATTACCCACCGAACAAGTCTTTGCTTCTTTATTCGCTATCGATCATTGGCCAAACGATTACTGTATTTCCGACACTTTACTGTATGAGTTTATCATCGTGAAAGTGCGAACGGTTTTATGATGACGAGAATAGGTAATCTTGAAATCTTTTCGAGAAATCTTGAAAATAAGTGGAAAGCCTATGAGTCATTTGTAAATTAAAGCTTATTAACGAGGTTCAACTCCACTTTAGAACAATGACGGTGTTAGATTCAAAAATCCCCCCTCCCACTTTTTTCAATTGTTATTTTATACTATACGAGTGCTTGATGGGGCATTGGGAGCGTAAATTTTCTCACTCTCCTCTTTTTTGCATCGAAAATCCCATCTATTGGAACTCTTGCGGGTCTCCAGCTAGGCTTTAGATGAAGGAATGAAGGGGAAAAGTGGGACGAGCACACGCAACATTTCCCCTTCACATAGAGCAATCATCTCCCTTCACACTCAATAAGTGCCATGAAAATAGCTATCTAAACTTTTAAAAATAGAAAAACAAAGCTATAGCATAATGAAAATCTATTCTTTCAACACTTAACCAAAAGCAAACTTTCAAATTTGTTTTTTTATAACCCATTCCAAAGCTCTTCTTCAAAAATCCCTCCATTTCAAACCAAAAAAAGAGTCTGATAAAGCGCTTATAAATTTTCACAGACTGAAAAAGAAAAAAAAGAAAGAAAAGGCTAAGCGGGGATTCCAGCTTATCACAGAATGAGAAAGTTTAAGGGAAATGGGAGATTTTTGAGAAAAATTTTTCACAAAGATTGAGAGGTGAAGAGAGCGCACACGACTTTGGAACGGCTCATCACCACCTCCATAGATGGGCAACTAATCCCAGGTCTTCAATTGGGGCAAAAATGGAGAAGGGTTTTTTTTTCGCTATTAAGCCAAAGCCAGTGTGTGCCAGACACGAATGAAGAGGTGATGAGGGGGGAAGGGGAGAGGCAAACTTTCATCGTGATACCACAAGCATTTCGAGAGTTGGCTGAGTAGTTTGAAAGGAAACCTGATTGCTGAAAACTTGAGCCTGAGCTTGTTAAAGCGTTGTACTCTCTCAAGTATTCAAAGTTATTGACTTCTAAGGCTTTCAGCTGTCAGTTCTTGTCTCGTTGTTCCTGTAAAACCTGAACTTTAGCTCTTTAGCTCTTATGATGTTTTGAACTTATTTTAATATTAAAAGCAATTCAAAATTATATTCTAAAAAACTTAGGAAGCCGTATGGTGGCCGCAGCGTTGTTGCTGGTGGCCGGTCTTGCCGCTCTTTCGCCAGCCGATTCTGCAAGAGGAGGTTAGTTCATTAGAAACCTTTTGAAATGTGTTATAACTTGAAAATCTCTATATTTATCTATGCCAATTTCCTCTTCACCAGTTCTATTGACCCTTCTACAGAGTAGTCTTGTTCTAATGGTTGCTTCAAATGGTTCTATTTTAGTTCTTATACCACTTTTTGTCTTGATTCCCATACAAGTACCTCTTTTTTGCACTTTCTGGTGGCAATTTGTGCCCAACTAATGGATCTTGACCCTATCCAAGGGCCGACATATGGCTCAAGATCCACTTTCTCTCGATTCACACAAGCGTCCCTTTCTCAATCTATAGACCTTTCTCCTTCCCAATTTGTCCCCAACTAATTGTGGATTTTGGCAAATGTTCGACCACTGATTGCCGGCTAAATGAAAATTTGCTGATTTGCATTCCTTAGATGATTAGACACTCTTGACCCCGGGACACCCGGTAGAGCTAATCAAATTGTTTTCAGCTATAGTTTTTGTTTTGCTTTACACCAAGCAAATTTCCCACGAGATCCGTTTACCAAAAGCATTAAAGAAACCTTTTTTTAGATCAATTTAAGCTTTTTTTGAGGGTAATGCAAGATACTTTTAAGTGTAAAGGACCAGAAATAAAAACTCGAAAACTATTGCCTTTGTTTGTAGCACTAAGCTCTGGTCTAAATTCATAAGTTCACAAAGGTGCCTGGTCCACTAGGAGAGTCAAATTTCCCGCTTCCGGTACCAGGAGTGAGCAAAGAGTCGGAACAATGGTACCCTGGTGGAGAGAAGCCCAGAAGCCTTCTGACAATTTGATCCCCTTGATTCCCTTGGTTTCCCTGGTTCCACTCGAACAAACCCTTCCCCAAAGTCGGATCTTTTCGATTTGCATCCGTCACTTAGGCTCCCCTCTTTCGAATGAAACCAGTCACCCCCAATGAACCGATATGACATTCTATGCAAATTTCCTGATCCCACCGTCCGGGGTACGGTAACAATTATCGGCAATGCAAATTCTAAACCAATTTCTCACAACTTTACACCCCAAAGCTGTCCTCCGTTTTGGGACCTAGAATTTTAAATTCAAACCCCGACAAAGCCCTGGCCAGGAGTAGCTGAATAGGCAATGAAGGGTGAAATTGGGATTGGTCAGAAGTTGTTTTGAAAAAGCTCAAAGAAATTGATCGACATAGAAGTGCAATTGCTTGAAGTTATTAACCAAATTCAAATCTGAATCGAATCTAAACTGGGCGATGGAAGTGAAGTGAAGTCTTTCATAGAGAAAAGAGACGGGCGGCTGCTTATGCTAATTATTGTGGCGTTTCCAATTAGGGAAGCTTTGACGTGAGAGTGGGCACCCTTGTGAAGGGATGGGGTGCAAGAGTGGGTGAGGGTGGGTGCTCATGCAAGAATAGAGACCCTAGATAATTGCTTTTCGAACCAAGTGTTCATCAGGACCAAGGGTTGTGCTGACTTTGAAATTGTTGAGTCATTTAGTTGTCAGAGTTGCATTTGTTGCCAAAATCATTAAATTTTGACTTTTTAATCACTAAAGTCACCAAAATCAAACGATTTCTGATGACGATTTCTGACGATTTTAAATCCAAAACTTTTCTCCAATGAGAGATCTCAATGTTCATCTGGTGGGGTCATTTGTCGATCTTTGAGTGCAAGAAGGGGGATATTTGAGGATAGGGTATTGGGTTTACCAAATGAAGAACTGAAGGAACTAAAGAAGAGATCGAAAGAGCACTGAGGGTTGAAGAAAAGAAAATGGTGCGCACAAACAATCGTTAGGGATTGGTGGAAGAGAAGACTCGCGCACCCTTCAATCCTCGACCCAAACTCTGAGCTCCGAGTGCCACTAGATCCCACTTTCTATTCAAATTATTAGAGTAAATTTGAATGACAATGGACTGATGAAGTGAGTCACAATGGGTTCCGGTAACCTTTCAAAACTAGCAAGAATTGCAAACGCTTTCAAAGCTGTTGTAAAACTTTGGATCAGTACAATCCACTATAATCCAGACTTATTTCAAAACTTAAAAATCCACCTGTTTTCAATATCAAGACCAACTCACGAATTGCCCCAGGTCTTCCAATTATCATTCACCTGTTCATCAATCAATAGGTCAACCTCTCACTTTACAATCTAACCCCAGGCCATTCCCGATCTTGTTCGAATGATGGGTTTTCCCTAGGTGATGGCAATAAGTGACAGGAATCACCTCAGGTCTTGAATAGATAAGCTTTAATACTGTACAGTTTTCGATTCCTCGGCCAAGGGAAATCTCGCGGCCATGAGAACGGGGAGATAGAAACGGAGATAGAAATCTCTTCCACTACCAGATATCGGAGCTGTCACACATAACCTCGAGGTCTTTTCGGGGAAAGGGGTCGCGTAACGGGAAATCCCTTCGGTGAATTGCTCTAGGTTCACTCATGCGTGCATTGGGTGAATGGTTTCATAATCGCTTTTTAAGTGTGATTCAGAGATGAGTGCACTTGTTGCTGAAAGTTGTTGCAATTGAAAAGATCAGACAGCTAAGGGAAATCTAATCTATTTGACTTCTAAATCACAAGGGCTGGGCCCAGATCGAGTTTTTCAGGGCAAGCCAAGCCAATAGTGGCGTAGCTTATTGTTAGCTTTAGTTTGACTAGCTTTGGCTTTCAACTTTTACATCCAGCCCAGAAGCTATAGCTTTCTTTTAAAGCATTGAAATGCTTAACAAGTTCATCATAAACTTTTGAATTCAGTGCGACAAACAACTTGTTCACAAGTCTAATCTTCCAAATCTCTTTGTTATTTTTGTGTTTTTGCTTGATCATAAAAAGCCTAAGCCTCGCCATCTGTTGGTGTTTATTTTAAAGCCAGACTTTTCCAAACCCCAGCCTTACCGCACATTGACCAGGAATGGAGAAACGGAATACCAATCAATCAATACCCAAATAGATGTAATGTTGCCCTTAATATTCCACCAATCATCTCCACTCGCCCACTTCTTTCCCTTCTCACCGGTGGTAGCAGTTGGGACTTGTCAATGCGATGTGACAGCTCTGCTCCCTTTCCCTCTCAATCTTTTTGCTTTACTCTCCAGGTCACTCACCCACTCATTGGAATATTGAAGTTGGCAAGTAGTCAATCAATTTTGGATTTTAACGTCAAATGAATGAAGTTTTATTGGAGATTTTAACAACTGATATACGCTGAAAAGACTCCTATAGTTTCTGGAAGCTTTAGAACTAAATCTGACTGAAATGTTAAAACTGACTTGTTGGCTACTATTCTTTTAAAAGCTTATCAATCATATTCTACCGGACAAGAGTTGAAACAACGGACAAGACAAGACAAGAAAGGACTTTTCATTACCTGATTAAGAATTAGTACGGAAGTGTGCAGAAGTACAAAACGTATTCTATAATAACCCAATGAGATCTTTCATTTATGCAGTACAGAACTTCCGGTAATCACTCATCCACGAATTTACCCAATATGTAGATCACGCCATTCCGGGTCACTCTAATCCCCCTCTCCGAATCAAATATTGTCACTCATGGAGTGCCAAGTCAAGGAGTGTCCATCTATAGATCTCCTCCAGCATATGCTTGGCTGGAGGACATAATTACTGCCCGATTGCGCGTTTCCTGCTGCATAGAGTTGCAATAATCATCTCGAGATCTTGCTTTGAGTCAGCGGGAAATCTGCTCGACTCCCACAGGTGCACCGGGTCAAAATGAACCTAATTATTTGAAAAATCTCAAGCTCTAAGCTTTATTTTGAAATAAACCTTACTGTTAATCTAATAATAACAGTTTTATCAGTTTAGTTTGTGCTAAAATCTCTTGTTGTTGATTTTGCAAAAATTCCATACTTTAAGCCTTCCCGTCGATGAAAACTTGGCCATACTCTTGCCTCCATTTTTCTCATTTAATCTTTGGGATGATCTGTTTTCGTTTTGATAAGGGCTGAGGCAAGGGAACATTTTTGCAATTCATTCAATCACAAATCGATTGCCCTGAAAAAAAAAACGGCTAAGAGGCTTATGAAGCAGTACGAAGGAAGAGGAAATTTTGAAATAAAAGAAAATTTTTAGTGGAAAGGGTTGTCGTTGACAAAAAAGTTAAAGTTTATTCAAAAACGTTTGACGATTCGTAAATTTGCAATGAAATACTACTTTTTGTTTGAGAAAGAACAAAGTTTTGAGTTAATTTTGTATCAGTCTAGCGATATATTGTAAAATGGGTAACTAAACCAAAAAAGCCGTTTGTAAGCGGCATTAATCTATTGCATTCTAAATTACAGAAACTCTTTATTTTTAACTTTTTATTACAAAATCTAGTATAACATGAAATTTTACATCTTTACAGCCCACAAGACATATAGAGTGCCTCAAAAAAGAACCAAAAGAGACTTTGGAGATGCTGTGGATGGAGAAAAACAGTAGCTGTTTACCAAGTTTTCACATTTTCTATTATTTTAAGAATATAGGTCAATAAAAAGCAATGAAAACTTTCTCTATATGCTTATTTATTTATAGCCATAGTCCATCTAGGACATCTTATCCCTCAATCCTCACCCCCGGCAGCCCCAATCCGGAAATCAAATATACAAATTGGATGCTAGAGTGGTCAGTGCCCCAAAAAGAACCAAAAGAGGGTTTAGACATGCTGTGGATTTAGAAAAGACTTAGAAAATTGGGGAAAAGAGATGTCTCCCACTTCACACCCACTGATCCTCCCTCTATTACGCAACCACCGATTTCTTGAGTCTCAAGCCTTTTTCTAGTTGAGTATGCTAGGATGAAGAGTAAATTGGCACTAGTTATTTAGTTAAAAATTTAAAGAAACGGTTATAATAGATCAAGGTTTGTAATTCTTGAAAAAAAGCAAAAGAAAAGTCAAATTCTCTGGCTCTGGCTCTGGTTCTAGCTCTGGAAACGAAAGCTGTACCACTTGGCCAAGGCTACACCTGATTAGGTTCGCAAGGAGGCCGTTAAAACCCAAATTACCCCATTTTCAGAGTCCTAGCAAAACTTTTAGACGCTTATAACTCCTGACAGATTGTCCTTTAGCAAAAACGGAATATATATTCAGAATCAGCATAAAATTCTGCGTTGAATAGTATAGGTCGCATTGTATTTGCATTGCCAGACCTTTCCTTGTTAGTTAAAGATTTAAAGAAACGGTTCTAAGCAACAGTTATGTACGCTTTTTTTAGAAAATCCAATTTTCAGCTCCGCCACAAGTCTTGGAACATGTACAGTCGAAATTCCGGGTCCCTGTCGGTGCTGCGCAATTCAAATTGATATGCCCAGTGATCAGCCCTGACAAGAGCTCGCTTATGGTCGAATGGACGAAGAATGGAGAAACGGTAATCTAAAACTTTTTTGACTTCTTTGCAATCAACTTTGACGATAACTCATAAAAATGGGGAAGAATTACCCTTTTTTTTCTACGTCTTTCCCCTTTCCCAATCTCGAGTTTCAACTTTTTGCAATCCATTACAACTCAGCTTTGTCTCACTCTCTTTTTGAAAGGCTTTACTAGGCGTTCCACTCGATCACTCTTTCTATCTTTCCTCCCTTGAAATGGATGCCCACTTTGCATGTCACAATGGGGATCTACTAAGCAATCAAAGTTAAGAAATGAGAAAGAATGGGGTTAAAATAAATGGTAAAGGATTTGAAATCTTTTTTTTATCAGTTTAGCAGTGGAATGAAAGATCCAATTGATTAAAGTTACCAGAACTTCAAGAATGAAAGCCCAATGCTTGAGATCAACAGCCAAAGCTAATTCCTTACCAAACACAACTAAAATTCTTGCACAAAGACTGAAAATTTGGTTTCATAAGCTGTAAACCTAATAAAGTATAATAAGAAATGGCAAAGAAAGATCAGTAATTTTTTGGAATGAATCTCATTGGTGGTCTGAGATAAGTTTCTAATAGTTAGCCACTCCTGTGTTTAGTTTTTGCTCACCAAACAAATCACAGGTGCAAGTAATGACTGGAAGATCCCTATTGACGCCTTTTACGGTTCAATGTTCACAAATTTCACTCTCTTTCTATTTGCTTATGATGTTTGTCGATGCCATTGTCTCCCGCATTGGAAGAGAGACTTTTAGGAAGTTGCAGGTGCTGGGATATTTGAGAATAGAGGAAGGGTGCATTTGTGGATTGACACTTCAGCATACAGAGAGCTGGGGCTGACACCAAATATGGGGACAGGTAGAATGGAGATCTCCTTCAGTGGAAGATGAAGTGGGGATGTCTGCGCAGAACAAACTCTCCTCAATGACCCCCACTTGTGAGTGGGTGAGCAGAAAAATGGGATTGATTACTGGAGTTTTGTTAACGGTTAGTTAGAGATGGAATTTAGTTTATAATATGTAAGCAGGGATAAAAGCAGATCAGAACACAATCTAAAACCTCAAAGCTATTTGAACTAGTGAACCTTTTTTGTTTAAACTAGTGGATTAGGGGACCTTTTTGATTTTAGAACTTCAGATTAGCAGCTAGTCTAATTCATAATTGAAAACCGAACTCACTAGGGCTAACTTGGCTCCTCAGCTATTCTATCCAACCAACAATTCCCAACTTGAGTCTTCACTTTGCTCATTAGCCAACAATTTGAACTGAAGACTATAAGAATATTTCAAAGTCCAGACTTGCGAAATTCTCACAAAGTTCTTTACCAATCAAACGAGGCTCTACTTTGAATAAAGGAGAAAAAGAGGGACACTCCGGCTGGAAGTGTCACATCATTTGTGCAGTCATCGATCAACATCACCCCTTTTTCCATCGTTCCCTTTTTTGGGGATTCCACCTTGTCTTTCCTCTCTTTCCCCCTTAAAACTGCCATCGATAACCCCATTTTTCAAATGGAGACACATTTTGCCCTCCTTCTTTTTGAGCTTGAAAAATGGACGAAAAAATAGGACAAATAATCGAAGTTGATTGAGAAATTTTTAGATTGATCCCGATGGAACGACGAGAATCAAATTCTCGAAGAATCAACGAGAATTGCGATTGAAGAATGTGATTCTTGAGGACAGTGGAGCCTATGAGTGCCAAGCGGCGAACGGATTTGGACATCGGAAGATTCTATTGACATTGCATGTCTACAGTGAGTTTCCGAATTTTCATTTAAAGCTTGTAAAATAGATGTATGTAAATAAGAATTTCTAATGGCGATTCAGATCCCGACTCTGACAGCTCTTTCCTGAAAGACTCGCTGGTAGAAACGCAACAACCAAAGCAGCCAGAATGGCAGCCGGGAGCTGGTGTCGAACACGCATCCGCCAATCCAATCCATCTGCGAGCCGGTGATCGAATGGAGTTGAGATGTCCGGCTCGAGGGAGTCCCTTGCCCGAAATTCGATGGTACAAGGACAATATTCTATTGCAAAATGGTTTGTCTTTGTTTTTACAGCTGATCTTAACGCTTCACAGCTTGACAATTTAGAATTGTAAGAAACAGATTTTTTTTTTGTTCCCCATGGGCGTGGTTTTCGAGAACAACATGTCCAAAGTTTTGGCAATGGTAAACCACGACCTCAGCTATAAGGGGGAACCACGCCAAGGTGGAAGAAAAGCAGTGACGGCCTAGGGGATGGTGTGCTAGGCTGGGAAACTGCTGCTTGCTTGCGCGCGGGTTCGAGCCCGCTTGTCACCAGTTCTTTGCTTCTTTTGGAAAACTTCCGAAAACACTTCTTTATCGTTATTAAGTTGAAGTGAGATGTTGAAACAGTTCCCTAGTTAGAGATTTCAGGTCCCGATCCATACTCGGCTTCCTACGTGATTGAGTCGGTCAACGAGAACACAACGGCTTCGTACAGATGCGTCGTTGAAAACAATCTGGGCAGCATTGATGCTGTGTTTCGAGTAAGATAAACTTGATTAACTTTAATAATCAATTAATCAACTCAATTTTAGGTTCACGTGCAAAAAGAGGAATCCGAAGCAACGCCAACAATCGAACGCTCGTTCAACTCTTCCGTGAAATCAGGAAGAACCGCACAATTGCAGTGCCGCGTCAAAGCATCGTCGCCACCAATTATCAAAGTAAAGATTGAATTTGAATTAAATTTAATCTAATATTTTCAGTGGTTTAAACAAGTGGAAGATCCAGCGATGGTGAGGAAAGCTGATCCGAATGCCACTGTGATCAACAATCTTTTCGGCATGATGCTGCTGCTCTTGGATCAACCACATGACGTTGTTTCGGTAAGTGAATGCAAGGATTGGTTCTTTTATCAATTTATTCAGGTTGAGGCCCCAATTCACCGCGCTGGCGGCGAGCACACGTACACGAATCGCTTGGTGATCCCAGCGGTTCGACAAGAACATGCCGGCAAATACGTCTGTGTGGTCACCTCTTCAACTCCTCATCAATTCCGAATGGTTCACAAAACGGCACAATTGGATGTGATTGAAGGTTGGATCTTTAATATAAAGATAATTGATAAGATTAGAAAAAAAACAGAGTTTTCCCGTACAACTCTTTTGAATAAAACTTGATTTTAAAATGACTGAGGAAAGCTATTCAAATTTTTAAACTTTTAAAACTTTAATTAAATACTTACAACCACTAGAATTTACAGAAATTTTAAGCTTTAAATTTCTTTTCTAATTAAAATAAACTTGAACACCCTTTCTGGGACTCTTTTTCGATAAAAACATCAAAATCTGCTGACTTTGGTACTAGGGAGGTTCGATCCAAATAAATCTATCCAAAAATTAGCTTAAACGCTTTGAAAATTATTTTCTAATGTTTTTAGCATAAAGATGAACATTAAAAGTTTATAAATTTTTGTTTGGTAATGGTTTAAACTTTGCGCATGACTAAAGAATTGAAAAGAAAGCCGATTTCGGTAGCGTGTCGTCGACCACTTGTCCGTGACTCAAAGGGCCAATTCTATAAAAAGCTATGAGCTATGGGCTTCGTGCTTTTAAGTATAATTTTTTTCAGATTTTTATTTTAAAAAAGTTGAGTTGAATAGCTTTCCTCGGTCATTTTAAAATCAAGTTTTAGTGAAAACTTGTACAGGGACTTTTGAATCACTCTGTATTAGTCATCAAACAAGGGAATCATTGGCAAGTTGTGTCCTTTTGCGGTCTAAATGCTGAAATTCCTAAAATATTACCTTTCTAGAAGTCAAAATCCCAAATTTGAATGTCTTTTCTAACACCAAAGGCTCATAGTCAGAAAATTTCCCCATCCTTCTTTGCTTGTTGAACTTTCCGAATAGGAATCGAACAAACGATCTCAAAATCTTTATTTGTCTTGGTATGAAACAAGCCTTTAGGGCTATTTGGGTTGTTCTCACGTCTTTTTCCCTCACCAAGTATCTTGTAAGCAAGTGTATACAGCCTAGACAAATACCGAGTCGACTACATCGTAAGATTGCTACAATATTGACAAACAGTTCTCGTAATATACAGAAAAAATCAAAATTGACAATGCAAATCAAAATTGACTTGATAAATGTCATTTAAAACTATAGATCTCTCATCGATGGGTCTATCTTCTGAAGTGATCTGGTTGATCATCATCCCCGTCACAGCTCTCTTCCTCATCCTTGCTCTGGTGGCTATCATTTGGCTACGATGCACTCAAGAGGTACATTTATTCTCAAGATTAAAGGTCTGTAGTTAGACAAAGTAAAGCTAAGATTGGATATCAAAACTACTCTTACAAAAACTTTCTAGGATTGTGTCTCGAAGAGTCAACTCAAAGGCCGTCCTCCACCCCCACAACGTCCCCCACCCGCTGCTCCACATCAAGATCCGATCTTTTACGATCAAAAGCCTTTAACAGCTCATAATTTGGAATCATTCTTCCCGTCTCAAACATTGCAAACACCAAGCTCAGCAACATTGCAACGAAGACCTTTCTTGCATAGAGGTGAGCAGTTTTTTTTGATAGAGAAGCAGTTTGTAAGCATTACTTTTCAGGAGCTCGAGAAGACTTCTCGACAACGTTGGGCCGTGCCCCGTTGCCCCCAACATCTCCATATTGGGGACATCAAGGGAGAACGCTCGAGAATCAACTCTACGGACAACACTACAGAACACTAGAGGTAGATTTTATAATGAGATCTTATATTCTTCATTATTTTATTCTTCTATGGCTAAATATCTAAACTTTAGCCTGAGTTCTATCGAAAACCTCTGGAGAATCCGTACGATTCGGGGAGCGGCATCGATCAATCGCAACCATTCCTCAGCTATGCTCGAGAGAGCTTTATGGACTCATCGAGATCTAGGATTCCTTATCCTTAGAAATTTAAATAGGAAAATTTGCATTTAAAGTATGGAAGAAGAAACGGGACAGGTCCAAAGCCTTAACTTGATTGGAATTCGGTTTAATTTATGTCAAAAGTAGAATACGGTAGATAAGACTACAGTAATTCATAACAAGAATTATTGATACTTCTTTCCATGAATTCTACTTGCTGTACACATTAGATTATTGTGCTATAAAGATTACAACAATTCTAATTCTATTTATGGATTTATTCTATCGTACTCCTTCGCTAAGTATCAGGAAAAGGGCATGCCCGTTTACAAATCCATACTTCTCAAGTCATTACCGTATCTTTTTCCTTATTTATTTCCTGTTTTCTATTTCATGACCTCATAATTTACCTCTTTCCAACATCGATTCATTTTTCCAAACTCAATTCTGCTCAGAAACGTGTAGAGGCGCTTTTTTGGAACCCCGCAAAATCTACATCAAAATTCCCCTTTGCATTTCCTTTCTCTCATCATTCACGGGTCGAATTCGGTTGCTTTTCCTTGGCTACTGTAACTCTATGCTAATTTTTTTATATCGTAATTACCGTATTTCCTCTAATAAACGCCCCCCCCCCCTGACCAACTTTGGACGCTTCGTTCTCAGCCCCATTTTGAGATATCTTTATGTTTAATATATCAAAAGATAGCCCTTAATGTCTTCTATCTTTTGATATATTAAACATAAAAATATCTCCAAATGGGGCTGAGAACGAAGCGTCCAAAGTTGGTCAGGGGGGCGTTTATTAGAGGAAATACGGTATAGAAATGTAAATTTCGTTCTCACCCTCGAGATCTGTTCACACTCCGTTTGCCATAATTTCTTTGGAAATTTCTCTCTTTTCAACGTGTAATTTACTACTTTCTACTTTTACAGTCCTAGAAACTAGTCAATTTTTTCGAATTTCAAGCAATTTCCCCTCCAAACTCCCGATTCAATTCTAAAATGAGCTTAAAATCATCGTATTACCCTTCTTTGTCGAAATTCTTGAGCTTTTTCCGCCGGTCCATAGTCACAAAATTTTCAAATTGTCATGTAAATAAATAAACGAATTTTGAAGTTTCAAAAATACGACTATACAAAAGATAAAGCGTTTTTTAAAATGTTTCTAATTCTTAATCAAAAAAGCTAACTTTTGACACAAAAGCGGCAAAATTGATCGACTTTCAAACGTAAACAAAAGCCAAGCAATCGCCAAAAACTCGCGACACACACAAAAATTCTCTTTTTAATGATCTTTATTCTTGTTTTTTTATTTTCCTTAAACTATGCAGAAGAAGATCCAAAAATTAATGATTCACGGTAGAAAATTCTAAAAATTCATTGGTCTTTTCTTGTTTAAAGGAAGGCTCTCGTGGAAGTTCGTTGGAATGGCTTTAAAGTCTCAAATGAAACATTTGGTAAGACTACATTGTTAATAGGAAGAAAGTCAATAAGTTTATTAGTAAAACTCTGGATTGGGTCGAATGGCGCTGGGGAAAGGGTGAAATTTCTTGATACCAGTGCGATTCAGTTGAAGAGAGGTTTGGATTTATCATTTTACTTCTATTGGGTTGGTGAATTGAAAACTGCGGGCTATTGTCAGATGTCGCAGTTTGAGCACTTTCTTCAAAAGAAACCCATTTTGGTGTCAATGGAAAAGTTGTAGAGAATCAAAAAGCAAGCTTATGTCCAGATTTTCAGAACGATTCAAAAGCTGGTTTTCAAGAAATGCCAAATTTACGAATTTTCACAAAACTTGCATTTTAAGCGAAACTACTAAGTGTATCTTTTTGGAAATTTGGCTATAAGCCTAATTTTTTGATTCTCTACAACTTTTCTATTGACACCAAAATGGGTTTCTTTTGAAGAAAGTGCTCAAACTGGGACATCTCCAGTTCTCCATTTTTGAGTCTCACACTTGTCTCACACACAAACCAAAATCCTACTACGAAAGAGGAATCCGCGAATTGCCTGTAAAATGGGCAGAAGTCGTCAATGATAATATAATATTTGTCTATAATCTATCTATCTTTTCTTACATTTCTTACAATAAATAGCCTTGTTTGGGAACTTTTGGCGCATTCCCCATACAGTCCCGACCTCGCCCCTCTTGATTACTATTTATTCCAGATCATGAGTAATGAGCTTGCGGGAGAACACTTCGATTCAGAAGAAGCAGTCAAAAATTGGCTTTGAAAGTTTTTCGATTCAAAACCAAAATCCTACTACGAAAGAGGAGTCCGCAAATTGCCTGTAAAATGGGCAGAAGTCGTCAATAATAATGGAAATTATTTGGAATCAATTGATGGTTTTATGTTGAATAAATTTTAGTTCAAAGTCCGGCAGTTTTCAATTCATCAACCTAATAATAAAACCAAGATTATGTTCTCTTTGCTGAAATTTCATAAAGAATTCAGAAAATACGGCAGCTATTTGGGAAGGAACAATCAAATTAAAGCCCATGGACAGATACGTTCATTTTGAAGCGGTGCGAAAGCTGGCCGAGATCAGAGTGAGTAGACGTGAGTTTTCCATTTCTTACTACTTCTCTAGGACTTGCTAATGAAAATTTATTGGCCAGTAAGCTTTCAAAACGTTTCAACTACAGTTCAGCTACTGTACTCACTCGAATCTTTGTTTCGTTCAACTTCAATTCTTGTGTTTTAGCCGCTCTCATTCATTTATCCCCTCAATTCTTCCGCGGCCTTAAAATCGAGGAAATTGGCCCAACGTTTTCAATCAAACTCAAATTATTGGAGGTGGAATAAATATTTTCTCAATCGTATATGATTTCCGCTCACAACAACAAAACAAATGACTAAATATGAAAATCTTAAATGGTATTAATTTCCCCAGACCAAGAAAACAAGCGAATGTTTTTTGGTTTTTAGTTTTTTCTACGAAAAATTTGAGTTACAGTTAATGATTAATTGAATTGAACTGTTAAAGAATCTCTAAAAGAAGGTCAGGTGAAAAATTCAGATGTTTTTATAAGTCGCACATATAAAAACTTGCCTCGTTTACAGTTTACAATCTGGATGTATTTAACAAAGTGTCACTTTTCGATATTTTGGTCTCTTTTATAGGGTTATTGTAGGTTAAAACTAACATTCGGATTCTCCGTCCCTGAAAGCCCCAGTATACAAATTTTTAGCTTAATCTGACCATAAATTATGTTAATTCCAAGTGAAGCCTACTGGTGGGTCCCACTGGTGGGCCCCACTGGTAGGCTAAGTAATTCTGCGGTTTATCTCATTCACTGGTGTCCTCATTGTTTGTCCTCAATAAAATAAACAAGTTCAATCGATTCCCCGACCCCGAAAACCCTTGGGCACACATTTACAGCTGAATATCTTTTGTGCCATCTACAAAAATTCCTGAAGAAAGAGGTGCTTTTTGTGCCGACGCGTAATCGCTCGCGACCTGGCAAACCCCTCTGGTATAAAGCGGTTCCCTAAAGGGAAAGAAGCGGCTAACTTTTCCCCGTTTATGTCGTCACTATGCCCAAATTTTTAGAAACAATTTTGGCTTAATTTTGGATCTATTTTAGATTCAAATTGTACATCCTGTTAAACCATTCTTACTCAAAAAAGAGTCATAACCGGTTGAAGAAAAAGAGGCAAAATTGCTTTTACTATACTGGAATAAACAAAAAAAGGATAAGAGCATATGGGCACTAAGAAAATATGGACGAAAACACTTGACAGCTTTTAACACCCCGAGAAATCATTGATAAACCGATTTAATTACAATTACGAGTTGTTATTGCAATTCTATTCTCAAACTCACAAAGCTCACTGACTCACAAAAAGCTTTCATTTCCCAAAAAGTCTTTTCCCAAACTTTTCGAATTCGTGGGAGTTTCGAAAAACTTTCCGGAAATCATAAATTTCCTTTAAAACTAGATTCATTTCTTAATGATATTCCGCTGACTTTTCTCGTGAATTGATCAAAAGGCAAACAGGTGAAATGCACCGAGTGAATGCAATTAAGGCTTTCTCTTTTAGAGGCCAAGAGTCGAAAACCTTGACAGTCTTCCTAAAAGTCGGTTGTAAATCTCATTGGAAATTATTTCCATTTCCCGGATAGAAACAAAAACTTGGCGATAAATAAATTTCTTCTGTTTTTGGTTTCTTCTATGAAATTTCCTTTCTTCTATTCTAAGATTTCCTTTCTCTGAAGTTCTTGATCTTATTATGAGATTCTCTCACATCATAGCTTTGTTCATTTATCGATAGCAGATTTTAACGTAAAGAGTCCCGATTTTTGTTCCCTATTATGTGCTGAATGAACACACTTTAGACTCAATAATTCTAAACATACTTTTCGGTTTTAACATAACTGTAACATGTGTAGCGTTTAACTCAGAATTCCATAAAACTGTTGGATTAATGATTTAAGTATAAGACTTGTGTCAGGGTTGTTCCAACTTCTGGCCTAGCCTGGCTTGACCCACAAAAAACCTGGCTAAACTTGGCTCCAAGTTCAGACCAGAGACTAGACTTCCAACCTAGAGCCTGTAAATCAGGTTAGACCAGAATAGAGCTCGATCAGAAGTCTAGTCTCTGGTCTGAACTTGGAGCCAGGTTTAGCCGGGCTTTTTGTGGGTCAATCCAGATTAGGCCAGAAGCCAGACAAGGATGGACTTGGCTTCTGGGTTAGCACTGGCTTTACCTGACCCGGAAAATTGCCGTTGCGACAGTCTTGAATAGGTAAGTTAACCTAATAAATCAAAATTTACATTTTCGACTTGAATAAAAGAACAAGAAGACTCTAAAGGACTTTTAACCTAAAGAAGAACTTTAAAGAATCTAAATCTAAAGAATATAAAGAACTCTAAAGATAACAAGGAATCTTAAAAAACCCGATTGACTTTCAATCTGAAAACTATTAAACACAATTTCATTTGCGGGTTTCACTTATTTACTGAAAGCCTAAAAGGACCGCTAATTTTTGATTTCTAAGAAACTCTATATCATTTTATTTCCAGAATTAGCTTTGCGTTCTGCTAATCCCAAAATAAAACCTCGATAAAATCAAAAAGAATGTTCTTTCTACTTTCCACAAAATGCTGATGATTTGAACGATCTTTTCTGATCTAATTAATTGTTAATTTCCAGAGGAAATAACCACGAAAGTGTTTTGAAGTTTTTCTTTATTTGTTTGAATGATTGAAAATCAAGATAAAATCTACTTTCCATCGTGTTTTTCTAAAAAGATTTGTAAATGTCGGCAATTACCGTATCCCGGTTCCTTGATAGAAATGTTTTGGCTAAACATCTGCCAAAGATTTTTTAAATCGCCTCAAAACACACTTTTTGCTACGTTTTTTTTCTGATTTACCAATTATCCTTTCCTTTTACTAATCACCTTTTCTCAAGAGAAAAAAAGATTCGTTTTAGCTCAGAATTGACTTTCAAATATCGGAAAAACTCTTAATTGTTCTTGAAAATTCTTGAACTTTTTCTAATAAAATTTGTAAAAGTTTACTTTTTGAAAGTCTACTTTTGATTTATGAAAGCATTTAAATAATTCCACATTTCAGGAAATGACTTTTAAAGTCTTCTTTTTTGTTTTCCTCATCAATTCGATCATTTCAACGGGAACAAATGATATGGATTCGATCTTTCAGCAAATGTTGAATACAGGCACTGCTACTGCAGGTTGGTACAAGAATTTAATTAAATTCTTCAATTAGATTTCATTTCTAATTGCAATATCTTTTGAAATTATCTATCTATAACAATTCTATCATTTGGGCTACTTTACACTAATATATAACAAGTTTAAGAACAAATTGCACAAAGTGAAGTGAAGCAGTGAAGCCTGTAAGATTGAAATTTACTGTATCAATTTGTAATAATGCTAAAGCAATTGCTTCTCGACTGCCAGAAAAGAAAAATGTTCTTTAAAACGACTAAACAATAACAACCGGCTCAGATTCATATTCTTTTTTGAATTCTTGAAAAATGCAAAAGTTTCTGACGAGAGAGGGATTCGAACCCACGCCTCCGAAGAGACCAGTGCCTTAAACTGGCGCCTTAGACCGCTCGGCCATCTCGCCATGATTTCAGAGCGAAAACTTTTCTCCAAAAAGGCACTAGATTTTGAAAGTACTTTTTAGTAAAATGATCCTAAATCACTTTAGCAACAACTGCCCGATCACCGACTGTGCAAACGGTTTCCTCAATCAATGATTGGCCGGCCATAAATGGGACCTCAAATGTGACAAGCTCCAATTCCACTGGGGACTCAAATGGAGGGACAACAACACTTAGTTCAATCATCGGAACCAATGGGGAAAACTCTACAAGCAGTGGAAATGTCACGGTTACTCTTGAAACTAACACAGGCTCTAACAGTTCTACAACTGTTTTTGCGTCCAATGACCCTCCAGTTTTGACTACAGTTGCTTCGATAGGCACTGTCACTGGGTCGAATGCAACTGAGAGCTCAGTGAACAACTCAACTGTGGTTCCAAGTACATCGGCTGCTTCAAATTCTACAGTGATCCCAGTCACCTCTTCAAATGTAATCCTTGAGGATCAGTTTGCTAATGCAACAAGTTCTGGAAACTCTTCTGCAACCTTGACAACTGTTGCTTCTGATAACTCTGTTGATTCAAATTCAACTGACCTGGCCACAACCTTGAGCAGCTCAACCATTGCTGATTTCAGCTCCAATACTACCGTAATCCCTCCATCGGCCACCACTTTGAACTCTACTGAAGCTGGAAATAGTAGCTCAACTGTTACCGTAGCGAGCTCCAATTCTACAATCTTATCGTCAGTGACGGACAGCCCAGCTGTTAATTCAACGCTTACAACTGACTCGAATTCCACATTGATTCCAGCTACCACTCAAACACCAACTGTCAACTCTACAATTGAAGCATCAACAAATGAAACCTTAACTTCTCAAACATCTGTAGCCAATTCTACAGTAACTTCTGCCACCATTGCTTCAAACTCAACCGAGCTACCAACTGTTGATCCAACAAACTCAACAACCGAAATTCCCAGCTTAAATGTAACTACGGTTTCTCCGAACATATCAATTAATGAAACAAGTTTAACCACTCAAACACCAGTCTCTAATTCTACAACTAGTGCAGGTAATGAAACTGTTATTACCACAATGGCTTCGACCTCAAACTCTACCACTGCATCGACAAATGAAACATCTGTTACAGTGTCACCGACAAACTCAACTGAGTCAACTGGCTCTGATGGAGCAATGAGTACCACTCTGTCATCAATTCTTAGCACCACAGTCACTTCTACAAATGAGACTACAATGTTGCCTAACAATTCTACAATTGGGTCTAACAGCACTGATGTTGGAAACTCGACAAGTTCACCCATTCCAACAACAGCCTTTCAATTTCCGTTTACAATTCCTCCGGCTATCACTATACTACCGGAAACTGATAATGCCACTACTCAGTCGTCTGTTGAATCTACTGTTTCTGGAAATGTTACAAATGAAGTCACTCTTGAGCCTTCAAACTCAACGATTTCCCAGAATTCTGATTCTACAACTGTTTCTGAAAGCATTGAAACGGTTACTACTTTGTCACCAACAAACTCCACTGATCTTTCTTCAACTACGATATCGGATTCTTCAATGAACACCACAACTCTTGCAAGCAATGAAACAATTGTCACAACTGTTTTACCGGAAACTTCTTCTATTTCTGGAAACAGTACAGAAGCCGGGAACTCAACAAGTACCCCAGTTTCAACCACCACTGGCGTCCAATTTCCTTTCACAATTCCATCAGCTATTACAATGCCTACTGAAGGCAATGAAACAATCACAAGCTCTACGACAATCCAAATGACTTCAGTGACAGTTAATGAGAATCAAACAATGACAACAGTGATTGAAGTGATCACTTCAACAAGCGCACCAACATCCAATTCATCAATGGAAACGACTTTGGAGGTGTCGATTAGTTCGACAATGATAACTGAGATTCCGACAAGTATGGGTTCTACAACGGTTTTGTCTAGTGATGAGACATTAGCTCCAACAACTGCAAATTCTGGTCCCACTTCTTCGACTAATGGCACAGAAACCGGCAATTCAACAACAGCTCCTGCTCCCACAACGACCGCTTTCATCTTCCCGTTCACGATCCCCTCTGCAATAACATTGGCCTCAGATAATGGGACAACTACAGGACTTGCCACATCAAGTACCGGAGCAATTGATTCTACTGCTAATACGGCAACAACAGGCAGTGCTGGAGTCAGCACCGATCTCACAGCTACCACCTCAGCAACTACTGGAAGCGTTGATCCAACAGCCACGACCGCTCCTCCAGCCTCGACTACCGCAACTGTAACCGGAACAATACTGGCTAATCCAACAGTTTCAACCATTGCTTCATTAGCTACCACAGCTGAAACTTCTGAACAAACGACTATTGTCGATCACACAGCCACCATAACAGCTTTAACAACTGTTGAAGTCACAACTCAATCATCGACTACTGCCCCGGAGACGAGTCTCGATCCTACTGCTACCACAATGGCCACAACTGTTGGAGTCACTGATCCAAGAGCTACGACTGTCCCTATGACTGTCGTTGATACAACTGCTACCACAGCCACAGCAGTGACAACTATCGGAGGCACAACTACAGCTCCATCTGCAACCACAGCTGCCGCTCAAAGCACGGTTGCTATTGATCCAACAGCTAGCACAGCTCCGCCAGCATCCATTGCTACCACTGGTCTCCCAATTACAATTAACACAGTGATACCCAATGGCTTTGTCTATCCGGATAATTTCGTCGACTTGAAACGTGGCTACTCATTCGGTCTCTCCAAACATCTTTACAACACCGATCCAACGTTTTTCGACCAATTCAGCAACTTCAACACCAATATGCAGCGTGAGTTTTTGCTTAAAGCCTTGATATTGACTAAATATCTAATTTCAGCCTCACCCGGCTCCTTCCTTGCTCCGAGTTTCGCGAATGGTATCGCCGCTTGTCCGCAACTTGTCCCACTCTACTCGTGTCCGGATGGAGGTAAAATAAAATTCATTGAGCTACATTAAACCATTAAGACTATTTAGAGTAATTCTAAAAAAAACGTGTTCATAATTCGTTTTAGTTATGAACTATCAGCTCTCAAGATCGGACGATGGTAGTTGTACAATGATTGGACAAGGTGTTTCAACTCTGGGAGCTTGTGGAGCCACTATGTCGCTCTATGAATTGCATAACAAGGTTTTCTCAGGTAAATCAAGTACAATTATCTTTTAAAAAGTATTACAATAGCTGCTCAAAGGCTTAGATTCATGAAAAATTTGGAAATAAGCTAAAAATTGGTTTTTTAGGAACTGTAATCTTAAACATATCAAGATCCAATTTCTAGATCACTTTTACACGAGTTTTCTTGAAGAAGCTCAGGCGGTGAATGCGAACAATTTGTGGTTTGCTGACACGCTTGGCGTGAATCCTTTGATCTACATGTGGCCAAGAATTCCGCAATTCTAAAACCCAAAAATAATAGAATAACTATAGAAAAGTATAGAAACTCTTTAGTTTTGCAATTTTAAAACAATTTTCTTTACATTTTCCTAGTTTTATATTGTTTATTGTAAATATTTCTTGTTGTCTGATTACCGGTGACCATTTTTTTTGCTTATGAAATGATTCTTAATGTTTCTGTGAATAAAAGTCGATTAGAAATCTAGTTTCAATGAAAAACTAACTTTTTATGGAATTTTGAAAGTTTTTCTTTGGTTAATATTGACACACCTGTACGAGAGTCCAACTTCAAACTCTGTTTACTTTTTGACTAAATTGGAAGCAACTTGGCCACAGAGAAAGTTTCAGATTTTTTTAGTTTTAGCTTTTAAGTTACAAAAATGTCTAAGCAAAGTTTTAGCAGGCTTTTACTCATGATAAACTCGAAGAATTTCTAAATGTATACAAAAATGTATTCTTGCCAATTTGTAGAGAGTTCAACTTCAAACTCTGTTTACTTTTTGACTAAACTGGAAGCAACTTGGCCACAGAGAAAGTTTCAGATTTAGCTTTTAAGTTACAAAAATGTCTAAGCAAAGCTTTAGCAAGCTTTTACTCATGATAAACTCTAAGAATTTCGAAGTGTATACAATGTATTCTTGCCAATTTGTAGAAAAAGTCTGTTTCAATTCAATTTGCTTTATAGCTTTATTGTACAAATTTTCTTTTTTTCGTCTTAAGAATAGTTTCCTCAAATTCTTACAATTTCACTTGTTTCATTTTCAGTTTTTAATTGTAGCAACCCTGCCTTTTTTTAATCAATTTACTATTCAAGGATATAAAAGTTCGAGGAGATTATAAAAAAGAGATGGAGAGATGGCTGGAGAGTGGAAAAGACAGGCAATGGATGAAGCAAGGGAAAAGAAACCGGTCTTCTTTGCATCCCGGACTTGCCTCTGGATTCTTTCTTTCTTTTTTTTCTTCATACTTCTTCTATGCGTCTATTCGCCTCATTTCTATAATCTACAACTTTTTAAAGTAGGATTTGTACTAATACAGCTTTTAGTCTATACTAATACAACTTTTATCCAACTTTTACTTATCCACTTATCCGACTTCTCACTACAAAACCTTGAATTAGTTTTTTGAAATTCTCTGTTGGATAAATAATTAATGAAGCTGGTTTCTGTTCCCATTCATTTCTTTATTCCACTCTTTCGAGGGTGGATCGGTGTGCGCCAGCGGGATCGGTGTGCGCCAATCCCGCCGGTAAGTGGAACAGCAGACGCTGTATTCCGTGCCCGTTCTACAAAACTACTACAAAACAACTACTTGTAGATACCAAGAAAACATATTTTCATGGTTTAATTGTTAGCAAACTTTATTTTACTCTCAATTTGCTTGATTTGAGAATTGAAAATGATAGACGTTTGCAATACTGATTTAGCGTAACCTTGTTCAACAGTTGTCTTAAAATCCATTGGATCAATTAGAAAAAAGCCTAAAAAGCAGTTCGTATACTGATTGAACTTAGACAAAACTTGTTTATTACCAAAGCAAACTACCGAAATCCCTCTGGGAGTTGATCCCTTTCACACAGTTCGATCATTTCTGCACTTTTCCTTGACCTTTCCATGCTCTTTTCCATTCTTTCCCCTTCTTTTCCCCTTTGCCACACTTCTCCCCACCAATCGATTCGAATACTCACTCCGGGACAATTTCTTGATAAAATCTTCATTTTCATTTTGCAAAAGATTTACACGTTTTTCTTTTTTCACTACTTTTCTTCGCAAACGATCAAAGCCCACGGGATTTTACGGATTTGATAGTTTTTGAAGAGAAAAATGTAAAAGTAAAACAGCGAGTAAAACAAAACGAAACAACCTTGTTCAACAGTTATCTTAAAATCCATTGGATCAATTGGAAAACAAGCCTAATCAGGAATTTTATAAGAACTAGACAAATTTCTAAGTGATTATAAGAGATCCTCTAAGAGATCCTGGTTCAAGTTTTGAATCCATATGATTTAAAAGGAGTGAAATGGAAAGTTCAGATCAAGAGCAAGATTTGTAAAAAGTTCAAGCTTTAATTCTTTCTAAAATCTCTTTAAAAAACCCAACTAACTTTAAGTTTCGAATTGCCAAAAATTGTTGCATTTCTGTCTTTTGTCCTTTTCTCTCTGATCGGTCATAGACTAGAAGCCTTATCTCTTTTCGCCTATTCCTTTGCATCAAATTCTTCCATAATTCTTTTTTTCATTTACAGACACGTCATTCAAATTTACAAGTCAATACCAATGCCCTGTCTTGCCAAATTTTTCTGAATTGATCTAACCATCTCGAATTTTTACATTCAAATCTGTATTTTTAACCAAATTTTTTGAAAATTCTTTGTTGAAAGAATGCTTAGCCTATTTAGATTTCGTTATTTTTACTTTTTTTTCATAGATCTAGATCCAATCGGGCACCTGTCAATGTCTCCAATATTTGCTCATCGTTAACCCCCAGACAAGGCACTAACTTTGCTTTGTAGGGTCAAGAATTTATAAGAAGCTTGCTTGATAATAAAAAGATTTTCCCTTCTTCATTGCAATTACTTTTCAAAAAGCTGTAAAATTAACTTTAATTAAGTTTCTACAAATGCGCAATGCTCCGCCGGACTCGCGCCGAGTCACATTGTTGTTATTCAGCGCTCTCGTCGCTGACATGCTAGCATTTACTTGTATTCTTCCACTTTTCCCATCAATTCTCAACTATTACTCGAAGAGTGAAGAAAAGGTGAGTGAAATGCTTAAGTTTATGAGTCAATTGCTTAAGATTACGAAAAATGAAGTTAGCTCTATCATTATCATATCAAATAAGTTAAAAGCTACGGGGGTGGGACAAATGCGACCTTTTTTTTGCGCACCTGGACATTTGCGCACCTTTTTTTTGCTGGAAAAGGCCTTAGGCAGGGCCGTAGAGCTTCGAAAATATTTCCATATAAGGGAATCGTATGCGTAGATTCCGAATTTCGACAAATCAGACCTCGCTGACACGTCAAATTTGGGCTAAAAGGCAAAAACTGCGGAAAAGCGTTAAGTTGCGTAGTTTTTGCCTTTTAGCCCAAATTTGACGTGTCAGCGAGGTCTGATTTGTCAAAATTCGGAATCTACGCATACGATTCCCTTACATGAAAACATTTTTGAAGCTCTACGACCTTTCCTAAGGCCTTTTCCATCAAAAAAAGGTGCGCAAATGTCCAGGTGCGCAAAAAAAGGTCGCATTTGTCCCATCCCCAAAGCTACAAAATTAAAGATACAGTCGACTCTCTATAACGGAATGTAAGGGAACAAAAAATTTCTCCGTTATATAGAGCTTTCCGTTATATAAAGTGCCGTTATACAGTCGACTCTCGATATAACGACTCTGTCGTTATATCGAGAGTCGACTGTATAAACCGCGAAATGAAGTCGTTATATCGAAAATCGTTATATAAAAGTAAAAAAGCAAAGGCTTAACTCCAATTTCTTATATCGAATTACAAAAACCGTTTATCAACAAAACGAAAACAACAATTCCCCTCAAAGCTTAGCGAAAAAAAATCTGTAACGCGAGACTGCTTATTTTTAACCAAAAATCTCATAAAAAAAGTTATATAAAGAACAGTTAAGACAGCAAAAACTTTCTAATCAGCCTTTTTTCTTGTACAGTTTTGTAATCTTTTAAAAACGACTCCTCAATTATTTGTTTCTTCAACGCAAGATCCAACTTTCCTCTTTTTGTTTTCTCCATCTTGTGCCTGAAAAAAAACAAATTATTTTTAAATAACAGCTAGAAAAGCAAAAAAAGTTGACTAATTTGACGTTTGAATAAAAAATAATTAGCAGTCTCACAATAAAAAAATTATGTTAAAAGTCTTTAGCTTAAAACTATGATATAGTTTTAAGCTTAAAACTAAGACCATCAACTACTGTAAAAATTATTCACATTTTAGTCACAAAGTCGTTACATCAAATCAAAAGTTAGTTAGTAGGGGATTAAAAAAGTCATTATATCGAGGTCGACTTAAGGTATTTTGTTAAGCACTTGACCGGGACCGTAAGTATGAGTTATATTGAGAGTCGTTATATTGAGAGTCGTTATATTGAGAGTCGTTATATTGAGAGTCGTTATATTGAGAGTCGTTATATTGAGAGTCGACTGTAGATAGCCTAGCGTCGGCCGGGACCAAAATTCCATTCCGCTAGATAGAGTTCCGTTATAGAGAGTCGACTGTAATTCAAAATTCAACATTTGCAAACTCTAAACAATTTTCAGGATTGGTTATTCGAGAGTATTCAACAAAACCTCGTCAAATTCGAGCGTTTAATCGGAGTCCCCGGGAATGAGCGATATCATAACTCGTTCTTTGGAGGTGTGTCTAAAATAATCGACTTTATTCTGTTAACATGTCAGCTAAACATTATTATTAGAGATCATAGAACAGTATTAGAGATCATAAGCCCAACCAATTTAAGATGAAATGGAGGATGAAATGACGCCGAACTTTAAAGACACTTTTTACACTCATAAAGCCTTCTTTAAATACACTTTTTGTTTCATAAAAAGGCTCACTATTTCTCTATAAAATAACTTTTAAGAAATTCCACAAATTTTAAGAAATTCTTTTCTTTTATGGAGCTTATAGACTCCCAAACACAGCTAGTCAAAATGACAGAGTTCGACTCATCGTTTGAACAGTTTCTTTCACATAAACCTCTTTTTATGTCTACATAAAAAAGATAGAGCATCCTCAATTACATAAGTTGCCAAATTTTCAGAAAGATTCCTTCAACCGTTTTCTCTAGCTGATAGTTTATAAATTTTGTGTAAAAATGGCGCTGTTTAAGTTCTCTTGTTCTCTCATTTTGTAGAAAATTAGTTAATCTTTCTAATGATTTCTATAAACTTTCTAAACGCGTATCATTTAACGAAGTCTGTTAGAAGTCTGTTAGAAGTTTTCTTTCATTTCCGCCATTTCATTCTCCCCAACCCAATACTTTTAGGTCTATTGGGCTCTCTATTCTCAGCTCTTCAATTTGTCGCCTCTCCAACTTTGGGTGCTCTTTCCGATACATATGGAAGAAAACCGTTAATGATTTTGTCAGCAATTGGAACTTTTACATCATACGTGGTAAGTTTTGATTATACTCAAAAGGAAAAGCTTCAAAGCTTGCTGGAATTTCATGAAAAACGATTTGAGCTGTTCAATTTGTTGGTTTTGAAAACAAAACAAATAATGTAATCTTTCTGGGTTCAGGTCTGGCTGTATTCGAAATCGTTCTCGCTTTTTGTTTTGTCTCGAGTGATCGGCGGTTTGAGCAAAGCTAATATCAATGTTGCGACGGCGATCATCACCGATGTCTATCCACCAGAACAAAGACAAAGAGGAATGGTAAGCAAAAATGGACAACCAGTCTTGGATCTAAAAATGGACAAAAATGGATCTAAAGAGCCTACTTTCTCAACAAAAGTCAGCATAAATCTATAGCTTTTACTTTAAAAAAACAGAGCAAACAAAAACTTGTCGCATTTCAGGCAATCGTCGGCATGTCTTATTCAGTCGGTTTCCTCGTTGGCCCAATGATTGGAGCATTTTTCTCGAAAATCGCTCCCGTTAACCAATTCTACACAACACCTGCCTATTTCTCGATTGTGATGACGATCATCTATTTTCTCATTGTTTTCTTTGCCTTACCAGAAACTGGATTAAGAAGCCAGGTAAAATTAAAGGACAGAGCTGAAAATTAAACTGCTTTCAGGTTGAGAAATTCAAAAGCTCAAGTCGTGTCAAACAATTGGTACATCCCGGAGAGCTTTTCAAGTTTTCCGCTATTGAAGCACCAGCAGAAAGTAGAGTTTTAAATATCAAACACATTTTATCCAAAATTACAGAGAAAGAACAAATCCAACATATTGGTTGGGTGTATTTTCTCTATCTTTTCTTGTACGCTGGACTTGAGTTCACTCTGCCATTCTTGACTCATGAACGATTCGGATTTGACAGGTTTGTGGTAATCGCATTATTTTTATGTGCATTTGATCTAATCTTTTCACTTTCATCTTCTCGATTTTAGCATGCAGCAGGGTAAAATCTATCTCTTCAGGGGATTGCTCATGCTGCCGATTCAAGGACATTTCGTACGAAAGACGCCGATGCACAGGTGAGAGAAATTGAATGGGGCTAATTTTGAATGATTTGCCCAAATTCAAACTGATCTTTCAAGTGTTTGACCCAAAAAATAACTGTGTTCCAATACAAAAACACTAATTCTAATCCAATAAGCTCGATTTTTAAAGATTGCCAGGAAAAACAGAAGCTCAGTTTCAAATATAAAATTCCAGACAAAAACTGGTTGCCCAAGTTGGATTGACATGCATTGTGCCAGCATTTCTTCTTTGTGCCATCGCTGAAAGTCTTCCAGTACTCTACGCTGGATTGGCTCTTTATGCTATTGGTTGGTAGTGATGAAGAGTTGAATGAAGAATTAATAAATTCAGCTTCTGCAACTGTTGTGACGAGTCTGACTTGTTTGGTGACAAATGTTTATCCGACAAAGGATCACGGAGCTCTCGCTGGAGTTTTCAGAAGTTTAGGCGCTTTGAGCAGAGCATTGGGGCCAGTGTTGGCGGCTTCAGGTAAAGTTTGTTACTTATTTTAAAATCTATCTATGATCGATCATATCAGAATTTGATCGACTATGAATGGATTGTTTCAAAATAAGACTCTTTTCAGTTTTCTGGCTTCTCGGACCCACTTTATGCTACACGATTGGCGCTTTCCTTCTCCTCATTCCACTTTATTTAGCCAGAAAAATACCGAACCCACCAAAAGTTGAAAAAGAAAACTAATTTTTTTATTGTCTAGCATAATGTGTTGATAAGAGCTGTGATTTGATCTCAAAACATTTCGCTTCCTTTCCCCTAAATCCTGTGATTTTCTCTATACGAGTGCCTTCCTTCAATAAATTTCTTTATTCTAAATCTTTTGAAAACCGAAATGTCGCATCGAGTTCGGCTTTTCGTTGATTGATTTCCTTCTTTTGTTTTCGTGAAAGCAATTTGTTGAGATACGATTGAACGGCTTTGTGGATTGCTTCTCGGCCGCCTGAAAAGAAAAATGTTCTTTAAAACATTGACTAAACAATAGCTGGTTCAGGCTCTTTCTTTTTTGAAAAAAGCAAAAGTTTCTGACGAGAGTGGGATTCGAACCCACGCCTCCGAAGAGACCAGTGCCTTAAACTGGCGCCTTAGACCGCTCGGCCATCTCGCCACGGTTGCAATGCGAAAACTTTTATGGGAAAAGGCACTGGATTGCCGTTCCTTTTGTCTAATCTAACAGAGAGTGACCCTTTTCAATGAAAATATCTATCGTAAACATGTTTACATTAGATTTTTCTGTCAGCAACTCTGCTTGAGCACATAATTACCTCCACTTTTTCGCACTTTGTTGACGATTTGATGCAATCGTTTCATATTTTTCGCTCCAATGTACTGTCGTGCGAAAGCCTGAAAGTTAATAATGGGATTACTAAATGTTACTTGGGTTTTAGGCTAGAGTTTCATTTGAGATCTACTCGTTTTATGCTTGTAAAATCTCAGTTTTTAAAAAAGGAAGGCTTCCTGATGATTATTAGATACAAAAATCTTATCTTAAAGTTCTCAAAAGAACAAACCTTTCCCCGTTGAACATATTCTTGCAAAGAATGAGCTGGATAGGGAAAACTCCAATCAATCACTTCAGCTTTTTGCTTCTCTTCTTTCTCAACTTCATTCTTCGCCACATCCAAGAGATCATCAGCTTTCGGTTTATCTTCAGAATTCTCTGACTCTTCCTGTTCTTCATCTTGAGATTCTTCTGTTTTTGGTTTATCTTCAGAATTCTCTTCAATGTTTTCTGGAGTTGTAGTTGGCTCAGTTTCTTCATTCTGTTCTTCATCGTCTTCAGATTTTGATTCTTCGGTGGTTTCAGTAATGGCTTCAGTTGTAGCTTCTGGATTCTCTTCAGAATCCTCATCATTAACTTCTGCAGCTTCTGTTGTACTTTCCAGACCAAGCGTTGAACTCAAATCTGTGGCTTCTGTCGGAGCAGCATCAAAATTCAACTCCACATTCTCATCCGTTGAATTTGAATCCGAATAATCAACTTCTGTCGTTGTCGGAGCTTCTGTTGTCGTCGTTTTCTTCAAACTTTTCGACTTCTTGTATCCATTAGCAGAAATAAACAAAATAAGAAAAACAGCAAGGCAAATCGATCTCATTTTCAAAGATGTGAGATCTGGCAGAGTGAAAGTCTGAGTTGAGTGTGCCACCAGAGAAGGAGCCAATCACTCACTTGATGGGAATGTCTTATTGAGCCTTATAGACCTCCTCCCATCCTAGTCTTTTTCTCTTCCTGAAACCACTCGACTTGTGCACGTTTTTCGGGCACTTTTTCTCCAAATTTCATCTACTTGATCTTGAAATTTGTTCATGGGTGAGTAGATTTTAGTCTCCCTTTGGGTAAGTTCAAGGTGTTCCGCGGCAGAGGAGACAGGTCACAAGGGATGTGTCTCGGTTCAAGGTCTGGAAAATTTGAGGAAGTGGACTTTGTGATTGGAAATTTTGTCTAACTTGAAAAAAAGTGTTAGTGCTGGAACGATTTTGTGAACCAAAAGAGTAGCAAATTCAGTAAAAACAAAACTAAAATCTTGTAACATTAGAAGAAATTTGGGTACTTATGGGTTATACATCCACAGCGACTCAACTAGGAATATACATCCACAAATTTGCATATCAAGCAAATTTCCAGAAGGTGGACAAATTCAAGATATGGATGTATTATATATTCCCAGTTGAGCCGTTCTTTTAATACAATTCTTTTACTCTTCGACGAATTTTTGGATTGGTGAATTGAAAACTGCGGGCTATTGTCATATGTGACAGTTTGAGCACTTTCTTCAAAAGAAACCCATTTCGGTGTCAATGGAAAAGTTGTAGAGAATCAAAAATCAAGCTTATGTCCAAATTTTCAAAAAGATTCAAAAACTGATTTTCAAGGGATGCCAAACTTACGAATTTTCACAAGACTTGCATTTTAAGCGAAACTACTAAGTGTATCTTTTTGGAAAGTTGGCTATAAGCCTAATTTTTGAATCTCTACAACTTTTCTATCGCCACCAAAATGGGTTTCTTTTGAAGAAAGTGCTCAAACTGGGACATCTCCATTCCTCCATTTTTGAGTCTCACACTTGTCTCACACACAAACCAAGATCCTACTACGAAAGAGAAATCCGCAAATTGCCTGTAAAATGGGCAGAAGTCGTCAATAATAATGGAAATTATTTGTCTAGAATCAATTTATCTTTTTTAAATTTGTTAGAATAAATTTTAGCCTTCAAAGTTTGGGGAGTTTTGGGCCATTCACCATGGACCTCGCCCCCATAGATTACCTTTTAGGTTCGAGATCATGATTAGGCGACGAAAAAGGCCAAACAAAACAAAATCTAGATTTTAAAACCGTTAACCACATAGCTTTAATTGTATTCATTCTTGGCTGCGAGGTTTTGTTTGCTAACACTAGGTTTAACCGACTAGTTCTTTTTCATTAGTTTTGAAACGCACACCTTATACGTAAATGACAAAGTCCCGCAGTTTTCAATTCACCAACCCAATACATCCACAAATTTGCATATCAAACAAATTTCCAGAACATGGACAAATTCAAAATATGGATGTATTATATATCCCATTTGAGCCGTTCTTTTAATACATTCTTTTACTCCGACGAATTACATCCAACAACAACATCAACGCTTTCTCATAATCATTACGTATTTCTTTTTCCAAAATGCACGGAATAATGTATATTGTAGTAGATTTGTTGTTCACAATTGTAGATGAATAGAAGCCTTTCTGTTTTCATACCTGAAATAGGGTACGATAAATATCATAATAATCATTATCATAGAATTTCAGCATCTCTAATCCCTTCCATAATACTTCCAAAAGCTGAAAAACAATGCCACCAACCCTTTCTCAAGACAAAAATTCATATTTAATTCAACATTTTCTTAAAATGTACCACCCAGAAAGGGAGAAATCGGCTCCTCAAAGCGGCTATCTTCACACAAAAGACTCAAAAGGGATCGTCTCCCCGTTACGACTGATTTATTTTATGACCATTTCTTGGGTGGTTTTCGAGAAGAATAAATGGGAAAAGGAAAAGACTGAGAATTGAGAATCCTGCCGATCATTGCCTATCTTCATCCCCCTTGGGGTTTCTAATCCCCAGCCTATCCCCACCACTTACCCCCACATTTCTCCCACCACCCATTTTGTGACCACATCTGGATCGAGTTTTTACGACTGTGTTTAAGAAAGATTTTTCACCAATTTATTTGCAATCCCCTAATTCCTGAAAGTATTCAGAAAAGCTTTTTAAATGCTTATTTGTGCTCTTATCTTTTTTGACAAAATTTTCTGACGAGAGTGGGATTCGAACCCACGCCTCCGAAGAGACCAGTGCCTTAAACTGGCGCCTTAGACCTCTCGGCCACCTCGCCATGGCTTTGAGGGCAAAAATTTTGTTGAAAAGCACTTCAATGGCTTGCTGTCAATTTGCCTAATCTATTGCAATGTGTCAAAAAGAGACGCTTTTCAATAGAAAGATTCAAAATTGCTTTTCAAACAATTTTCAACTTCAAAGGTCAATCATCAATCGATAAATTGGTATCACGAACGGAAATGGGAACATCTTTGATCAATTGCAAGAGATAGATTGTAATATCCGTTTCCCCTTTCGGAATGGTGAGCTGTCACCACCGATTTCCCCTCGATTTTCGTCGTTCGGTCGAATGAGAGAAAAGGGCCTGTTCACTGTGCCATGTGATCCGATTTGTGGTCGGAAAAACGCAGAGACCACAAACAACCTCAGCGACGAAGTTTTTGGCGAATGCATTAGATTGCAATTGCAAAAATTGATATCTTCCTTTATTTCGAAATCTTTTTGAATCATTTGATATTGTCTGTAGCTTTTATTTCTTTCATTTTTCAAGATATTCAAATTCTATGAGAAGGATTTGAGGTTGGGTTGGTGTATGAGGGAGTCAAATTGACATGTGGTTGGGCTCTCCATCATTTGCATGAAAGGAGAAGGGGAGTCAATTTGAGGAAAGAGAAGGGGCAAAAGGATCCCCTCAATCCACTTCCAATGAACAGACTATGACTGGTCACTCATCCTTTCATGGGTAAGTTTAGTTTAGCTCTTGAGTGAAGGAAAAAGGGAAAGATTTGAAAGAGATTTTGTTAGGCAAAGGATTCTGATTCTGAAGCAATAAATTGACAAGAAAATGAATCAAAACCTTGCGCTTTTTATTAGCTTAACAAAATTAACTTCACTTGTTTGGTTTTTCCATAAGACACTCACCACTGCGAGTGTTTCAGCTCAAGAAGCCAACTTCACAATCCTTTTCATATCTTGCATGGATATTGTTCCTGTTTTGAGCATTGAGAAGCATTGAGCACTTTCTTGGTACACATCCCTTTGTGTATTGGCGTGTGGAAAACCAATCCCCGCTTCTGGTTGGAACAAGGGAGGCTGCTCTCTGCCTCTTCCCCTCTTCCCCTCTTCCCACCCATCGGCACCCTTTGACTACTCACTCCCCTCCCTTCCCCCTTCCACTCAATGTTCTTTTCTTTCACCCAAACTCTTTTCCTTCTTTGTCATTCCTTTACCCTTTCCAAATATCCTGCTCTCTTTAAAACCCTTTTCTCCGTGTTCACAAATGCGCACCCCCATGAATACATGCTAATTCGTACGAAACCCCGACTTTCCTTTACCAATGCTGTTACCTTTTTTTGTATGAATATCAGCTAGTTCAAAAGTGTAGTACTCTTTCAAGAGAATATCACTGAGCTAAAATTACACTTTTGGCTCATATGGCTAGCGTTCCAAATTATTCTTGATCTTGTTTGGCTTCAGTATCTTTTGCCCAGATTGACTAGAACTTATAGCTTTAATGATCAATGAATTCATCTATATTATCCTGTTTCATTTGAATAGCTGTTTTTTGAAACGAAACTCTTCAAAACAGGAACTAAGCACTTAAAATCGTTGAAATAGTCAGAGAACTTGAAAACCCCTTCATTAAGAGCATTTCAAGAAGCACATTCCCAGTGTTTTTGACCACAAAAACTGCGCTTCTTTTGAACTTGGGAAAACTCGGAAATAAAGCATTCAGAAAATTTGAAAGAAAAGATTTGCAGGGATTGGTGAAAAGAAGCGCTGACTGGAAGCGGAGAACCCTTGGGCACACAAATATTTTCACAAAGGCACCAAAAGCACACACGGAAGCGCAACGATCTCACGGAGAAGATTGTGAAGAGAAAGGAGAACCCTCGAATTTTCTCGAAATCCTCTAAAACCTGACCACAAATCGGCTTTTTAGACTTTTTTTTAGGGTTTTCACTTGCAAACGGTTTAAAGGGGTTCTAGAAATAGATTAGAGAGGAACCTGACAGCAGTGCTTGATAGTTAGGCTACTTTTGGAAATAAAAACTGCAGATTTTTGGACTTGAGTCAGTATTTGGTGCAGGGAATGATTACAATATCGTTGCTTGATGTTTGCCATTCTTCTAAAACTTTCGTAAACAAACCAACTCGCTAAAATTTCTATTTTGCTCAAAATTTTATTGAAACTTTTCAAATTTCTGATTAAATCTTTGATTTTTTCATTTTCAAAACTCTTTTTTTTTTTAAATTTCTTGCTTTTCTTCTTTTCTTCATTTTGTTTTGACTGCTTTTTTGGATTTCAAATCTTTTTTTTCCTAGAGAGCACTCAAAAGACAACATATTTTTTTGCGTTATTCAAATATCCGGTGGAAATTTTAGGGAATTTGTTGAAAGTGAGAATATTTTGAGCTCGTTTAAAAGCATAAACAAATGGAAAATGGATCCATATTTTGAGGAAAAAAAGAAAAATTTCCGAATCAACAAACTTTGGCGGCTTATGAACTCTAAATTTTCGAGGATTTTTAATGAAATAACGTTTTTTGAATGTTTGGAAATTGTATTTTCTGTGCAAAATCGAAATTTCGATTTTAAAGGCTAGTTCTTTCAATTCTAAATTCAACTCTAAAGACAAATCAGTCAATTCGGAATTCAAAGTCAAAGAGTTCCCAGGATTCCCCAAGGTGTCCATCCTTTTACCCCTTCGTTTCTCTTCACATCTCTTGATCAAATCTTGCATTCATCGTTTAACCCCTTCTCTCTTTTATCCTTCACTCAATCCTCTATGTTCTCTTTACTCCCGCGGAGACTTTTGATTCAAACTTTCTTTGCAAGCACGTTTTTATTCACTGAAATTCTTATGCAATCAAATTTGTTTATGAATTTAAACGGGATCATTTAGTTATTATTAAATATCCAGCTTCTGAGCCAAGCTAAATGCCAGCTTTGTTAATTTGAAAAGCTTCTTAATGCACTTAAAACAGTTAGATCACTACAGTCACAAATTATAAACTGATAAAGTGGTAAGCAGATATTCTTTCGGAGCAGATATTCTTTTACTTCTAGGAATTTTAGTTGTTCTTGGAGTTTCTAAGTTCTCGAGATCCAAGATCACATCCAAAAAACTGCCGATTTCACTGATCAAATTCCCACCTTTACCCGTTTACTCCATTTACCTCTTCCTCTTCTCCATCTCTCATCCATTCTCTTCATTCCATTGAATCCCCGTTCTCTTCAGTTCTCTTTTAGGTATCCCTCTTCTCTTTCCCACCTTCTCTTCAATCCTTTTCTTTTCTCCCCATTTGCATTGATTACCGTGAAGAAGGGGTGCTTCCCCACAACCTTTTTCGTCCTCGATTCTCGTCTCCTTTTTATCACCTTTGAATCAAACTTTTTTGCTTTTAGGTCAAAGCTAGTTTTCACAATGTTTCTGTGGTATTCTACTAGATTTTTAGTCTTTAATGGATAAGATAATGTAGTTGATGTTTGTTATCTTTTCTTGGACAAAAGTTCAAAAAGCTTTAAGGATTGTACCTTGCTTAAAAGAAGGGCCCAAATTAAAACCGATTCTCACTAAAGGCAAATTCTCGGCAGATAGGCGTAGTAACATAGTTTTGTATAAATTTGCAGCTCAATATCTTTTTAATGCGATCTAGAAAGCAAAAAAAATCCATTTGGCTGAAACACTCAAGACTGAAACGACAACTGATTTCACCAATCACAACTTTAACATTTGAGGATTCATTTCTCAATTTTGTCTTTCTTTTCTTTTCTTTCCAAAAACTTTTATTGTAACTGTAAATGACCGCTTTTTTTTATGTGAATGAGTGCGCAATTGGGGAAAGATTGTAAAAAGTTGTGCGAGCGGCTCATTTTCGGTCTCTCAAAAACGAGCTCCGATTGAGCAATGCTGAAATTGAACAGCAAGGAGAGCAAAGGAAAAATGCCGCCAAAATTGCCGACAATGTGGAAATTGATATTTAGATACTGATAAGAAGAGATTGGTGGGTAACAATTGTTGACTTAGCATTGACAAAGTATTTCTTTTTTTCCCTGAATTTTGGCAAAATTCTCAGCTTATTGAGAGCTTTTACCTAGTCAACTGTCAGTGCTTTTAGTTGTCAGTGCGTTGCTGACTTGTCAGTGCTTTTAGTTGTCAGTGCGTTGCTGACTTGTCAGTGCTTTTAGTTTGGTAAAATCCATTTGTATAAAGTTTCCGCTAATGTTTTCCAACTAATTACGGGTTTCGGCGAGGAAAACTTCAAAATTACAGCTTTCATTTCACATATGGTTGAGTTTTGGAAAGAGAAAGGGGAAAGAGAAGGCGCCAAAGAGGAAAAGACCGGTCAGCCAGAGGCATTACCCCGGCCATCCCCCCTCTCTCGCTTTGACTCCACCCTCTTCCTTCTCACTACAAACTTGGATCGATTTTTTTATTGTTTTATTGAGAACTTTGCTTATTATACTTTTATGGTACAATTAAACGACTATTTCGATAGCTTTTAGTACTTGAAATCCCCTCCAAAATCTACACCTTCTAGAGAACAATCACAACTTAGCTTTGCCAATTTCATTCAAAACTTTAGGAAACTTAAACCAGCCTTTAATCAAGTTTTATATCAAATTCTCAAATTCTTCTGATACCAAGGAATAAAACAAATATCTTACCCCAGTAAACTTACTTTAGAACAAACTTACTCCTCTTTTCCACAAAAATCCTTCTCCGACCCAGGGATTCATAAATAATTTGGCAAAGCCACTGAGGGGCCACATTTTCGACTCAAAAGAGAAAGAGTCAGTTGGAATGTGACGGATAAAAAAGTCGTAGGGGATGAGTACGTTTTTTGGGTTGACTAGCAGCCTCATATTGGATGTCGGACCTGTCAAAAGACGTTCACAACCTCATTTTTCAAACCGCCGAGAGACGCTTTTGACTGAAATAAGCCAGCACAACAAATTGCTAGGGTAGATATTAGAAAATCGGTTGACAAAGTAGTTTTTTGAGATGACAGGTTATGAGTACTGACTAGATAATAGGTAAACGAGCTATTGAAAGTTTAAGGTATAATAAAATTTCGGTTTTCAAAAGCCATTCAATCATCTTAAGTACTTGCAGTCAAGATTATAGTTTTTCGATTTAAAATTCGTATAATGCGAATTAGAATAATGTGTCCTTTTTATAGCTTTTTGGGATTTCATAATTTGAACATAATGAGTCAAATCGCACCTTCAAAATCGAAAAACTATAACCTTGGCTGCAAGCTGAAGTACTTAAGATAAGCGCCACTTCCTCTCAGCAATTTGTCAGATTTTGGTACTTTTTTGTAGCTTAAACAACCCGATTCATCGCTCAAAATGTTTTTGTCGGATCGGCCTCACACTAGGCTCCACCATCATTTTTCTGTCTCATCCCCTTTTTCCCCTTTCCTTTTTATGAATACAGCTGCTCGTCGGAGATATTGTTGTGACAGGATATTGTGTTCACAAAAGACCATTTGATCTATTCTAATGGGAAAATTATTAGCTTCGGAAATGCTCTAAATTTCAGCTCAAAAAGCTTTCTACTCACTACTTGGTTCATCACTTTATTTAGCCTTAATTTATCTAGTTTGAGAGCTTTGACCTCGACAATCGACCTGGCTCAGGGGAATCACTAATCCAAACATAGCTCCAGGACAGATAGGTCGATTATTTGCTCGATTTGTTTTCCGATCTTTTCCTCTTCAAATAAAGTGATGCCATTGATTTCTGGCAGAGAGATGGATTTGGTATTTCACTTTTGATTGTTTATAAAAAACATTTAACGATTAGGCAACTAAATCCGCAATTTTACATTCAAAACATGGCTGTATGAGAAAATCTAAACTATTTTTCATTCAACTTGCTATTGTGTCAAAGTTGCGGAGAATAGAAATGGAATAAGGTAGAAAACAACTACGAAACCTACAACAACTACGAACAACTTCAGTTTATCTGTGAATTGAAACGGATTACAGCTGAAAACAGCTACGTAACCTAGGATTTCTAGCTTTATCTGTGATTCCGGCGCTAACTTGATCGAAGCAGATAATCCAATCAAAGTTCAACTACAGTCGAACTTTACTATAACAATATAGAAGTGACCAAAAATTTCTATATAACGATTCTAAAACATTCCTCAGATTTTCTGCGTAGCTGCCTGTACGGGTAACAATGTTCTAAACAATTGCACCTAATTGGGCAGCCACGCAGAAATTAGGGGCACCTTTTAGAATTTCAAAATCGTTATATAGAAGGGATTATAGAGAAGTTCGACTGTAGCCTAGAGCCAGCAAATTGGCTATTAATTGTCAGCATTTTCCAAGGTATAATACCAAAAAAGGCATAGCTAACTTAAATCTAAATAAGTATAGTCTTTAAACACGTGCTTATTCAAACCAAAAGGCTAACTTTAGCCCACATAATCTTAAATGAAACCCAATCGACTGATTTCATATGAACTCTTTCACTATATTCCCCCTTCTGTCTATCTCTCGTCAATCTTCTTTCCCAAATGGGATGGTGCCATTGATTTTTGTGGGCTCTTTTCCCCATTCTTTTTCCTTTTCTCTGACTCAGTGACCATTCCCCTTTTCTTTTCCGTTTTTCTCTCCCTTTTTGACCAAAATCTTTCCATTCATTGCCTTTTCACACACCTAAAAACCGTGTATGTTCAGTGTTTTCTTTTCAAAAACTTATTGGAACCGATTGAAATCGTTTTATCTTTGCAATAGTTGATGTAAACATGTTAATCTTTTCAAAAAAAGAATTAAAAATGGCAAAATTTGTTAAAATTTGAATCAATGACACATTTTTTGTTCTCCTTTGTCTTAAATTGTTCAAGTTTTACCCTTCATTTTCTTCCAAATGATAAGATAACCCATTCAATTTTACTCCTTCCTCTTTCGAAATTTAATATTCACAAATAGAACCCAAATTTTCTTACAGAAACTGGAGCTCCTACATGCGCCGATGATTGTGGATTTTCTTTTTAATGTATTCTCCTACATTCCGCATTTTAACTTTCATTTCAAGAAGGTTAAACCAACATTTGATGTTGATTTTCGCGGAGAATATGTTCAAGTGAGTTAGAGTTAAGCTGCTGATTGAGTTGAATTCTTGGTTTCAAGCTTGTTTACTGGAGCAAAATTAATAGTGTTTAATAGTCTATGTTTCTAGAACAAGCTTGTTCTGGAGAACACGCTTGTTCTAGAAACATAGACTATTAAACACTATTAATTTTGCTGATTAGTACTTTTGTTTACCTGAGTTTACTATCCAGTTCGCTTGCAAAATTCAAACCCAACTCAAACATTTTTATACTCAAAACCCCGATTTCAGTCTCTTCTTCTTCTCGCTGCCTTTTGTGGAGTGATTCTTCTGCTTCTCCTTTGCACAATCGCCACAATATGGATTTGTCAATGCTGTCGTCGGCATGATGCATCGGTGAAATCACGAAGAAAAGTGAAGAGACTCTCAACGGCTCTCTTCGTCATCTCAATCTTTTGCTTGTAAGTTTAGCGAAATCTTTCTAAAAACACTTCTATTCCAGATATTCTAGATTATTTGACGCTTAAGACCTTGAAGAATTTTTGAATAAAAACCCCGGATATGGAGTTGAATGCTTAATTGCGTCAAAGGGAAACCAAAGGGGTACTCAAATTTCTGCATATTTCTGCACCAAAGTCATTTTAAGAGAAAGGGGAAACGATTGAATGGCTAAGTGGTGGCTGGTGGTCTAAAGAGAAAAATGAAGGCAGAGGGTTTCATAGATCGCAAAGTCTTAAAAGGGACTTCAGTAATTTCCTCTCTTTCCATCAACTAAGCCTCATTAAATTTCCACCGCTTTTAGAGACCAGTAAAAGAAATGAAAGCTGAAAAGTTGGGAATGAGAAAGAAATATAGAAAACTTTGGATAGCACCAGTTAAACTGAAATCAGCTAAATGCCAGTAAAGTAAGGAATGAGAAATAATTCCGGAGGGATTGAGCCCTCAACCTTTTTACTTCTCACTTGCTTTCCAGGCTGCTAACCACTGAACTATTGGGTATCCGCTTGCCATAGAAGAAAGAGGAAATAAGAATATAAATCCAAAATGTCTTAAACATTTTTGTGATCAAATCGAATCCAGACAAATTGCTTTTAAGATGGTTTGGACATTCAGTTCGATTTCTTTGCTATAGATCTATAGATTTGAGAATTACTTACTTTGAGATCTATAGATCTATAGAACTATAGAATCTATAGATCTATAGAACTATAGAATCTATAGATCTATAGATCTATAGAATATATATAAACAAGTCTCTGAAGTTTTAAAACAGCTTAATCAAAGCTCAACATTTTAGCGCTTAATTTTCAGCTTTTTTCTCGGCTTCACCCTCTTCGCCAACGATCAAATCAATCGCGGTGTGTCAAGCTCATTGAATGGATTGGATGATGTGACTCGATCGTTCATCTTGGCTAAGAGTCAGGTAAGCTAAAATAATATCAAGAGCAGATCATCATTATAACTTCAGCATTTTTAGGGCTCAATTCTCAACGGTACTTGCGGTAACTCAAGCACTCATATCAAAGAACTCTTCGATGTTGTTGACAAGAAACGAAAAGAGAAAGGAGTCAATCAAACGGTAGCTACAAACGGTTTTCTCTCATCTTCATATTTTTTCAGTTAGTCACTGAAATTGACGGCGCTTTGACGAACATCTCGGACACGGTCGAGGACGTAATGGATCGATTGAGGAAATTGGATGGAGTGCTTATTGATGTCTCTTTCTTGGATAAAGCTCATGAATATGGAGAGAGGATTGAGATTGAGAGGTTGGGTATAAGAGTTATTTCGCTCTACCGCCTACATCAAACAATCCACAATTCTTTTCGATTTTAAAACCAATTTTCCACTATCTAATAGATCCACTAAATTTAAAATTGCATTATTTTCTGTAAAATTTACTATTTGTTGCAATCACGTGACCCATGAAGCCAAAATTCAATTACTAGTGTCGTGTTTTGTTGAAAAAGCAAAGCTGATTGAGTCTTCTTTTTCTTTTAAACTGACATCGGGTTGATTTGATTCTTTTCTTTACCCTCACGCTTCGTTGATTCGAAAACAAAAAGAACAAAAGATTTGTACAGATGGGTATATGGGTATAGAAAAGAGTGCCGACTGAGATTTGAGGTCTCTTGGGGATGCTGGGGGAAGAGTTGTGGCTGTGGAATTGTGACTAAAACTTGCTAGTAAAATAGATTATTTTTAGGGGAATATTTTGTAGCCTTTGACTAGCGGGATATAGTTTCAACAGAATAAAAGAAACAAAACAAAATTTGCATAATATTCAATCACTTCACAAAGCTTAGATGGCTTCTCTTGGTGCTCGTCCAATCCGTGCAACTTTGCGTTCTCTTTGCCGGTGTGATTGCCTTTTGCAGACAATCAAAGGTAAGTAAAATTTAGATAATGATATAAAAAGCTTAAATCTAATACTTTAGCTGTTATTTTCAGAAAGGAGCCGTAATTTTTTCATCCCTCGGCATCGTCATCTTTGTGGTTGTCTGGTTGTTGACAGCTTTCGTCCTTCCAGCAAGTGTTGTAAGTTTTAAAAAGCTAAGATTTCAAGACAGATTTTTACGATTATAATATTGTTTCAAATATCTTCAGGGACTCTCCGATTTCTGTTCGAATGGCGGTGCATTCGTCAAGGCAAAGATCAACGAGAAAATGATTGAGACTCTCGATTTCTACAAGGATTGCAAAGTCTCGACATCACGTGATAATGTAATGAAATATTTATAGCAATTACCTTTTTGAATTCAGGTTCCATTGGTCTTGGGAATGAAAGAAGTCTCGGCATCACTTAATCTCATCCAATCGTCAAAGACCAAACTCGACTCGTTGCTTGATCAAACGTTCAACAGAAGTGCTGAGGTAAATAATAAGACCAAAACTGTACAAAATATAAAATCTTAACAGTTCAAAGCTAACAATAGACTTTAGAAACTCTAGATTTAAAAAGAAGTTCAGGTTGCAAACGTCTCGAGCTTGATCACTGCGGACAACTCGAAGGCATTGATGGATTTGGGTGCTCTTCAATCATCACTCGCTTGTTATGCATACAAAATCGACGTAAATGCAATGCACAGTGGATTGTGCAGTCAAGCTATGTGAGTTAAGAATTAGAATTCATAAAAAAATCATTTAAAACAATAGCATTATTCCAATAAAATCACGATTTCAAGGCTTGGCGCTGGGATCCTTTTGCTCTCATTGTTCCTCTTGGGCGTGATGATGTTCATCTTATTAATTGTCGTCTCAAGAACCTGGCACCTCTTCACCAGACTGTAAGTTCACACTTCAATCTATCAATTTATGCTGTGTTCGTAACCGTTAACATCCTAATTCTGTCCTGGTTTGATATCTAAAACATTTATGTCACCAAACCTAAACTTGATCTCTACAGGTTTATTGGCACTTTACTAACTTTCTTGAAGATCTAAACTATTAAATAATTGTCTTATTCATATGTTTTTTTATCCAATTCATCAAATCCTTTGTTTTGAGTGGTTGTCATCGATGCGAGCAGCGTACTTTCGGCCAAAAACCCACCAACATGAAAAGAGTCGCGTTTCGGTGGGGAAAAAGAGGAGATCTGGAATTTGCATTTATGATAGGAAACGAGTATCGTATCTAAAGATAAAAGATTTAAATTTATTCTTGAGATACGATACTCTTTAGCATCTCCCCTTTAGTTCCCTCTCGATTTGCATGTTTGCGTGTTTTTTGTGTGGTTTCTTTCGATAAATTCTCCATCCTTTGTACACTTTTTGTACGTAGAGCTTAGCTGAGTTTTTATCCATTTAAAAATCTAATCTTACAGTCCATCCGATTATGTGGAAGTGGACGAGGATGATCCGTTTTTCCCAAGAACGAATGATTCGGCGATCCCTGTGGACATCTACGGAACGCATGTTTTCAACCCAAGAACTCGGTTGGTTTTGAGAAAGATCTAGAAAAAAAGAGTTTGATCTGCTCTGAGAGATTTGAAAAAGATCTAGAACTAGATTGACTTAATCACAGTTTTTCTAAAAGTTGTTAGAGAAAACTACCTTACTTCAGCTGTTAAATCTAACTAGACTAGATCTAATCTAAGCTAATCTTTCAGTGAGCAAAGGGCTTACGATAGCTTTTCTAAGAGCATCTTTTATTGTAGAAGTAAAACTTAAAAACTACCGTTCTCCAGCTGTTAAAGCTGTTCAAAACCAGCCATCAAAAAGAGTTACATTAGCTTTCATGCCTTTTACAAGTATTTCCATTAGGAAAAGCTACCGTACTCGAGCTGTTAAAGCTACTGTATTCTAGCTTTATTACATTAAAACACTCAGGTTTAAGATTTAAACTTTTTAAAACATTACAAGCAATAATCATGTAACTTTGCCTGACAATGTGTAGCTAAGGAATCTTGTAATCGAATACAAAATCAACTTTTTAGGGAAATATATTTCCCAGTGCATTACTAGAGCCCCAGCTCAATCTACGGGTATTCATATTGTGATGAAAAAAAAAACATTTCCCCTTCTATTCATTCAAATTTTCTCTCTCTACAGAGCCGTGTACTTTCCATCGTGGTAAGCTTTCTCTCAAAAAAAAAATTGCCTCTCTAATTTCTCCTTTTTTTCGTTCAATTAGACTAGACAATCGGCAATTCCACCTATCCACACTTTGTTTTTCTCTTTTTTTTTCATTGAAGGAGACTTTTGTGCAGTGATTGACACAGCACTTTTTTTTGAAGAAAAAGTCATAAACTTGTCTCAAGCTTTCGAGAATAAAGTTTAGAGTTTTAAAATTTGAGACAACTTTATGGCTTCTGCCGTCACTTTGTTGAATATTACAATTTACTAGGGAGAGAACCGATCCATCGACGGGCACCACATCAGCCAACACCAATGGAACCTCGGCCGATGAGGCCTCGCAGCCACTCTGGCGAGGACCATCCGCTCCACCAGCTAATGGGTAAATCTTGCAACAAGCAGAACATCTAAACCTTTCAACAACTTCCTTAAAATACTTTTGGCTATTGTGAGTTTAAAACTAATCACATCTAATTTAACAGTTAGAAAATAGCTGTATTGATTGATTGTGAGTTGTTTCTTTGAGATACAGAAAGGTTTTAGCTGAAATTTGCTTTAAAAACATGTAAATTTTATCATAAAGGTTACTGGTATTGAACTGAATAATTAATTAGCTCTAACAGTATCCATTTATAGCTATGGATAGGTGATAAGCCTTGCTATGCCGGAAAAAATTCTATTTAAATATTTTCCAATTCTTTTTTATGCCAAAAAAGATATTTTCCAATTCTTAGTATTCAATTTAACTGGTATTAGCCTATAAAATGAGAATTAAAGCTTTGCAATGTGCACTTACAGTACCTATCCCCGCACAGTTCTCGGCGACTACGGAAATTACAACCACGATCGCTATGAGATTCAATAAACTCCAGAATTTCTTAATTTTCCACTTTTTTCCGCTTTTCTCAGTCTTCTTCACCTCACTTTTCTCCAAGAACAACGTATTTTAGTTTTTTTGATAGACTCCTTTCTTCTCTAAATCAATTCCCATCCATCGACAGGTCAAATCAAAAAAAATCTCTTTTCCAAATTTTCTGATTTTGATGAATTCACCAAAATCTAGCCAGTTTTCCAGTTTTTTTTCTTTTATTCATTGCAATTTCAGCGTTTTTGTCACAATTTCGTGTGTCTATTCCTATTTTTTCGATTTTCTGATTGGTGTGCTTTATTGCAGAATATCCACGTTTGATTTATGTCATGGAAATAAATTTATCAGAAATTCTGCAAGTCGACATTGTCCAATTTAAGTCAAAAATAACAAAAAAATGTGTTTTTTTGCGAATGTGTTCGAAGTGGGTAAAAGGAAAGAATTTTTTAGGTTTATTCACTTTTCCTAAAATCTCAACGACATGATAAAACTATTTGGGAAGTAAGATTTCATTTACAAGGAAAGTAAAATTTATAATTTAATCTTTGTACTTGTTTTATTGACTTCTCGCTCATTGTGATCTTCTGGAGAGTATGGCTTAACAAATAGCGATTGTTATCTTACTATATTTAGACTTTCTCAACTTACTTCTACAATCAAGTTCTTTTGCTCTCGATATTTCTACAATGTAACCTATATTAAACCGCTAATTAACGTCACATTTTCGAATTTTTCTTGTTGAAAATGGCTAAATCGATTTTTTAGACTATTTTTATCCTTGCCGTTGTGAAGGGAAAAGGCAGGAAAAAGGCAAATTTATAAATTGCAGCTTCTAAGTTTCTCGCGACGCAAAACGCAAAACCACTCCTTTGTATGGATACCTTTTTCGGTAACGACACCTCCGTTTGATCGAATTCATCAAAAAGCATCTTCCGGTGAACCACCGAAACAGCTCCACTCCGCTCCGTTAAAAGCATCTAAAATCACTTTAGACAGAGTTTTTTTTCATATATTTTGAACAATTTATGAAGTAATGGCTCAAATCCTGTTATCCAAAAAGAAAAAAAAAACAAAAAATAAAAGAAAAGTAAACTTCTTTACTTTTAGAGGAGTGATTTTTTCCTGGCAAAATCATACTCAAAAAGAACTTTTGACAGGATCAATTTAATCAGAATACATGTTTGAATCATAAAAATTTGATGCAATAGGTGGCTTTTTGAGCCTCCAACATTGCCCAAAGACGAAAATGGTCAAAAAACAGATCCTCTGAATCATTATGAGCACTACTGGACAAATTAGAAATCAATCAATAAACAATTTCACTAATTTGAACACTTTTTTTGTAAAACAATTGATTTGTTTCAGAAATGGTCCTCTCCAAATACGAGAGGCCAAAAGGCATCGACAGCAACACGCTTTGGGACAAGTCTCAACTTTTGTTGTGGCCTGCAAATGCATATAATGGGCACAAAAAACTCGTAACTAAGGAAATAATGGGGAGTTTTTATTACAAAAAAACATCCGATTAAGCCAGATAAGAGTTGTTTAAATACAGTTGTTTTTTTGTGACTTTGTGACAGTTGTTTTAATGGGCACAAATTTTCGTGAAATCTCTTTGAAAAATCATTTGTGCTATTTTTATTGACCTTTCGACTCGTTGAGGACTAAAAGTGAGTCAGATTTTGACAGAGTTCATTTGATCAAACAAACAATACCCTTATCTCGTTGAATTTCGCAAAAAAATGAAGGTTAAAATGAAGGTTTTGCTCAAAAATTATTCGAAAACCATTATCTAAAAGGCCGTTAAAAAATAATGGGAAGTTTCTCTTACGAAAAATATCAGATAAAGCCGAATAAAAGATCGAATGTTTTTTGAAACTTTGCAACCAATAGTTCCTTCTAATTCATGTTAGACATTTTTCTGGAGTTTTTTCAGACGCTTTTCACGCGAAAACTGACAAATCGTGAAGAACAAGTGAGTTCTTTCTGAACTCTCTATCAACTTTGAGAATTTGTTTCTAGCTTTTTTTATTTGAAAATTCTACTACTTTGAAATTCTATTAGTTTTTTACATATGAAATTTGGCATGCTCTAACTTTCTCATTTTACGATGGATTTCGCTCTTTTTTTCATATGATATAGTGGAAACATAAAAGATATTAGCATCAAAATATAAGCTCATTATGTAGTGAATTGGCTGTGTTTACTGCAATCTTTTTTCCCTTCGAAAGGCCCTTTTATTTTTGGGACTTGAGTCGATGAGCTCAACTTTTGGGAAATCACGGAGATTACATTGTGGATTAATTCTTTTGAAGTAAATAAAGAATATCAAAAGATGAGCGAAATTCATGATGAAATGAGAAAGTTAGAAAGTGATAAACTCGCCGACTTTTCAGATGTAAAAACCTCTTACCTGAGAGGCAAAGAAACAGAAAAACATTTAAAGAAGACAATTTTTACAGCACGAAAGTGGCTATCCCACGTTAGATGCAGAATGGCTCTCACAACGAGTCAACAATAAGGACGACGATGAGTATTTTGTGGGGAGTGGAGCCTTCGCAAACGTCTATGAAGTGCCGGACACGAATCCGTTAGTGACTAATTAGATTTTTTTTTTGAAAATCACGGTAACCCAGTATCACTATTTTGTGAGAAATGTGCCACAATTTAGACAGCTCGTCGTGAAGCACTATTCAAAATTCACTGGAGTCTTCAAAACGCTTATCGAGAATGAGATCTCAGTCCTCAAGACGTTAAAGCACAAGAATGTCGTTAAACAGTTTGGATGTGTTCGCAACGAAAAGAAGGAAATTATCGGACTCATCATGCCAAAAATGGAGAACACTTTGCTAGATTGTGAGTTGATCGCCTTTTACAAAGCGAGGCTAACTGGGGAAGATCGTCGATTTACCACCAAATTTCAAAACGAGAATCATCACATCTAAACTAGTTTTTTTGCGCTGATTCCAAATCTGCAATCAAATCTACTTCACAAGGCCTATTGAGTCGTAAAAAGCTATTTTTATTTTCTATGGGAAAAGTATTTTTTAAAAGCCTAGACAACAGCTTTAAAGGCAACTTTAAATATTAAATTAAATAAATTTTTTAATTAAATTGATGTTAAATTGTATTCATATATGTTTCAAAGAAAAACTAAAACCAGTGGGCGAGCCAGGGATTGAGCTAGCAAGTCAAGAATTCAAACCTCGAGCATAACCCTTACACCATACGGACATGTTCTCGGAGTCTTTAAAAGTTGACTATAAAGCTGTTGTTGCGGCTTTTAAGAAAAATACTTTTTCCCATAGAGAATAAAAATCGATTTTTACTGCTCCAGAGGCCTCACGAGGTAGATTTGGTTGATTTAATTTGATTGATTGCAGATTTGATTTGGTATCAGCGCGAAAAACTGGTCTTGATTTGATACGTCCCGTTTTGAAAGTCGGTGGTAAATCCACGACCTTCCCTGGTTAGAAAACCGTGACCAAACAGCAAGTTTTAACTCAATCAACTCAATTTTAATAGTATTGAATTGCTTTCAAATTTCTCGTCAATTGATGCCAAAATTGAGTTGACTACATGAGAATTGACTGATTGATGACGGTAGTTGAGCGGAATGAGTGCTTTTTAGAATGGGAATTACTTGAGACATTACTAGTTATGATCTCCGTTGCATCAAGGGCGGCTAAAGTCTCTCAAAATTTATTAATTTGTTTTGTTTTGATTATTTTATTGCCAATCTAATAGCAAAATTTACAAACGTAGTTTCACTTTCTTTTCAGATATCCACTCGCCCATTTACACCTACACGATTCTGACGGTGCTTGGCTGGATGGAACAGTTGGTCAATGTGCTGGAATATCTCCGAAAAGCTCGTCACGTTCATCGGGACATCAAACCGGACAAGTTTTTGAGAAAAAATGTTTAAGACTCTCAACTACTTAGTATTCTTGTCGACTCAAATGGTTTCTTGATTTTGGGCGACTTTGGTAGCTCAAAAGATACGGTTGGCTCTGGATCGTTTGATGTCGGAAATCTTCGCTACAAGGCTTTCGAGCTCTTTCCATCAGAATCAAAGTCGGCACAAGTATATTGAATGTGCTTAGAAAGTGATGAAAAGAAAATACTTTAGTATACCCACGACAGTGATCTTTATGCGGTAGGAATAGTTTGTGTCGAAATCATCGAAAGAAGGTAAGCTGTTTATTATTATTTAATTTGGTTACCTTTTTAAACCCTAATTTTTGAAGCAAAAATACATATACTACTACTGTATTAAAAAATAACTTTTAAACTTTAGAGCAGTTTATTAAAAAATGAATCTAATTGAAAAACGAACCTAACAAAGAGTTTAGACGCTGCTTTCGACAATTCATGCGGCAAGAATATGACGCTAAACAACAAAAAATGGTGGACGTGGACTTTGATCGTGATACCTTCCTGAATGAATACGAAAAGTGTGGAAACGTTTCCGACGTGGAACCAATGCAAGGATTGGCTGTACAAGGAATTCGTGAAATGATCTCAAGGTTAAGTTGGAGAGAAAAATAAGTGAAGATGCTTTTTAGTTGGACAAACTTTACCTCGACTGAGCGCCGAAAGGAGGAACATTTATGGCTACTTCCCTGCATGAAAGTGGTACTAAAATTGAGTTGATAACTTATTTGGAGTTCGGAGAATTCATAGGAAAGCGACTGAAACAATTTTTTGTTTAGTTGTACGAGTATCTTGGCCGATGGAGCTTTCGTCCCGTCGAAGACCCAAATGAAACGAATCTCTACAAACCGAGAGGTTTCAATCATAAAGACGATCACGTTATTGTTGGCACGAAAGAGGAAGATCTTATGGGCGAAGAATTCGGTTTTTTATCACTTGGTGCAAAAAAAGCTAAAGGAGAATCGCGAAGACGCGGCTCAATTGATTCGGAATCTGAGAAAGAATGCGAAATCGACAACCTTGCGCTCGCATTGAAAGACGGCTATCTACTTGTTTTGAAGGAGACCCAAGTCGAGCCCGGAGTGCTCGGTTTCAACGAGTGGTCTGACTTTGTCGATAAATTAAAGCAAAAGACGATCAACAAAATCAAAACGTCTCTCTCGATACCGAGTCTATGCGCGATTTGGCAAAAAGAGCTGATGCGATGTCTTCTTCGCGACCTTCGGCCGATCGTCGTTGCCCAATCGAAAAAGAATCTCCAGCAGCATTTCCATTCTCCATTGAAAGAGTTTTCATGTTTCCAATCAGAAAAAACGAGTCAACATGTGATTTTGCTAGATTTACCGAGTCACTACGGTGAGTACCGGTTCTGGTCGCATGAGGTGATCAACATTGTCAAGGAAACGGGAAGATGGGACGAGTCGAGTAAAATATTTGTCACTGAAAACGATGATGTGCTAAGGTATACCCAGTTGTTTGATGAGCACTGGATCTATGAGCGCTTTTTGCCCACCAACTTGAGTCTACGTGATCTCTTTGATGGGTCGAGAATTGAAGTCGATGATTTGAAAATCGAGCCGTTTATCTTCCAGCTCACCCAGCCGCCGATCTACAGCTGCACTTGTGTCCAAAAATGTCACATGCATGATGAGATCTTAATTTTTGGGAATCCGAAACTACAGAACCGGTTGCCGAGTTGTTGTGGAAGTTATCCAGAGTACTTAGCTCTTTTCTTCGAATGCGTTTCTTTTCTTCTTGGTTTGGAACATCTCAAAGACTTCTTCGATCTAGCGATCGTTCTCAATCGATTATTTTATCTGAAGACCCTTCTCGAAAAGACCCGTTGCCAAAAATTATTTCCCGTCTACAAAGTAAAATCATCAGAAAACAAGTCGCTAATCGTGTTGCATTGGGCCGAAAAGGAGTCAAAAATTGTCATTTTTGATGAAGATCTTCTAAGCATTACCGAAAAAGAAATCACATTTGTTGAACTGAAAAATGGAGAAATTAGTAGCTTGGATCTGACAACTTTGATCGATTTGGTTACAGCAGAAAGAATCTTTGGAAATTTCATCACAGGATATTCCCAAAGATCAGAATCATGTGCTTTTTTGAAAAGCGTTGGGAAAAATGTTGAAGATGTTTTGGATCATCAGGAGACCCTTTGGAGACTTGTCGACGATTGGTTTAGTGGACGATTGGACTCATTGATATCAGAAGGTAATTAAAAATACTTAAAATAATTGTAAAAAATAGGGAAGGTCAACCAGGTGTGGTGGCCAAATGACACGACATATGACATCTACTATTCGACGCAGAATTTTGCGCTGATTCCGAAGCTGCTTTCCGTTTTTGCAACGCAGCAATCTGTCAAAAGTTATAAGCGCGTAAAGTTTTATGGAATTTTACAAATCATCCCTTGAGTTTACAGGCAGATTTCGCAGAAGCTTTGGCAAGCAGTGTTCGCCGGTCGGCTAGAATACAAGGCAAAGCTCCTCGGGTTCGAGTCCCGATTTTAATTTTTTTCTTTTTTAGTGGTATTGATCTCTCAAAGACAAATCTTTTTTAGAATCTTGTTAGTTCAGGAGTAGAATGTTGTTTATTTGACAAGATTCAACAGTAAAGATAAAGAAAAAATATCCGACACAGCAGTTTTGGCAGTGAAATCAGAAATGCACCCACCTGAGCTCAGTTTTCAGATTTTTTTAGACTGACAAAACGAAAACTACTTCCAACTAATGACCTATGACTCAAAAGTTGTTATGTTTCTTTCGAAATATCCAAATTTCAGACGAATGCATGCGTGAACGCCGTGAAAACGATTTCGAGATGCGTTTACCCACAACGTTACTTCAACTATGGCTCTGCTCATTGACTCAAGATGGTGCTCCAATTGAGAGTTTTCGTAAAATTTGGATAGACGGACAGAAGACTGCCAAAGCAAAGCGGTTCGAGTTGTTATGGGCTCTGGAGGGATTCTGTGAACGGTGCACTTCGTCTTGTCAATCACTTTGATCACTCATCTTTTGAGATAGACTTGTTAAAAAAGGAAATTGGGAAAAGGGAAATTTCGCATAATTCTAGAACATTCAGCTATGAAAATTCTCGTTTCCAGTTTCCGGAATGAAAACTTTTGAGGTCATTTTTGTATAATTCATATTTGCTAAATACTAATAACTTCGGTATTCATTTCGCTTTATAACAATATTTGCTGTATTTGAATCTTGCTTGTGAAACAGTTTTCTGGGTAAAATTTGTGTCAGTGATGCTCATTTTCAAATCGATCACTGCAGAAAATGACTTGGATTGACCTTGCTGAGAGTTTTGTTTCCAATTCTTGTCGCTTGTATCTTGAGCCGGCTTTAAAACAAAGCTTTTGTAAACTAGAAAAAGCAAAATAGAATCATCAATTTCCCTTTGTTTTGTGGTTTTCAACTCCTAAGGAACTAAAATTCAAATTGATGAGCATTTGAACGTCATTGTGAAACATGATGTGAAATTGCTTGAATTCATTTGACACTAACAAACATGAACTCGATTGATTTTGTTGTTGTGTTCTCTTGTCGATGTGCTGGAATATCTCCGAAAAGCTCGTCACGTTCATCGGGACATCAAACCGGACAAGTTTTTGAGAAAACTATGTTCTTTTCTGTTCGAAAAGAAAAAAACAAATATCAAAGCATTTGTGCAAATAAATGCTAATTTATTAGTTCCTTTTCTTGTTCCATGGAATTCTCTTCGAGCTACAAAACTTGCCTCACGCTTTTCACGCGAAAACTGACAAATCGTGAAGAGCATTACATATGAAATGTCGGCGAGTTTGTTATGGGCTACATTTTCTACATGGTGGCCACATTCGAATGACTAGAAATCACGGCAACAACTGCAAAATCGTCTCGGGGTTGTTACTTCCCAATAATACGATGATTTTTTTAACATTTTTCTTTAATTTTTTCTCAAATTTTACGACGCAATCTTATTCGCATAATTTTTATTGATTCTGTCGTGTATAATAAATAAATTTATCAAAAAATAAATTTCTAAAATCCTAAGAAAGCAGCAGATTAGCTTAATTTAAGCCATACTTCTGGAAAACTGGATGAAGCCAAAATGTACATGTGCAAAAGCTCGAAGATCGGTCATAATTTAGAGAAATCCGCTTGGCAATGAGTAGTTAAAATATTGAAAATCGGTGTAAAACATTCGCACGATGTATTCCATCAGAAATGGGCTCCCGCGAAGCCGTTTTTCAAGGAATTTTCTGAAAACAGAATGATTCGATACAATATGAATGAGTAAAGAATGTATTTTTAAAAAATTGCCAAAATTTGAATACATCTTAATGTTTAGGGTTGTTCAATCACCGCATTGGATCAAAGTAGGAACCGTATTGGATCAAAATACGAACCGTATTGGACCCGTATTGGACCCGTATTGGATCAAAATACGAACCGTATTGGACCCGTATTGGAAACCGTATTGGAACCGTATTGGACCCGTATTAGACCCGTATTGGAACCGTATTGGAACCGTATTGGAACCGTATTGGACCCGTATTGGAACCGTATTGGATCAAAATAGGAACCGTATTGGATTCTTTTTTTCAAGTCCAATCAATCAAGTCCAGAATCATTATTTTGGAAAAATCTTCCTAACGTTCACATTTCTAACAGTGAATCTGTTTACCTTGCATCGGAATCGACCGTACTGTGAACCGTTCGTCCCTCCGAGAGTTGATCCCTTATAAATTTGAGAGTCTCATCTGGAATCTAAAAATTCTTTTTCTGCAAAACCCAATCTTCATTCTAGTCTAGCAAAAAAGCAATTTAGTTGTACCTTTTGTGCTTTTAGCTGTGCCAAGAGCTCATTGAGAAAGCTGCCCGATGCATCGGATGAATAACGGAGAACATTGTAGCGATGGCGTTCTTTGTTTAAATTACAACGCCTGAAAAAATGAGGATTAGAATACAATTTTAGATTAGTTAGAAATGATTTTAAATCTTAAAGAATAACCCAGTCCAGATGATTTTCTCAAAAAAAACATGTTAGGCACGATTCAGCTAATATTTTGTTGAAAATCTCAGGCCTATACTTGAATTTATAAAAATTAAACTTGAACTTTATATTCTAATCATTTTTCTGAGCATTCTTGCAAAAAAAATTGAATCTCACAGAGTTCTAGAAGCCCTTGATTGGAAGTGCAATTAAAACTAAGTGTAGGAATAGGAAAACTAGCGACCCAAAGCAAAGAGGAAACAAAAACTTCCAGAAGTAAGGCTTAATCCGGTGAGCCTTCGCTTCTTCCTATGCCTTATTTTCACAATGAAGTGAAATCAGTTGTGGCTGGAAAAAAGGAAAGAAGACCACAATCCTAGATTTTCACCTCACATTCCTCATTTACTTGTCTTTTTCCAAATTTGTACTCTAGAATTTTATTCTTAAATTGTTTCCGAACATTTTCATAAGTTAGTTGTCTGTGACTCAATCGGAAGCCAATTCTTCGAGTCCTTTGAAGTTGGACAAAGCCTTGAAAAGACATTAAGCTTTCAATTTTCCCATTCTTTTCATCGCAAATCTTTAGATTTTATTGAATTCTTTCATTGGTTGCTTAAACGTCTCCTTAAAAAGTTGCATTTGTTAATGCTTTTTCATTGAATAACTTTTAAATATTTCTCTAAGGCTCACCAAGTTTGTGGGAAGAAATGTCGATCATCGAATGTGCTCGGGAATTCGTTCACCCTGATTTGTCGCTTGATTCGATCGTATTCGGTGATAAGGAAACAAGTCATATTTCGACGGCATCCGTTGCAAAAACCAGCGCCATGCGGTTGTCTGAAATAGTAGATTGATTAGCTTTAAGAATTTTTGAAAAAAACTGACTAAATCTTCTAGCTAATGCTAGCAAAGTTTCCTTAGATTCAACTACATCACTTAGTTACCGTTTGCTAATTATTATTGCTTTAAGATCCTACATTTAAACGATCAACCCGTTCAGCTTGAACATTTTCCACTTACCTAATACATTTGTCGAGAAAACCACTTAAAAATCGATCCACCGGATCTCTCGAAATCATCAATAGCCGCCAGTCATCCGGCTTCAATTTGAATTTTGTTCGTATCTGGGTGATTGATGTGTACTCGTTTTTGTTGGCACAAAACCTGAAATTTTTGAAGCTATATTGAAATTCTCTTATGATTCTTATGAATACCGTATTCTTTCTAATAGTAGCACTATTAGAGAGCATCAGAGAGAATACGGTATTCAGTGCACTATTTTTTCAACCCCATTTTTTCAACCGCAATACTATTAGAGAGAATACGGTATATTTATTGTTTACCTAACATCGTAACATTCTTTCAAGATTTGCCTCCCAGCATCTTTGAATCTCTTCTCATTGAAGAGATAGCACATGACTCCCCTCATCGCGGTCGACATCGATTTCTGGATGCGACATGTCGCCATTTTGTATCTTGGAGAGATCTAAATACCATTTATCCTTTATTCAATGACTTTTTTAAAACCAACAACATATTTTGCTTCAAAAGGAATAAATCCAGGAATACAAGTGAGATCTTCTTTGTCAGCGGATCGCTTGCAAATTTGCGAGATTTCTTTGGGGTTGAATGATGGAGCCGGGAGAGGCTGAAATTGAGGTTTAAGGAGTTATTTATGCAATTGAAAGTACTAAAATAAACTTTAAGTATCTCAGAGTCCATTCAAAAGACAACTATTTTAGTTCAAGTACTGCAAGTCAGTCAATCTTAGTTGAAGAAACGTTATCGGAAGTTCTGACCAACTTTCAAAATCTTTGAAATATTTTATGCTTTAGTTAGGTTAATATTCTTCCCCTTAAATCCTCACATCCATATTTTGTCTCTTGATGTCACCGATTTGTTGCATATTTGCTTCTCCTCGCTCCTTGTCTTTCTCCTGTCGTGGATACTTTTTCATGAATCGTGTGGTCATTTGAGAGTTCTAAATTTTTCATTGCACAGATATTATGCAATCATCCTACTCATTTGAAATTATTCTCAAATAATATCATTTTCAAGTGATGAGTCAACTTTTAGACTTAAGCTAGCTGACTGATTTTAAGGGAAACTTTCAGAAATTCGAATTCGAATTGAATTTGAAATTGAATTCCATAAAAATGATAGGAAAGGCTGCTTTAGAAGTATAAGCGATTGTTTCTAGTGGAATTGTTCTTTGTAACTATTTGAATACCTAGAACTTGAATAATAACAAACCGGATATATCTGTGATTTGAGCTGATCGTAATAATTTGATCCTATCAAAATCAGCGAACTCGTCAGCACAAACACAACGATCAACCGCTTCCACGGTGGTTTTATAAACGTTTGAGGGCCCAGCATAAATCTCGATTTGTGAAAGAATTTTTGAAAGGTTATGAGTTGTTTTGAGTGAAAATGAATCGTGGTTGAATTAAATGGTTGGGAGTGAGAGTGGGCTATGTTGTCCAGTGTGAATCCCCTCACATCTGCTTCTACTCATAGACCAATCCCTCTTTTTACTCCTTTTCAAGGTTTTACCATTCATTTTTTGAATAGTTTTGGGTTTCTCTAGTTTCTGCCATGTATAGCTGTGTTATTTTACCTTACACCTCTAAATATTCGCTTCACTCTCTGCATCGGCTAATTGTCTCTTGTCTCTTGCACATTGTGCGAAACTTGTTACTCTTTATATTCTCTAACTTTATATTATCTTTATTCCCTTTCACTCTTTCTACCTATTTTTCTTTCACTTTTGCTTACACACTGATTCTCAATCACTTCTACTTACAATTTCTCTCCAACCTCTTCTACTTTCAACCATACACTGTCACCGATTGTTTCTGTTTTAAATCCCCCATCATGCCTATTCTCTTCTTCTCTACTTTTACAGTCTCACTAACCTTCACTGTTTCTTTAAATCTTAGTTACCCATTGTCACATTCCCACTCAATCCCTTCCCCCTCAAAAAGAGATCACACATCAAACGGATCCCCCCCGCGCCACCTAGATATATTAGGTACGGAAAAAAATTAATGTCCTATTTGTGGGTCTCACTTTCCGGCGTTGAATCCCAAAATCCACTATTTTTGGAAATTCGAAGCAAATTTCCTGAACGATTGCTTTGTTTGCATCGCTTAGTGAATGTGGAATCCATTTTCCAGCTTTATTGATATTGCCCAATTCATGCAAATGGTTTTCGATTGTTTTATGATCACAATTAAAATATTCCGCAAGTTCACGTGTAGTTTTTGTCGGGTCACTTTCTATTATCTGCTTCAAATCGTCGTTTGCGTCAGCCTGTGAGCGGTGTCCTCGTTCCAGATCTTCCAGACTTTCGTCACCCGCACGAAATCTTTTGAACCAGTTTTGACATTGACGAACAATGATAACATCTTTGCCAAATACGTTACAACGTGATTCATGCGATTCCGTTTATGTTTTTCCTTCTTGAAATCGTACAACAAACAGATGCGAAGTCGATATTTGAGGTCGTCTAGCATTTTTCAAAACTGACAAATCGTGAAGAGCATTACATATGAAATGTCGGCGAGTTTGTTATGGGCTACATTTTCTACATGGTGGCCACATTCGAATGACTAGAAATCACGGCAACAACTGCAAAATCGTCTCGGGGTTGTTACTTCCCAATAATACGATGATTTTTTAACATTTTTCTTTAATTTTTTCTCAAATTTTACGACGCAATCTTATTCGCATAATTTTTAGTGATTCTGTCGTGTATAATAAATAAATTTATCAAAAAATAAATTTCTAAAATCCTAAGAAAACAGAAGATTAGCTTGATTTAAGCCATACTTCTGGAAAACTGGATGAAGCCAAAATGTACATGTGCAAAAGCTCGAAGATCGGTCATAATTTAGTGAAATCCGCTTGGCAATGAGTAGTTAAAATATTGAAAATCGGTGTAAAACATTCGCACGATGTATTCCATCAGAAATGGGCTCCCGCGAAGCCGTTTTTCGAGGAATTTTCTGAAAACAGAATGATTCGATACAATATGAATGAGTAAAGAATGTATTCTTAAAAAATTGGATCAAAATGATCAAAATAGGAACCGTATTGGATCAAAATACGAGCCGTATTGGAACCGTATTGGAATCGTATTGGACCCGTATTGGAACCGTATTGGAACCGTATTGGAACCGTATTGGACCCGTATTGGACCCGTATTGGACCCGTATTGGAACCTTATTAGACCCGTATTGGAACCGTATTGGAACCGTATTGGAAACGTATTTCAACCGTATTGGAACCGTATTGGATCAAAATAGGAACCGTATTGGATTCTTTTTTTTTCAAGTCCAATCAATCAAGTCCAGAATCATTATTTTGGAACAATCTTCCTAACGTTCACACTTCTAGCAGTGAATCTGTTTACCTTGCATCGGAATCGACCGTACTGTGAACCGTTCGTCCCTCCGAGAGTTGATCCCTTATAAATTTGAGAGTCTCATCTGGAATCTAAAAATTCTTTTTCTGCAAAACCCAATCTTCATTCTAGTCTAGCAAAAAAGCAATTTAGTTGTACCTTTTGTGCTTTTAGCTGTGCCAAGAGCTCATTGAGAAAGCTGCCCGATGCATCGGATGAATAACGGAGAACATTGTAGCGATGGCGTTCTTTGTCCAAATCGCAACGCCTGAAAAAATGAGGATTAGTATACGATTTTAGATTAATTAGATTTGATTTTAAATCTTAAGAATAAGCCAGTCTATTTGTTTTTCGCAAAAAAAACATGTCAGGCACGATTCTGGCTAATATTTTGTTGAAAATCTCAAGCCTTTAACCTTTAACCTTGAGTTTTTAAAATCTAAATCTTTTTCACCAAAGAAATCTTTGATTTTTTGAAGAAATCCTTATGTTTTTGAGCCTGATTTCCCTAAATTAAACCATTTGATCAAATCTGATCTGTCCTTTTCTCTCTCAATCCTCAATAACTCAATTTTATGCTCATTTCATGAACTCTCATAAATAAAAGTTATTGATGAAAGTGATGAGCGAGAGGAGATCATTTGTGAAAGGAAAATAGATGGGAAACCATTTCTTATACATAGTTTCCCTGGCTGTCTCTCTGACTCATTTTTTTGTGTCTTCACAGCCATCTCCGCTTTTCTCCTCTTAAGATTGAAGATAACCTTCAATATTAAGATTTCAATATCAAAGTTCAATTAAATTCAAAATTATTGTATGTTTTTGAAAAGCTAACCAAAATGCTAAATTCAGATTTATATTCAGCCCTTTCGCAACTCTCTTTTGATTGATTGAACTGAGCTTTTCTCTAACAAGCATTTGTTTTTGACTACTTCTTTACTCATTGTTTTTCATTATCAACCATTTTTCACAGCTGATCTTTAATCTGTTCTCCTACAGTACTTTAGTTTTCTAGTTTTTCATCACCTAACCTTCAAATCCTCAACTTTTTATCTCGATTTTTCCCAACTTTTTGAACTCCCCAAGAATGATGATTCTATTTACATAAAAAGGCAGTCGCTTTGTGTGAATTGGCCTGGGAATTTTTGAGCAATCTTTTCGAAAGTTGATGGCTTTTTTCTTTTTTTCTTTTTCTTGAAAGCTTTTTGATTTAGAAATTTCAAAAGCAGCAAAAAGCAATGATTATACTTTAATTTATAAAAATTAAACTTGAACTTTATATTCTAATCATTTTTCTGAGCATTCTTGCAAAAAATTCAATCTCACAGAGTTCTAGAAGCTCTTTGATTGGAAGTGCAATTAAAACTAAGTGTAGGAATAGGAAAACTAGCTAGCCAACGCAAAGAGGAAACAAAAACTTCCAGAAGTAAGGCTTAATCAGGTGAGCCTTCGCTTCTTCCTATGCCTTATTTTCACAATGAAGTGAAAGCAGTTGTGGCTGGAAAAAAGGAAAGAAGACCACAATCCTAGATTTTCACCTCATTCTCATTTACTTGTCTTTTTCCAAATTTGTACTCTAGAATTTTATTCCTAAATTGTTTCCGAACATTTTCATAAGTTAGTTGTTTGTGACTCAATCGGAAGCCAATTCTTCGAGTCCTTTGAAGTTGGACAAACCCTTGAAAGAACATTAAGCTTTCAATTTTCCCATTCTTTTCATCGCAAATCTTTAGATTTTATTGAATTCTTTCATTTATTGCTTAAACGTTTCCTTAATAAGTTGCATTTGTTCATGCTTTTTCATTGAATAACTTTTAAATCTTTTCCTAAGCCTTACCAAGTTTGCGGGAAGAAATGTCGATCATCGAACGTCCTCGGGAATTTATTTGCCCTGATTTGTCGCTTGATTCGATTGTATTCGGTGATGAGAAAACAAGTCATATTTCGATGGCATCCGTTGCAAAAACCAGCGCCCTGCGGTTTTCTGAAATAGTAGAATGATTAGCCTTAAGAATTTTTGAAAAAAATTGATGAAATCTTCTAGCTAATGCTAACAAACATTGCTTAGATTCAACTACAGCACTAACTTACCGTTCGCTAATTCTTATTGCTTTAAGATCCTACATTTAAACGATCAACCCGTTCAGCTTGAACATTTTCCCCTTACCTAATACATTTGTCGAGAAAACCACTTAAAAATCGATCCACCGGATCTCTCGAAATCATCAATAGCCGCCAGTCATCCGGCTTCAATTTGAATTTCGTTCGTATCTGGGTGATTGATGTGTACTCGTTTTTGTAGGCACAAAACCTGAAATTTTTGAAGCTATATTGAAATTCTTATAAATATATTTATTGTTTACCTAACATCGTGACATTCTTTCAAGATTTGCCTCCCAGCATCTTTGAATCTCGTCTCATTGAAGAGATAGCACATGATTCCCCTCATCGCGGTCGACATCGATTTCTGGATGACACAAGTCGCTATTTTGTATCTTTGAGAGATCTAAATACCATTTATCCTTTATTCAATGACTTTTTTAAAACCAACAACATATTTTGCTTCAAAAGGAATAAATCCAGGAATACAAGTGAGATCATCTTTGTCAGTGGATCGCTTACAAATTTGCGAGATTTCTTTGGGGTTGAATAATGGAGCCGGGAGAGGCTGAAATTGAAGTTCAAGGAGTTATTTATGCAATTGAAAGTACTAAAATAAACTTTAAGCATCTCAGAGTCCGTTCAAAAGACGCTGAAAAACTATTTGACAAACTATTTTAGTTCAAGTACTGCAAGTCAGTCAATTTTAGTTGAAGAAACGTTATCGGAAGTTCTGACCAACTTTCAAAATCTTTGAGATATTTTATGCTTTAGTTAGGTTAATATTCTTTCCCTTAAATCCTCACATCCATATTTTGTCTCTTGATGTCACCGATTTGTTGCATATTTGCTTCTCCTCGCTCCTTGTCTTTCTCCTGTCGTGGATACTTTTTCATGACTCGTGTGACCATTTGAGAGTTCTGAATTTTTCATTGTACAGATATTATGCAATCATCCTACTCATTTGAAATTAGTCTCAAATAATATCATTTTCAAGTGATGAGTCAACTTTTAGACTTAAGCTAGCTTGTTCTCAAAGTGTAAACGAAAAACTTCTTAAAAAGTTGATTTTAAGGGAAACTTTCAATTCGAATTGAATTTGAAATTGAATTCCATAAAAAGAATAGGAAAGTCTGCTTTAAAAGTATAAGCGATTGTTTCTAGTGGAATTGTTCTTTGTAACTATTTGAATACCTAGAACTTGAATAATAACAAACCGGACATCTCTGTGACTTCAACTGATCGTAATTTGATCCTATCAAAATCAGCGAACTCGTCAGCACAAACACAACGATCAACCGCTTCCACGGCGGTTTTAGAAACGTTTGAGGGCCCAGCATAAATCTCGATTTGTGAAAGAATTTTTGAAAAGTTATGAGTTGTTTTGCCTGGAAATGAATCGTGGTTGAATTAAATGGTTGGGAGTGAGAGTGGGCTATGTTGTTCAGTGTGAATCCCCTCACATCTGCTTCTACTCATAGACCAATCCCTCTTTTTACTCCTTTTCAAGGTTTTACTATTCATTTTTTGAATCGTTATGGGTTTCTCTAGTTTCTGTCATGTATAGCTGTGTTATTTTACCTTACACCTCTTCACTTGACTCTCTCTTCACGGCTAATTGTCTCTTGTCTCTTGCACATTGTGCAAAACTTGTTACTCTTATTCTCTAACTTTATATTATCTTTACACCCTTTCACTCTTTCTACCCATTTCTCTTTCACTTTTGCTCACTCACTGATTCTCAATTACTTACAATTCCTCTCCAACCTCTACTTTTGACCATACACTGTCACAGATTGTTTCTGTTTTAAATCCTCCATCATTCCTATTCTCTTCTTCTCTACTTTTACAGTCTCACTAACCTTCACTGTGTCTATAAGCCTCAGTTACCCATTGTCACATTCCCACTCAATCCCTCCCACCTCAAAAAAGCATCACACATGAAACGGATCCCCCCCCGCCACCTAGATATACATTTTTCTCTACCCACTCAATTTAGGCTCAGCTTTTTGATCGTGATCTATAATTCTTTTGAAAAACAATTTCAAAATTTGACCCTTTCACACCGGGCAACATCAAAAAAAAGCTGTTATTGAGCTTATCGTCCTTTGAAAAAAACAGGAAGATCCTTTGATTTATCAAACTTAAAAGAATAGCTAGTTTTGTAAAATTTGGTCTTAGAACAACAATAATCCCCCACCTGCTCTTTCAGACAAGCTTTTGCAGCGATAATTGACGAGGCTGAGCTTTTGGCAAGTGGAGACAAGGTGCTGATCTCTGGCGAGTGAACACATTTGGAAATTCGGGACAGACAAAGAGAGACACGTTGCTTTAATAAGTTCAGTGTAGGGCAACTCGATGAATGGGCAAAATGATGTGTGAATCTAGTAGTGAAAGAAGGGTACGGTAACGAGTTTTTTCAAGTAGGTGGTAACAGTTTCAAAGATGGTTGTTGACTTGTTGCAAGGTTGTTGACTTGAGCCTTGGTTTCCAGTAGTTGATAGTGTCAAGTCTAGATGTTTCCCAAGGAGTCAAGTGCAGGAATGTTTGAAAACCAAGACCAAAACTAGATTAGAAACTTTTGATCTGTGCTAGTTTCATACTTTTTCTATTCTACTAATTGATTTCGCGATTCGTGCTTTGATCCCAATTTAGAGATTTCGACAAAAAGTGTTTGACCACCTGACTAACAATGAACTTTTTATGATTTCATGAGACATTCATGAAAATATGAATGGTTCAAAGGTTCGATCAAGTTTGAAAATCGAAAACTGCACGCTCAATGTTGAAAAAATAGTGTTGAAATGAAAATAGGAAAGGTTTAAAGGTTGAATCAAGTTTGAAAATCGGACATTACACGTTCGATGTTGGAGTTAAAGCAGTTTATGTTGTGCTTACAGAGAAGGGCTGTTAAAACCATAGCTGTAAACCAGACAAGAACCAAGGCTAAGAATTTTGTGAATTCTACGGTAAACCCAAGCCAGTCAAAGTCAGAAGTCAAGTACAATAGAGCTTTGAGACGAGGTAAGCCAGATCACACCAAAATTTGCCAGGCCAAGCAACCAAGAGGAATCTGACTTTTGCACCACAGTGTAGATAGGTTATAGAGAAATATTATATTATTATTGACGATTTCTGCCCATTTTATAGGCAATTTGCAGATTCCTCTTTCGTAGTAGGATTTTGGTTTGTGTGTGAGACAAGTGTGAGACTCAAAAATGGACGACTGGAGATGTCCCAGTTTGAGCACTTTTAAAAAAAAAAATACCGACTGGGGCTACCAGTGGTGAATTTATCGCATACACGAAATATATCAATCACAATACAACGACACACACAATACTAGGCTATATCTTAACTTAACCCACGTCATGACAGACGGCTCCCTAACCCTAAGCTCAATGGGGAACTAAATAGCTTTTTTGGTGGTGAAGGGAAGATGACGATGAAGGAGTGGCTTGTCACTTTAAAGAACTGGGGCCACAACCACCAGACTGCCCTCCAGAAAACCTCTCAACCCGAAGGGAAAGGAAATCCGAAGGGGGTGACCATGTCGCATGGGGGGTTCGAACCCTCGACCTTCCGATTAAGATAAAAGACACTTAACCAGTCAGCCACACGTGCTCTTTCGCCACTTTCTTCAAAAGAAACCCATTTTGGTGTCAATAGAAAAGTTGTAGAGAATCAAAAATTAGGCTTATAGCCAAATTTCCAAAAAGATACACTTAGTAGTTTCGTTTAAAATGCAAGTTTTGTGAAAATTCGTAAATTTGGCATTTCTTGAAAACCAGTTTTTGAATCGCTCTTGAAAATTTGGCTATAAGCCTAATTTTTGATTCTCTACAACTTTTCTATCGACACCAAAATGGGTTTCCTAAGTTGTAAGTTTTCATACAAATAAGTTTTTAGATTTAAAAAATTTATTGCCTGAAAGAAAATAACAAATAAAGTTTAATATCAAAAAATATATGGTGCAAAAGTCTTGTCCCACCATTAAAAAAGGAAAGCTAGATTAAAACTAGTTCGGTCCTCCTTTAGCCAAAATCACTGCTTGAATACGTCGAGGCATTGAGTCGACCAAATCACGTAGAATTCCCGAAGAAATTTGTCGCCAAACGTTTCTGATAAAGAACCAAAGCTCGACCTTTGTGTTGAATATCTTGCCCCTGAGTTTAGTCTTTAAATGAGCCCAAAGATGCTCTATAACATTCAAATCCGGCGAATAAGGAGGCACTTTGAGCAGCACGATAAGCAGCAAAAACGCCGGGTAGGCGAGCTCCTCCTCCATTTGCAAGCCGGACAACTCGGCCCATCATTAGCTGACTTTTGTGGCATGGAGCGTTGTCTTAATATAAGGCCCATCCTTGTGGCATGTTCGTGTTTGCAAATGGAAGTAAGTTGTTTTCTATGATTGACTTGTACCTTCGAGCGTCGAGATTTCCATCGATAAACACTAGCGGTCCCGATACACTTCGATTCATCGAGCCTAAAAAAGACAAATCGTAAGTAAAAAATAGGGCGAACACTTACCCCACAACATAATGCTCCCACCACCGAATTTGACCGTTGGCTTAACGTATTTGGGCTTATAACGTTGTCCAATTGGTCTTCTGATTAAATGGTTACCGTCCGGGTAGTATAAACTAATTCTAGTCTCATCGGTAAAAATGACTCGGGCCCAGTCATCGGAAGCCCAACACTCGTAGTTCTTTGCAAAATCATATCTCAGCTTCCGAGTTTTTGCAATGGTCAGGGTCGTTTGCTGGCCTTCGCGCCCGCTCGAACAAGCGACGGTTGGCCCATTAAGAAATATTTTTGTTAGAGTGGCCTTCAACTTCATGGTTCCATAGCCGAAGTCAGATTCGGGTCGATTTTATGGAGAAAGTGCTCGACCTTCAGTTTTTGTTGTAATCGGTCGACGACCACTTTTCGAAGCTCTGTGAAGACTTTGGCCTTCTTCCGATTTTGCTGCTAGCCGATTCAACGTCCTTTTATTGCATTTGAAGAGCATCGCAATAGACGGTGATGGATATCCATATTTCTTTGCTTGCACGATCTTTTGCTTATCAGGGGTTGATAAATATTTGCGAGTCGACATCTAAAAATAAAAATATAGTAAAAAAATAAAAAATATAGAGAGAAGACTTTTGCACCACCTTTTTTTCTCAAGTGTTACGAAAAAAGGTTTTAAAAACAACGAAATATTGGAGTACGGGCATTTACATAGTAAAAGATGAAGAGGGATAAGCTATTAAAAAAACCCGTTACTTAAAAAGTTGTTTTCGAAAAATTTTAGAATTTTGACAAAATGTTTCAGAAAAGTAAGTAGGACAGGACTTTTGCACCACAGTGTATCTTTTCTTACATTTCTTACAATAAATAGCCTTGTTTGGGAACTTTTGGCGCACTCCCCATACAGTCCGGACCTCGCCCCTTTTGATTACTATTTATTCCGGATCATGTAATTTACTGCAGTTCCATCTTTAACTGTGAAATTATAATTGTAGATGTTTATCTTGGCAGAAAGGTTCGTTTTCTTGTCGTTTATCGGCCCCCCTAGCGTGAATTATGCTGATACTTCTCGTCTTTTTGATCATTTATCACTTTTCTTGCATGATTCGGAAGTCAACATTTTACTAGGCGATTTAAATTTTCTTGTGACCTATTCTAATGACAAATTTTTCTTTGATAAGTACCACCATCCCACCATTTTGCTACAAGATTTCCTTATTACATGCTCTCTATTTATTTTAAACACATTTGCTACCTCCTGCCGTTCATTTTCTATTTTAGAGCTGGTCCTGTCTGATTCCCCTGATATCATCATGGAGTTGAAGCGATTGGAGCCTCTTCCTGGATCTGACCATTATGGGATCACGTTCAAAATTGGAGGACTGCAATTTCCGACTCCCCCGCGAAAAGGTTGCGTGCATTTTGATTTTAATCCCGACCAAGCGGCTCTTTCCATCTTAAACTCCCTTAGAGGGAGCTCTTTCTGCTCTAGGACAAATTCTATAGATGATGACTATAATTTTCTCTGTTCTAAAATCCTCCTTGCCATAGAAAATTCCTGCACTCACCCTGTAAAATTAGCCCCAAATCATATTACGAGAGCTAAAGCAAGACTTCTACATTTTTTTGAAAGATATAATTACGCAAATCCTCTGGTTGACCCACTAGTAATCAAAGAACAGCGCAAGCTCTCGAAATTTTGTCAAAAGTTTGAGGCAAACATTGAAAGGAAAGCTGTTTATTCGAAAAACAGCAAGTCTTTCTTCTCCTATTTAAGCTCTAAAACAAAAGATCGAAAGATAGGCTCCAATTCTTTCGTTGACCCCTTAGACAGTACTAAACTTATTTCCAATCCCAGTACAATCGTCACTGAGTTTGCCAAATTCTTTCATAGTGTATATACGGTTACAGATAAAAACGAACAGTGTCCGGCCTTTCCGGTAAAGCAAATTGAAGTGCAGCCAGATTTCTTAATATGTGTAGCGGACATTGAGAAAGCTTTTTCTAAATTACGGCCTAAAAAGTCGTCTAGTCCAGATAACCTCTCAGCTTTTGCTATTAAGAGACTTTCTAGAGTGCTTACCTACCCTCTTTTAAAACTTTTCAACAAAATTCTTCTCATTTCAGATGTCCCCTCTTTTTGGAAACAATCTTTAGTTATTCCCCTTCTCAAAAAATCTCCTAAAAACCTTTTCAGTAACTATCGTCCCATCTCTTTAACCTCCCCTGTATCCAAACTTTTTGAAATTATTATCAAAGATAAAATTACAGCTCATCTTGATAAGTATGAACTTATCTCCGACTATCAATTTGGTTTCCTTAAAAATAAGTCCACCACTTACCAGCTTATTTTAGCTTACCAAGAGTTCTTTAAGGCCGTGGATCAAAAACAACGCAAGCACTATCAGCTTGAAGCTGTGTTTTTAGATTTTACTAAAGCTTTCGACTCTGTCCCTATTAAATTCTTAATTCACAAACTACATGCATATAAAATCTGCCCCTCCATGATTTCAGTTATCGAAAGTTTCCTTACTCAGCGAACTTTCAAAGTTCTTCTAAACGATTCTCTCTCCCCTTTAATTGCTCTAGCGGTGTACCCCAAGGAAGTATTCTGGGTCCTATACTTTTTACAATTTACATTAATGATTTAGCTGAATTAAACTTTTCATCTAGGGACTCAGCTATCTGGCTTTATGCTGATGACGCTAAACTAACCTTTAAAATCCCCATCAAAGATGAAGCCGCTAAGCTTGCTTCTTTAAGAGACGCCATGTCAGATCTTGATCTGGTTGAAAAATGGTCCCATAATTGGAAATTAGCTTTACGTCTACGAAATCCCGTCATTTCTCCACCGGAAATGCTATTTTCCCGCTGAAAATTAATTCTACACCATTAAACAGAATTGGCAAAGAGGATTATATCAGAGATCTTGGAGTCCATATTTCCCCACCTTTAAATTTCTCAAAACACATTGAAATTATTTGCCGTAAAGCTTCTTTTGTCTCTAATCGTATCCTAAAAGCAATTTGTTATCCGAAAATTGACACTTACAGAAAGTGTTTCATCACTTACGTTAGACCCATTCTAGAGTATGCATCTATAGTTTGGTCTCCACATACACAAGTTGATATCTCTCGCCTAGAAAAAATCCAGCAGAGATATACTAAGATAGCTCTATGGAAAATAGATTTTTCCAAACTTGCATACTTTAGTTACACAGATAGACTCAAAATTTTTGATCTTACATCTCTTAGACACCGCCGCTTGGTCACGGATTTAATAGAATGTTTCAAAATTGTAAAGGGCAGGCAACCTATCCCTCTTTTTCGAGATTTATTCAAAGTTAATCCCACGGTTAGTTCAAGGAGAGGTTCTTTCCTTTTAGAAATTCCAGCCACCTCCAATAAGTTTGTTTATAACTCTTTTCCAATAAGAACTGCCAGAATTTGGAATCGACTCCCCAGAGTTTTGAGAGAGTCCAATAGTCTCGAAACCTTTAAATTATCTGTAGATGATCTTGATCTTGAAGCTCTAGTGGATCCTTGACGTTATCTGTGCTACCCACATTTTACATGCATTATATCGTGTTTCTTTTTATCGGCCCTTTTCGTGTTATGTGTATGAATTCATGTGTTTTAATCTTAAATCTAGCGCACTTTATCTCAGGTCCTGAATAAAGTATCTATATAATGACTCTCTCTCGTAGGTAATCTGATTATTTGCATTTTCACTCTATCTTGTATCTTCGTACCTTTTTTTTGTCTCTACATTTATGACCCGCTGTGCATTTCTATGATTTATTGAGTTTCCCTTTATCATCTGAATAAAGTATCATCAATGAGTAATATCTCCGAAAAGCTTGTCACGTTCATCGGGACCTCAAACCGGACAAGTTTTTGAGAAAACTATGTTCTTTTGTGTTCGAAAAGAAAAAAAACAAGTATCAAAGCATTTGTGCAAATACACTGTGGTGCAAAAGTCTTGTCCCACTTACTTTTCCAAAAAGTTTCATCAATTTTCTTTGATAAAGTTCATGGCGCTCTTTAAGCCATTAATGGTTTTAGTTACACAGATATATGTACAATTTATTTACACAAACGTTATCGCTATACAACACTTATTCATTGAGAAAAAAATATAATTGTCAAAACATCCCTGAAAATCGTGGTGCAAAAGTCTTTTCACACAAAACGAAATTAAGCTTTAATCAACATTTAGTCGCTCCTCCTTTTGCCAAAAGTACTTCTTTAATACGAGTAGGCATCGATGCAATTAATTCATCAAGAATTCCAGGTCCAATCGTCCTCCAAATTTTTCTGATTTAAAACCATAAATTCTCAATAACATTTAAATCCAGAGAGAATGGTGGAGCCTTGATTAAAGAAACGTGATTGATTCCAAACCATCCCGGTAAATGTGCTTTTCCTCCATTCGAAATAGTCACAACGCGGCCCATCAAAAGTTTGCTCTTGTGTACTGACGAATTATCTTGATAAAGAAACCATCCTGGATTCATCGAAGCAGTCGCAAATGGAAGTAGACATCTGTCCAATATCTCAATATATTGGTGGGGATCCATTGTTGACTTTACGAGAACAAGCGGACCCGTTGAACTTTTATAAATCGCACGAAAAAAAATCAGGTTGGGCTGCATAAAAAGAAAATTATTGTTACCGAAATGCATGATTGATCCTCCGCTTGTTTTCACCGTAGGTTGCAAGTACTTGAGTTGATATCGTTTTCCGACTGGACGTCGGATCAGGTGATTTCGATTTGAAGGAAAAATATCAACTTTTGTTTCATCAACGAAAATCACTCGGGCCCAATCATTGATTGTCTAATTTGAATAGGCTCGAGCAAATTGAACGCGTTGCCTCCTGTGTTTGGCTGTCATCATAGGCTTGCGAGCAGGTCTTCTAGTATGCAATGCTGCTTGAAGCAAGCGTCGATGCAAGGTCCAGCAGGGAATATTCTTGTTTGAAGTTTGCTTGAAAAGAATGGCTCCATCGTTCAACGTCAAATTCGGATCCTTCTTAAAAACTCCCGTAAGGAATCGGTCTTCATTCTTTGTTGTAATCCTACATCCGTGCACATTTCCAGACGCATTCATTTTTGCCATAACAAGAGAAACTGTGGGCGTACATCCTAAGAGGCGAGCAACTTCTTGTCGTGGCATTCCTTCCTTCCTTGCCTCGACGATCCTTTCTTTATCCGGAGTTGACAAGTACGCTCCCGGCGTCTAAAAAAAGATAAAATGATACCAGTAAATACGAAGCGAACCAAAATAATAAAAATTTTTGCAAATGTGAAAAGACTTTGCACCACGATTTTCAGGGGTGTTTTGACAATTATATTTTTTTCTCAATGAATAAGTGTTGTATAGCGATAACGTTTGTGTAAATAAATTGTACATATATTTGTGTACCTAAAACTATTAATGGCTTAAAGAGCGCTATGAACTTTATCAAAGAAAATTGATGAAACTTTTTGGAAAAGTAAGTGGGACAAGACTTTTGCACCACAGTGTATTAGATTGGCGACCTCGAAATTTCGTTTTTGAGCAACAACAAGATTTATTCGTAAAAATAAACTGGAGACAATTAATCAACAATATATTCCCCACAGCTATCAATGACATTTTTCCATCTTTGACGCAAATTATGGATTCTCTCTTGAAAGAATTGTGCTGGTTTTGATTGAAAGAAGGCAGTGACCCATTTTTTGATGTTGTCAATGTCCTGGAACTTGTGGCCTTCGAGTGAATGCTGCAAACTTCGAAATAAATGGTAGTCAGATGGAGCAATATCTGGACTATAAGGCGCATGAACTAGAAGTTCCCAGCCCAATTGCTCATTTTTCTCTTGCGTAATTTTGGCAACGTGAGGACGAGCATTGTCGTGTAACAATCGCACTGTTGTCGGATCAATTCCTTTTGAGCGAAGAACCGCGTTCACGCGACCTAGTTGTTCAACGTAAAGATTTGCATCAACAGTCTGACCAGAAATTAACACTTCGAAATGAACCAGGCCTCGGGTATTCCACCAAACCGACAGCATAACTTTCTTTCCGTGAAAATCCGGTTTAGGTATTGGCTTTGGAATTTCACCCGGGTCGAGCCATTGTCTTTTCCTTGTAATATTGTCATAATGAATCCATTTCTCATCAGCAGTTAAAATTGAATCCCAAAATCCACTATTTTTGGAGATTCGAAGCAAATTTCCTGAACAAAGAACCCTGATTGCTTTGTTTGCATCGCTTAGTGAATGTGGAATCCATTTTCCAGCTTTATTGATATTGCCCAATTCATGCAAATGGTTTTCGATTGTTTTATGATCACAATTAAAATATTCCGCAAGTTCACGTGTAGTCTTTGTCGGATCACTTTCGGTTATCTGCTTCAAATCGTCGTTTGCGATAGCCTGTGAGCGGTGTCCTCGTTCCAGATCTTCCAGACTTTCGTCACCCGCACGAAATCTTTTGAACCAGTTTTGACATTGACGAACAATTATAACATCTTTCCTAAATACGCTACAAAGTGATTCATGCGATTCCGCTGATGTTTTTCCTTGTTTGAAATCGTACAGCAAACAGATGCGAAGTCGATATTTGAGGTCGTCTAGCATTTTTCAAAACTGACAAATCGTGAAGAGCATTACATATGAAATGTCGGCGAGTTTGTTATGGGCTAGATTTTCTACATGGTGGCCACATTCGAATGACTAGAAATCACGGCAACAACTGCAAAATCGTCTCGGCGTTGTTACTTCCCAATAATACGATGATTTTTTAACATTTTTCTTCAATTTTTCTCAAATTTTACGACGCAATCTTATTCGCATAATTTTTAGTGATTCTGTCGTGTATAATAAATAAATTTATCAAAAAATAAATTTCTAAAATCCTAAGAAAACAGAAGATTAGCTTGATTTAAGCCATACTTCTGGAAAACTGGATGAAGCCAAAATGTACATGTGCAAAAGCTCGAAGATCGGTCATAATTTAGTGAAATCCGCTTGGCAATGAGTAATTAAAATATTGAAAATCGGTGTAAAACATTCGCACGATGTGTTCCATCAGAAATGGGCTCCCGCGAAGGCGTTTTTCGAGGAATTTTCTGAAAACAGAATGATTCGATACAATATGAATGAGTAAAGAATGTATTTTTAAAAAATTGGATCAAAATGATCAAAATAGGAACCGTATTGGATCAAAATAGGAACCGTATTGGATCAAAATAGGAACCGTATTGGAACTGTATTGGATAAAAATAGGAACCTTATTGGATTCTTTTTTCAATTCCAACCAATCAAGTCCAGAATAATTATTTTGGAACAATCTTGCTAACTTTCACATTTCTAACAGTGAATCTGTTTACCTTGCATCGGAATCGACCGTACTGTGAATCGTTCGTCCCTCCGAGAGTTGATCCCTTATAAATTTGAGAGTCTCATCTGGAATCTAAAAATTCTTGTTTGCAAAACCCAATCTTCATTCTAGTCTAGCAAAAAAGCAATTTAGTTGTACCTTTTGTGCTTTTAGCTGTGCCAAGAGCTCATTGAGAAAGCTGCCCGATGCATCGGATGAATAACGGAGAACATTGTAGCGATGGCGTTCTTTGTCCAAATCGCAACGCCTGAAAAAATGAGGATTAGTATACGATTTTAGATTAATTAGATTTGATTTTAAATCTTAAGAATAAGCCAGTCTATTTGTTTTTCGCAAAAAAAACATGTCAGGCACGATTCTGGCTAATATTTTGTGGAAAATCTCAAGCCTTTAACCTTTAACCTTGAGTTTTTAAAGTCAAAATCTTTTTGACTAAAGAAATCTTTGATTTTTTGAAGAAATCCTTATGTTTTTGAGCCTGATTTCCCTAAATTAAACCATTTGATCAAAGCTTATCTGTCCTTTTCTCTCCCAAAGCTCAATAACTCAATTTTATGCTCATTTCATGAACTCTCATAAATAAAAGTTATTGATGAAAGTGATGAGCGAAAGGAGATCATTTGTGAAAGGAAAAGAGATAGGAAACCATTTCTTATACCTAGTTTCCCTGGCTGTCTCTCTGACTCAATTTTTTGCGTTTTCACAGCCGTCTCCTCTTTTCTCCTCTCTTTTCCTCGGGATTCTCAATTTCTTATGGCCATTTTATCCCCTTTCCCCTCAATCATTCATCTGTTGCAGTTCCTCAAAACGAGTAGACAATCTTTCAAGACAAATACCCATAAAATCCACTCAAAATTGATTGGTTAACTGATTTCAAAAAGGATTTCAAGTCCAAGTCAAGCCTTGAACTCAATTTTATGGGCTCTTAAAATTCTTTCAAACTGTAACCAAGTTTGAATTCAATTCCAGACTCACTTTAACCAAAATCTGTGTTTTTTGCTCGATATTTCTCCTACTTTTGGCTTAGAATTAATTTGACAAAAGCAATTACCACTTACAAATTGATCTCTAAATTTTCTGAAAATAGCTTTCAATCTTTATCACATGAGCTACTTCTATTGTTAACACTCGACTTCTAAGCTTGAGCCTAAGCCTGAGTCTAAGCCTAAGCTTAAGCCTAAGTCTAAGCCTGAGTCTAAGCCTAAGGCTAAGCCCTGCTTAATGGCTTAGAACATTTTTGCAACTTTCACGTCTTCAAAGCTGCAGAAAGGAATCGTATACTGAATCGATTATCCTGGACAACAGACAATGTGTGACTCCACATTGTGAACATTCTCACCCTCGACCAGCCACAGTCATCTGTTACGTCCTTTGAGAAATGAGACATGGAAAAAGTTATTGGGTCAGAGGAGCAAAATCCTTACCCCAAACTTTCAACTCTTCGCTTTTCTTTGAGTCTTTTGGAGAAATAAGAATGACGGACCAGATGTAAGACAAGTCAAAAACAAAATAAGAAGCTTTGAAAAGCAACCAAAAGCAAATCAGATAATCAGCCCCCAACCTCTTTGATTGATTGAACCAAAAAAGGGCTTCCAACAAGCATTTGTTTTGACACTTTACTCATTGTTTTTCATGATCAACCATTTCACAGCTGACTTAATCTCTTCTCCTACAGTACTTCAGTTTTCTAGTTTTTCATCACCTAACCTTCAAATCCTCAACTTTTTCTCTCGATTTTTCCCAACTTTTTGAACTCCCCAAGAATGATGATTCTATTTACATAAAAAGGCAGCCGCTTTGTGTGAATTGGCCTGGGAATTTTTGAGGAATCTTTTCGAAAGTTGATGGCTTTTTTCTTTTTTTCTTTTTCTTGAAAGCTTTTTGATTTAGAAATTTCAAAAGCAGCAAAAAGCAATGATTATACTTTAATTTATAAAAATTAAACTTCAACTTTATATTCTAATCATTTTTCTGCAAAAAATTGAAACTCACAAAGTTCTAGAAGCTCTTTGATTGGGAGTGCAATTAAAACTAAGTGTAGGAATAGAAAAACTAGCGACCCAAAGCAAAGAGGAAGCAAAAACTTCCAGAAGTAAGGCTTAATCCGGTGAGCCTTCACTTCTTCCTATGCCTTATTTTCACAATGAAGTGAAATCAGTTGTGGCTGTCTGGGAAAGCTGGGTTCGCTTTTTTTTTCTTTGCCAAAATAACTTTTCATTTGAAAATCTCAAATGAGATGAGGGAAAAGAAAAAGTAAGAAGAGAAGGATCTTCTCTAAAGGTCAAATTTTGATTCACACTCATTGCTTTTTGTAAAAAAATAGATACGGTTCATTACAAAGCAATCTTTAGTTAATTGGTAATCAATAGACATTGCTTTGAATCATTTATGAAAGCCTTTGATTCATCCAAATCCTACTGCATCTCAAAAATCAGCTATTTTGTGCTAAATTCTCTAGAAATTTTCCCCTTTCCTGATCTTCAATATAACTTTTTGTGTAAGACTTCGTCACATTTTCAATATCCTTTCGATTCCGATTTCTTTTTCTTCCAGATTCTTCTACATAAAAACCACAATTTGCATCACTTGAGTGAAAAGGGGATTGAGAAAGAAAAGAAAAAAAGACCACAATCCTAGATTTTCACCTCACATTCCTCATTTACTTTTCTTTTTCCAAATTTGTACTCTAGAATTTTATTTCTAAATTGCTTCCGAACATTTTCATAAGTTAGTAGTTTGTGACTCAATCGGAAGCCAATTCTTCGAGTCCTTTGAAGTTAGACAAACCCTTGAAAGAACATTAAGCTTTCAATTTTCCCATTCTTTTCATCGCAAATCTTTAGATTTTATTGAATTCTTTCATTTATTGCTTAAACGTTTCCTTAAAAAGTTGCATTTGTTAATGCTTTTTCATTGAATAACTTTTAAATCTTTTCCTAAGCCTTACCAAGTTTGCGGGAAGAAATGTTGATCATCGAACGTTCTCGGGAATTTGTTCACCCTGATTTGTCGCTTGATTCGATCGTATTCGGTAATAAGGAAACAAGTCATATTTCGACCGCATCCATTGCAAAAACCAGCGCCCTGCGGTTTTCTGAAATAGTAAAATGATTAGCTTTAAGAATTTTTGAAAAAAATTGATGAAATCTTCTAGCTAATGCTAACAAACATTGCTTAGATTCAACTACAGCCAATTACTTACCGTTCGCTAATTCTTATTGCTTTAAGATCCTACATTTAAACGATCAACTTTAAACGATTTAAACGATCGATCAATGAACATTTTCCCCTTACCTAATACATTTGTCGAGAAAACCACTTAAAAATCGATCCACCGGGTCTCTCGAAATCATCAATAGCCGCCAGTCGCCAGTCAAATTGAATTTCGCTCGTTTCTGATTGCTTGATGTGTACTCGTTTTTGTTGGCACAAAACCTAAATTTTGGAAGCTATTCTGAAGTTCTTATGAATACCGTATTCTCTCTAATAGTAGCACTATTAGAGAGCATTAGAGAGAATACGGGATTCAGGGCACTACTATTTTTTCAACCCCCTCCCAGACCGCAATTGCGGTCTGGGAGGGGGTTGAAATACTATTAGAGAGTGCACTACTATTAGAGAGAATACGGTATATTGTTTATTGTTTACCTAACACCGTGAGTTTCTTTCAAAATTTGCCTCCCAGCATCTTTGAATCTTGTCTCATTGAAGAGATAGCACATGATTCCCCTCATCACGGTCGACATCGATTTCTGGATGGAACAAGTCGCTATTTTGTATCTTGGAGAGATCTAAATACCATTTATCCTTTATCCAATGACTTTTTTTAAAAACCAACAACATATTTTGCTTCAAAAGGAATAAATCCAGGAATACAAGTGAGATCTTCTTTGTCAGCGGATCGCTTGCAAATTTGCGAGATTTCGTTGGGGTTGTATGATGGAGCCGGGAGAGGCTGAAATTGAGGTTTAAGGAGTTATTTATGTAATTGAAAATACTATAATAAACTTTATGTGTCTTCAGAGTCAGTTCAAAAGACGCTGACAAACTATTTGACAAACTATTTTAGGTCATGTACTGGAAGTCAGTCAATTTTAGTTGAAGAACGTCATCGGAAGTTCTATCCAACTTTCAAAATATTTGAGGTATTTTATGCTTTAGTTAGGCTAATATTCTTTCCCTTAAATCCTCACTTCCATATTTTGTCTTTTGATGTCACCGATTTGTTGCATATTTGCTTCTCCTTGCTCCTTGTCTTTCTCCAGTCGTGGATACTTTTTCATGACTCGTGTGGTCATTTGAGAGTTCTAAATTTTTCATTGTACAAATATTAGGCAATCGATCATCTACTTAATCACAAATATTATCATTTTCAAATGATGAGTCAAAGATTTTTAGACTTAAACTAGCTTGTTCTCAAAGTGTAAACGAAAAACTTCTCAAAAAGTTGATTTTAAGGGAAACTTTCAGAAATACAGTTTGGAATTGAATTCCATAAAAATAATAGGAAAGTCTACTTTAGAAGTATAAGCAATTGTTTCTAGTGGAATTGTTCTTTGTAACTATTTGAATACCTAGAACTTGAATAATAACAAACCGGAAATATCTGTGATTTGAGCTGATCGTAATAATTTGATCCTATGAAAAGCAGCGAACCCGCCAGCACAAACACAACGATCAACCGCTTCCACGGTGGTTTTATAAACGTTTGAGGGCCCAGCATAAATCTCGATTTGTGAAAGAATTTTTGAAAAGTTATGAGTTGTTTTGCCTGGAAATGAATCGTGGTTTGAATGAAATGGTTGTGAGTGCGAGTGGCCTATGTTGTCCAGTGTGAATCCCCTCACATCTGCTTCTACTCATAGACCAATCCCTCTTTTTACTCCTTTTCAAGGTTTTACTATTCATTTTTTGAATAGTTTTGGGTTTCTCTAGTTTCTGCCATGTATAGCTGTTATTTTACCTTACACCTCTAAATATTCGCTTCACTCTCTGCATCGGCTAATTGTCTCTTGTCTATGGCGCATTGTGCAACACTTGTTGCTCTTATTCTCTAACTTTATATTATCTTTACATTCTTTCACTCTTTCTACCCATTTTTCTTTCACTTTTGCTCACTCACTGATTCTCAATTACTTCTACTTACAATTCCTCTCCAACCTCTTCTACTTTCGACCATACATTGCGACAGATTGTTTCTGTTTTAAATCCCCCATCATTCCTATTCTCTTCTTCTCTACTTTTACAGTCTCACTAACCTTCACTGTTTCTATAAGTCTTAGTTACCCATTGTCACATTCCCACTCAATCCCTCCCCCCTCAAAAAGAGATCACACATGAAACGGATCCCCCGCCGCCCAGAGATACGTTTTTCTCTGCCCACTCAATTTAGGCTCAGCTTTTTCAAGTAGGTGGTAACAGTTTCAAAGATGGTTGTTGACTTGTTGCAAGGTTGTTGATTTGAGCATTGGTTTCCAGTAGTTGATAGCGTTAAGTCTAGATGTTTCCCAAGGAGGCAAGTGCAGGAATGTTTCAAAACCAAGACCAAAACTAGATTAGAAACTTTTGATCTGTGCCAATTTGAGCTTGATCTTCAGCTCTAACCATTAAATTTCTAGCTTGATTTACTGATCAAGCTTTGGCTCTAAAATGCCTGTTTTAGCTTAAAAATCTGGCCAAATTAAGTAGAATTTAGTTCAGATTTGAATGGATAATATTTTCTTTAGACTTTTCATGAAAAGAAAGTAAAGGAAAGAAGAACAAAGAACTAAAGCTTTAGAATTGAAAAAGTTGAAGTTCTGTGAACAATCTATCTTACAATTAGTTAAACTTTACAAGAGAATAAGTTGGGAAACTTCAGTAAACTTCAGAAATCAGATGATTTTTGGATTGCTCTAATTGCAAAGTGAAAAAGAACTCCGAAATTCCCTTTGATGACAGCTGTTTGTAGAAACGAGTGCCCATTTATTCTTGGTACTAATTGTTCTCTTTTTCTTTTCTTTTTCTACTTTTCATCATATTAAAGCGTTTCATTCAATTCCAGCTCTTTTTAAATCGTTTTTCATTCGGTGATCATTTCAGTTTCATACTTTTTCTATTCTACTAATTGATTTCGCGAAAATATGAATGGTTCAAAGGTTCGATCAAGTTTGAAAATCGAACACTGCACGTTTAATGTTGAAAAAATAGTGTTAAAATGAAAATAGGAAAAGTTTAAAGGTTGAATCAAGTTTGAAAATCGAACATTGCACGTTCGATGTTGGAGTTAAAGCAGTTTATGTTGTAGCTGCTTACAGAGAAGGGCTGCTAAAACCATAGCTGTAAACCCGACAAGAACCAAGGCTAAGAATTTTGCGAATTCTACGAATTACAGTCTACAGTAATCCCAAACCAGTCAAGGTCAGAAATCAGGAACAATAAAGTTTTGAGACGAGGCAAGCCAGATCACACCAAAAACTGCCAGGCCAAACAAGCCAGGCCAGGCCAGGTCAATCTAGCTTTGAACTGGCCCTTTTCCAGAAACATTGGGACAACTCTGTTGCAGAGTTATTCCTAGACTAGATTTGCAAACCATTCTAAAAAGCTAATTCCGAAAAATTAGGCGTATTGATTTTTTAAGATCTCTTCTCTTATATATCTACAGATCAAAAGGACAAAGCTATTCAGAATTGAAATAATTTGTTGGACAAAGATCTCTTCTCTTATACAGTACTGGACAATGAAATATCATATTGGAAAAACGATCGTCACTTTCGCGCGCGCTGAAATGCGTCAAAAAATACGGTATTTCTAAATATTAATATTACCATTGTGTCGCCCTTGAAAAGAGCTTTCAGAAAATGCATAACACTAGTAGTTTAAACTCAAAGACAAGGAAGTTACAGACGTGCGAACGTACTGTATATCTACCGTATCCCAGTTTTTTTCATAAATTTTTTTTCATAAATTCATGGTTTTTATGTAAGCTATTAAGCTTTTAAACAGATCCAGCTCTGATTTTTCATTTAATCCTTAAGTTTTCCTTTTAACGACTAAGCTAAACACACAAATCCCCTAATGTGTAATAGATTGGGTAGATAACTTTCAGTTAAACTAACTCTCTTCGATTGTCCATCAATTTTACGGGAATTAAGCACCTGACTGACTCTAAATTATCCCAAAGCCAAAGGTGTTTGTGCTTTTTTTTGAGGAAATCAAACGAGAAAGAGAAGGAATTGAAGCTTTTGGAGAAGAAAAGGAGGACGAAGGGTGGCCCAATCACACAAAAGAGTGATCAATTTCTCTCGTTGAACTCTTTCCCCTGATCAGGACTTTGATTTCAATAAAACACCTGACCAAACTTGATTTTGATGTAACTCTGTCTGGTCAAAATGAAACTTTTTATGTTTAGAATGATCGATTGTTCATTTTGGTGGTTTGAAAGTTAAGAAGACTCTATTTTTGATTATTTCTCCATTTGAAATCAATCTAAAAGTTGTAGAATATTGATTAAATCATCATTTACTCAATGCTATCCTAAAATTGTTGAGAAACTCTCCCAATTACCTACGGGTTTTTGATCAACAATGGAACTCTCCTCTTTCTCTTCCTTTAGCCTCAAATCGAAACGACTTTCCCCGAATGATTTACACTTTATTGCGGTTTTATTTTCCGAGATCAAGCTCTTAGATCAACTTTCACTCAACTCAAACGAAGCTGTTGATTGGCTAGGCTTGGCTTATCCTAGATTTCTATGACTTTTGTGGAAATCGAGATCAATTATTAAGTCAAAGATCTATTGGGTTGGAAAGTGTGAAATGGCGGCGTCTTTGAACGAACTTTTGAGAAAAAACTAAACCATAACTTTTCCTCAAATTTCTTTCTAATAACAATTAAAGTTTTGTTGTTTATATGCCAAAATCTCATCCCAATCTGACGCAAATTTTTTGAGAAACAAGATGTGTTAAAAAATCGATTTTTGCCTAATTTTCTCTTCAAATCTAAACCGCTAAAAATTTGCAACAACTTGTTAGATTCAAAAGCTGTTTTAGCCAATATGTTTGTATAAACTTGTTAACAAAAATAAAGATAAAATTAAGATTTTCGTTGACTAAAAATTTTCGAATTTGCAATTTGGCTGTTACATTTTCCCTATTCATGTTATGTCGATGATTTTTGGGGTTTAAGGGTTATTTTTGGTCCTGATAATTGAAAGATATGTGATCATTTACTCTAATACAGTGCGGTGCAAAACCATATTTCAAAGCCCCCTAAATTTCAATTTTCTGCGGCTTCCGTGCCAGTGACAAAAAAAACTGAAAACCTAGTTAGATTCAGGACCAAAAATAACCCTTAAACCCCAAAGATCAGCGACATAGCATGAATAGGGGAAATGTGACAGCCAAAAAGCGAAAATTCACCGGGTGCAAAACCATACGCCAGCTTTGGTGTCATTTCATACTTTTTTCTCGTTTTAAATTCGCTTTTTTGGCTGCTACATTTTCCCTATTCATGCTATGTCGATGATTTTTGGGGTTTAAGGGTTATTTTTGGTCCTGAATCTAACTACGTTTTCGGTTTTTTTGTCACTGGCACGGAAGCCGCAGAAAATTGAAATTTAGGGGGTGGCGTATGGTTTTTAAAAAACGAAAATTCACCTGGGTGCAAAACCATACGCCGCCCCCCAAATTTTGATGTCATTTCATACTTTTTTTCTAGTTTAAAAGCTAAATTGTAGTATTCCCAGAAAAAAAACGTCTTTTTTCAATTTTTAACTTTTATTATCAAACTTCATTTATTCACTTATAAAATAACCGTTTTAACTTTTAACTAATTGAATATTTTTGTTGCAAACAGTTAAGTGGTAGTCAAAAATCGACCTTTGGCACATCCATTCCCATTCCTCAGGCTCAGATCTGATGCAAAACTTCCCATCAGATTGGGATGAAATTTTGGCATTTTTAAACAACAAAACTTCAATTGTTATTAGAAAAAAATTTGGGAAAAAGTTATAGTTTAGTTTTTTTTTCAAAAGTTCGTCCGGAGACGCCGCTATTTCACACTTCCCAACCGGATAAACCGAAAGCTTTCATCCTGTTTGACTTGTCATCTAATACTTTGACCCATTGTGTTTTTTTCCTCAACTTTTGCACTCAATCACTCATCATATTGTCACTCAAGTTCACACTCGATGAGTAAAAAGATGAGCGCCTGGCACCACTCAGGCAAATCTCTAAAGAGAGTGTCTACATCAATTCTTGGAAATTAGAGATGATTTGTAATTTTCTACGTTAGCTCAAATTTTTATCTATATTTTTTGAGAGTTTACCGACTTTTTATTTCATTATGGAAAGTTTGAAGAAGGTGTTTAAAGGGGAAAAGAAGATTGGGGAAAGAATTTGTGCATCCCGCATATTGATATCCAAAAAAAAGGCAATTTGGGGTCGCATCCGTTCTTGAGGAAAAGGAAATGAAACCCGGGTGGTCTCAAAATGGATGTAGGTTTAGTTATGACGAAAATTATTTCTCTTTCTTTTGGCATACGTTTGTTTTCTTAGTTATCTTCTTTCGAATTCAAAAGATTGTGGGACATTTGATCTTGCCCCACCCGTTTGCCATTGGCAATTCAACTTTAAGCTCAAATTTCTTGGTGTTAGGCTCTTCAATTTAAATAGTTTTTATAACAATCTATAGAGAAAGACCTGGCGCATCTAATGATATCAAGAACATCAGACATTATTATAAAACTTGCTTAAAAGTTTATTGAAAAGAATTCTAAGTCTCATTTTGTTCTACCAATGGTAATAGGTTTTAAAACTGCAAATAGTAAGGATTACGGCAAAGAGCTGATAAAAAAAGCTTGTACTTTCTAGAGATAAAAGCCATGATTCTTGAAGTGACTTTCAAAAGTGAATGAGGGGCTTTTCAAGATTGTAGGACATTTGATCTTGTCCCACCCGTTTGCCATTGGCAATCCAACTTTAAGATCAAATTTCTTGGTGTTAGGCTCTTCAATTTAAATAGCTTTTGTAACAATTTATAGAAAAAGACTTGGCGCATCTAATGATATCAAGAATATTGAAATTGAACAGCCCAACACCAAGATATTTGAGCTTAAAGTTAGATTGCCAATGGCGAAGGGGTGGGGCAAGATCAAATGTCCAATAAACATTCAAAATCTAGTCAATGCAATGAATAAAGTCAATTCAAACGTCTAGCCAAGCAAATTGAATTGATTTTGGCTCTAGCTAAGCTCTGACTGAGCCAGGATTTGCGATTTACTGACAATGAGTCTGATAATAAGCTGATAATGACTGATTCTCTACTTCTTCTCATTCTTCTTCGAATTTTTCTATAGTTGTTTGTTTTTGTGAACTCTTTGCAAAGTGATGGTTCCCAATTGAGTTCCCAAGGCTCTTCAAGAACCTTTCTCTCACTTTTATCCAAAATTTCAAGTCTATTTGCTGGTGGTGGATGGGTGTAAATTGAATTCACCTCGTCTCGATATCATTTCCGAAAGACGGACACCAATCAAACCTTTTTTTCAACTAAATATACACCTAGTTCAATGCTAAACTTTCATAAGTTCAAGTATTTCGAAAAGGATTTTTGATTTCTTTGTCCCTTCAATTCAATTTAGGTAGTTCTTTGTGAGCTAAAGCTTCTTGCTAATGATTTTTCAGCTAAAACTTTAGTTCATTTTTGTTTTTCATAAAGTTACCTTTCATTTGTCACAAAAAAATCCCACTTTGGGATTAAGCATTGATACAAATGCGGACATAAATGCCGTTCGAAAAGGGTAAATGAGTTTTTGATTTTTGGAACATTCAAATTCTGTTTGACTTTTTACTTTTCGAGGGCTAATGTCTGTCTTCCTGACTGTCTAACTGTCTTCTGAAGTATGAATGGCTAAGTTTAGCTTCATTTCAGTCTTTGCAAACGAATTTTTACATTTTTAGCCTTTTGATCCATTTTGCCAAAGCACTTCCGCAAAAGTATGGAAAGATCTTTAGTCTAAAAACAAAAACAATTGGAAATTTAGCAGTAAAAGGCTTTTCGGATCGCAAAAAAGCGGACGAGTGTTCGAAAATTCTTTTCATTCAATGGAATGGGCATATAATTCGAGAGAGAACTTCAAAATACCCATTCCCAAATGATTATTGAATTGCTTTCTCCAAATTGTTAAAAGATTTTCGAGAGGTCTTGTTAAGAGCCTTTAAGTGGAATCTTTTGAGCCTCACATTTTGAAACTTTCATCTTTGAAAACTTCTTGAAAATGTTTTTGATTCAAAAACTTTGAAAAACAAATTAAAACAGCTTCAAAATTTGTTTTTTTCAACAATTCTAGAAAGGTTTGAGTGAATTTCTGAGAGAATTTTTTTTTTTTTTAAAAATTTATTATTTAAAAACAATATTTTTTATTAATAATTTTAAATGGGTTTTTTTTTTTTTTTGCCAGCTGAACTTTTTTTTAACTTAACTTTGCTATTTCTTCTATGCTCAATCTTATGCTTTTTCTCAAGAATAATGACTTTTTATTGACAAGTTTCAGAGATGAATCCATCCTCAAATGGCTTATTGAGAACATATCAAGCCGATCTCTCAGCAAGCATTCAAAGGCTAGACACACTGGAAAAAGAACATCAAAGGCTGAAGAAGAAAATCAGATCGAAGAAACGGTAAAGAATGTCAAAATTTTGAAAACTGTCAAAAAACTAAGCTAATAACAGATATTTGATCAATTCTTATTCAAATTCCAGACGAAAATCCCTCAACTCTTACGATGAGGATTCTGAAGAAGATGACTCGTGGAAGCTGTTAAAAGTAAGATCTTAAAATTTTACATATAAACTATTCAAATCTAGGAAAACGCTAATGTTCACGGTTTGAAAGATCTCTTCTTCACCTCTTCATCAAAATTGAAAGTTACATGGATCCTGTTATTGATTTTGGCTGCGATTCTCACTGTTCATGGATGCTACACGATAATCGTCGAATATTTGGTGGGACGAGTGGTCGTCTCATATTTTGTTTATGAAGCATGTAAGTTTAAAAAGGTTTTTAGTGTAAAAATAGGGATTCTCAAATCGTTTTTCTAGCTGACTTACCCCTTCCCGATTTGGTGATTTGTCCGTTGAATCGTTTCAACCGAACATTTCTCGAGAATCTCAACGTCTCCGCTGGATTAGCTCAGTATATGGAGCTCTCCTTTCCACTCTATCCTATGCATCCATTTCAACAACCGTGAGTTTTCAACTATTAGCAAGCATTAATTGAAAAGTATTGAATGATCCACTCTTCAAATTGTACAGGTTCTTAGTATTTACTTCTTCTTTTTCGCGACTTCTTTTTCCTAGATTAGCTCCAAAGCCCCAAATTCAACTCTAATGTTTTAAAAGTGTTATTTAAAATGTTAAAGCCCTTAATCTTAGCTACATTTATCTACAGGATGCTCAAAAAAAGTCAGTTCAGCGCGATTTTTCTCAGAATTTCTAGTGGCTTCTGGTGATTGTTGTGGTGCCAAAGTGAATATTTTTGGCGGGCAAATTTTTGATATTTTTCACTTTTTCCCGATTTCATGACTTTCCTATACATGAAATTTCTGAGCCACCATGGCTGCCACCACCATGAAATTTTTGCCATAAAAACTTTCTACTGGCGTCGTGGTGTCATATCTAAGCTAACATGCAAACTAAGATTCTCAACCGAACACTTTATCGGTTTAGAACATCCAGTAGCCTCTTGTACATAGAACTCTTTTAATTCTTATTTGATTCTCAAAGAAACAGCCATGTTCTGCTCATGAGCTACTCTAATCAATATTTATTCTATAACTTTGGCACCACAACAACCACCAGAAGCCACTAGAAATTCCGAGAAAAATCACGCTGAACTGACTTTTTTTTGAACATCCTGTATTAAAAGTTGTCCGAATTTTTAGACAAAATGCCACAAATTTATCTAAAAGAAACTCTTTTTAATTAAAAAATTTTTATGAAGTAAATCGCCAAAAATGGTAGCGTACCGAAGAGGGAACAACTAGTGAGTACTCATTTAAGGGTTTGTAAAGTAAGTTGTATATCTCCAATCGGGAAACTTTAAATAGATAAATGTAGCTAAGATGGGCTTCAATATTTTATATAACACTTAGCACATTAAGGTTGAACTTGGCGCTGGGATGCTAATCTACAAAAAAAGAAGTCGCCATAAATACTGAAAACCCTGTACATTTACATTACTCAATTTTGACATAAAGGGTACCTAAAATCTTGGTTTTTGGATTTAAATATATCACAAATGAATTGTAGGACATTCGATGCAGTCATGGGAAACACCGACTTCTACAACAATGAGCTGGAATTGTTGTTGACAAGACTTGGAAACATGACGTATCGAGACTTTTTGAATAAAGTAATTCCTGAATCATATCAGATCAGAATCAGATCAGAAAGTCTTTAGGCTTCTTTACCCTGTGAAGCATTTATGGACAATCCAGATGATTGTGCGAACAGTACAGAGATTTATTGCTCGGCCGGGAAATGCTTTCGGATACCTGGCGATACTCAGGTTTGGCTGTTAAAATTGTTAAAATTGAACAAGAATATTGAATTAATTGCAATTTCGATGTACTCAAAACATTTTTTTCAGTACAGCGCTGGTTTTGCGACGGGTGATCATCGGATTATCAATCTCCCGACCGAATCTTACAGTCCAGCTGCTAATCAAGTGAATTTTCTTTGAATCAGTTTTCAAGAAAGCCAAATATTTCTATATTTTTCAGATTCCAAATGATGGCATCATTGTAAAACTTGTGGAAAAAGGGATGGGAATTGATAACGATTTTACTTTTGTACCTACAGGTAATCATAATATTTTATCATCATTATCTGATTAGAAGTCAATAATTGAATTGATTTAGAGTTGTGAATTTCAGAAAAATCGTATTTGCTCTAATATTAGTGCACCCCGGCGAGCCGAGTTGATGCCTATTTTACGGTTTTCAATTTTCCCCAGAAGTTCAACACTTTAATCCCCCACTAGATCTAATCGTCAACTACATTTTCCGACCCCACATCGATAGGTTTTCAAAAGCGGTTTTTGAGATTTCGAGGAATTTAATCGACAATCAGGGTGCACTGCTATTAGAGAGAATACGGGATTGGCGATCACTGGATTCAGCTAAAACTATTGTAATCTAGAAATTAAATGCCTGAGAAAGAGGTATGACCTCACAGATGTTACCGTAATCTGCCAAACCTGCTTGCTCTATTCTTTTTCTCTCTAATAGTAGTGCACCCCGGCGAGCCGAGTTGATGCCTATTTTACGGTTTTCAATTTTTTCCAGAAGCTCAACACTTTAATCCCCCAGAAGATCTAATCGTCAACTACATTTTCGGACCCTACATCGATAGGTTTTCAAAAGCGGTTTTTGAGATTTCGAGGAATTTAACCGACAATCAGGGTGCACTACTATTAGAGAAAATACTATAGTTCTTAAAATTTGAAGATTCTAGGTGTTCACGCGATCTTCCCGATCACTGCCGTCAAGTACGAGTTCATGAACGATCCACCAAAATACATGTGTCAAGAGGAAAGCAATTACACATACAGTAGTGTCTACTGTTTTGAGGTAGAATTTTGGTTTCATGAAATTTTTGGATCAAATTTCATTTCCATAAATCTCATTTGCTTTTAGGAATGCTTTGTGGAGGAAGCGGAAGCCGTATGCAATTGCTCACTTGCCGGTGCGACAACACCGAGAAAAGCGATCACTTGCACGGCACAACAATACTTCAATTGCTTTTTCCCGCAACTCAGCGCGCTCGGATTTGATAAGAACAAGGTTTGAATTGACAATATTATCCGGTAAAGAAAAACTCTGGTATTATGTACAAATAGCTCTTGTATTATGGAGAACAATGTCTAAAACCTTTCAAAGACTCAGCTCTTTAAATAGTATTTATTTGCTTTCAGAAGTGTCGAAGTCAATGTCCTCCACCGTGCACTTATTGGGAATATGAAAAAGCACGTCTCTTTTGCGAATTTTCCGTCAAAATCGGTTAGTTTATTGGTAACTTTATAAGAAGAAGATGTTAAGATATACAGTACTGGACAATGAAATATCATATATTTGAAAAACGATCGTCACGTTCGCACGTCTGTAACTTCCTTGTCTTTGAGTTTAAACGATTAGTGTTATACATTTTCTGAAAGCTCTTTTCAACGGCTACACAATGGTAATATTAATATTTAGAAATACCGTATTTTTTGACGCATTTCAGCGCGCGCGAAAGTGACGATCGTTTTTCAAATATGATATTTCATTGTCCAGTACTGTAAGCAAACAATCATCGATTCCAGGCTCGCTACTTTGTGAAAGATGAAAAGGAGTGGCAAAAGCTGCAATCAACGATTATCATCGAAGTAAAGGATATTAATTTTCAAAGAAACATCAATTCTAGATCTATTACAAAGATCTCAAATATACGTCGATCAAACACGTGATTGCGATGCCGTTGCAATCGTTGATTGCCCAGATTGGAGGTGCGAGTTGAACCTTTCTTTCTATCAAGCTCAATCGATTCTTAAATTCAATAGTCTATCAAATTCTTAGGTCAATTCTCTTTATGGGCTGGTGGGAGTCTAATCTCGTTACTTCAATTGGTCATCTATTTATCTCGTCATTTCTATCATCGATGTCATCGAGCTGTCAGGCATCAAAGGTTTGTTGGAGAAGAGAAATTGAGTCAAATCAGTCACATAACTATTTGAAAATGGTATACTTTGTCGATTTAAGTTTTGCCAGTAATCCAATACGAAAATTGAGATCTTTGAAAGTAGGCTCATCGGCAAAACTGTTTCGGAAAGGAAAAAAAGCGAAATCTCAGACTTTTGCGTCATTTTTCATGCTTTTTCCATTACAAGTTTGATTTTTTAATAGTTTGACTTCTAGAATTTGAGTATTTCATAACTAAAGTCGTCTTTCAGAAGAAAATCCTTGGCTGCAGCGGCTGCTCGACGTGCGTCAACTCGGCGAAGCTCTTCTATTCCAAGATCCTCAAAAGTACTAAATGGAAACAGTTTAACTCATCATCTCATCCGAATTGAACCGGATTCCCTTGAAAAAGTACCTGTATAAGACATCAAATCAACGAAAATTAGTGTCTAAATTTATAACCATTCTCTATGTGTACATGTACAGTAATCCTAAGTTGTATTTTATTTCACATTCCATTGTTATTCTTTGTTTTTCTTGTTCAGTGCCTCTATAAGCTCAAAAAGATTCTCTCATAATGCTCAAAAAGTCAAAATCTGGTCTAGTGTGCAATAAAATAAACAGGGTGCTTATGATTTGCAATATTATGCTGAAAATTGATAGTTTCATTTAGTCATTGTTAGCTTTGTTCACCATTCTACAGGTATTGGTATTCTTTTCTTTTCTTTTATTCATATCCGGGTCATTTTTCTTTACAAAACACTACAATTACTGTTTTGATGAAAAGAAATAAATGATTCGATTCATACATTAAAAATTACGTTTGGAAAATGATTTACTCAAGAAAAACATTTCATTTTGTGTGGCGTAAAAGTTGTAAACGTGCAATGAGATAATCATTCTGGATTTTATGAATCTGGCCTTTCGCATGTTTAAATAGAATTGAACCACCGTTGCTAACGAAAACGTCTTCTACCAGTTGCCAATAGGCTTTTAAACGTTAATAATAGAAAATGTATCGAATTTCTTTTTGATTAACATTGGTGCTGATGTGATATTGTAAAATTTCTCACGATCTTTATTTACAAAAATGGACAAGTTGATTTTCTCGTCACGAGGTTGTCTTTTTGTGCTTTAGAAAGATCAAAAGATTTGGAGATTTCTTTTTGAATGTCGAGACTATAAATTCCGCGAATGTATTGATCCAGCTTGTCCAGCGCACTTCTTGCTTTGACTTCCCAAGCAGAAATTACTGCTGATAGAATTTCCTTAGTTTCCCCATCGAGCTCTTTATTTTACATTGTCGAAACATAACGTGATCCAGTCAATTTTGGAAAAGGTTTCATTGAAATGGGATCAACTAAAAACTTTCATTGAAATAGGATCAACTAAAAATGGTCTCAAAGAATGTTTTGATTGTTGACTATACTTTATTCAAGTATTCCAAAGGTTTTCAGCTGTTGCGCTCATTTTCAAAAAGTCGATCACTAGCTTAAAATCACATTGGTCTATTCTCACTTTCGGATTTGTGCTTACAGTTTTTAGTCGCGCAAAAGTGCTTTCTTTAGGTTTCTTCAGGTTTCTTTAGAAAAACATTTGTGTCTCGCTTCCAAGGAATCACTGGAGCAAGAAAACGGGTAAAGGAGTGAAAATTCCACCGGGTAATCTTTCACTTTCCTTTTCTTCTTTTTTAGAGAGTTCTTGAGTTTTGACTATTGGTTTGCTCAGTTTCGAATAATCTTTTAGGATTTGCACTCTTCGAAGATGGGATTGAAGATTCGCAATTGCTATTCAACACTAGGATTTTGTTTAGATGATCCAGCAAAATTCTCTTTAACCTCATCTCTTCCTTCTTCCTTCGAGGGATCTAATAGATGTTTTGCATTGAGGTGCTCAGTTTTTGGGGACTTGACTGAAGGAAAACTTACGACATTACGCTAAAAGGAAAATCATTTTTTTAATGTTCTTTTTCCTGTATACTTTTCCAGTCTCAAATCTCGATGCAGATTCTCTTCCAGACATCTCAAAACGGAGAAAAGTTGCTCTGTCCAGACAAAAACCGGTTTTCTATTGTAAACGACCTTTGGATCAAACAACACTAAAATTCAAATGAAAGTAATTTATAAAATTCGAGCTTAAACACCATTCCGCAATGAATTCCTTTCAAAATATTTCATTCTAATCACATAATACCATTGCACTCAATCTTTTACTTTTTCGATTTCATAAAAATAAAAGATATTCAGATGATGGAATTCTTTAAGAATTTCCCATTCTCACTCAAATTTTGCCTCTTCTTTTGCATCGTTGCTTTGTTGAATTCATTTTGCAGCAATTTTATTGAAAACTCGTATTGGGTAGCTTTAGTCTAAAAATTTATCTTTAAAGAAGTTGCGGAAAAGCAGTTACATTTAAATTTTGATCTAGACATTTTACATTCAAAACTTTGTTAATCTAAAACAAACAACATTTGGTCCATGACAATGACGAAACCAAAAGCGTCTCTTCCTATCGTCTCTTCAATTTAGCGTCCTCCATTGAATTTTGATCGACTCAACCACAGAAAATCTAATATTTCTGGTTAAAGTTAAAATATCAAAAGAAAAGAAAAGCAAATTTTGAAATCTTATCTAATTCAGTTCAATTTAAGAGCTAGAGATAGCGTTTTACCGAGAGTTTTACTGTTATCAGTGGCACTTTTTGGAGAAAATCCTTTCATTGGCTTTTAATTTAAATCGATCATTCATAAAGACTCATCAATAAAACCACAGATTGAATCGAGAAATTGTCTGTCTTTTTTGGCTTTGTTTTGAATTATTTGAAAGTCTGTCTTGCAGATTTTTGGCTAAAAGCTGGTAAAGCTAAGGAGTGCATCAAAACCACATAACGAAAACTTTTTGATGTAAAAAAAGCGTCTGCAAAAGTAGATAATAGAAAGTAGAAACCTGCAGAGAAAAAAAAATGTTTTTCGAGACGTTTTCATGTTAATTTGAATTTCTGTCGCAAATTTTAAATGTTAATTTTCGCACAACGTCGCATTCCAATTGACGCCGCCGCCATTTGGAGGTAGTCGATGGGAGCGCCGCGTCGTCGTTTCTTTTTCGTTTTCAAATCATTTGTTTTTGTCAGATTAATTGAAAGTATTGTTTTACGCGATAAAATTTGTGTTGAAGTGAGAAAGCAATCTATTTCCATCCTTAATCCCATTGGATCCAACTGGTAAAGTTTCAACGATGATTTACCGTAAATACTGTAATAGTACCCCACCCTCCACGTACAGTCGCGTAGTCGCAAAAGTTTTTTAGTATTTCATTTTTTCCAAAGCGTCCGTACTTTCAAAAAATGCGTCTTTGGTATCAAAAAATAGCTGAAATTTAGGGCTATTTTTTGATGCCTAAGCGCGCATTGTAGCATAAACCAGTGTCGAGAAACACTCGTTCAAAGCTAGACTACGCAACACACCGCACCGTCATTATGGGGGTGGGGTACTATTACAGTATTTACGGTATTTCCATTTGGGAGGAGAATCGGGAACTTTTCGTAGGCCAAAACTATTAGGTTGTCCAGTTATAAATGCGCGTTTTTAAGATAACAACTCTTTATTTTAAAACCAACAGTTTAACAGCTCAATCAATAATATATTCACCATTTGTTAACAATATTTGTTTCCATCTTCCATGCGAAGAATGAATTCCCTCCGCGTAAAAATTGGCTTGTTTTGAGGCAAAGAAGTCGGCTATCCATTTTTCGACCTCTTGAACTTCTTTGAACTTGTTTCCGGCCAAATGGTTTCGCATTGAGCGAAATAAATGGTAATCCGAAGGAGAAATATCCGGAGAATATGGCGGATGCGGGAGAGTTTCCCAGCTCAACTCTTCGAGTTTTTTCCTGAACAATTTTTGCAACGTGTGGATGGGCGTTATCTTGAATGAACTTTATGTTTGAAGGATCAAGGCCTTTTTGTAGCAATACATTGTTCACTCGTTCCAATTGTTGTGCATACGTTTCACCCGTGATTGTTTGCCCAGGTTTACTTTCTTGTCAAGGAAGTCGGGTTTTGGTGTTGGTATTGGCTCCTCACCAGGTTCTAGCCATTGCCGTTTTCGTGTAGAATTATCACCTTGAATCCATTTTTCATCGCAAGTAAGGATTTCATCGTAAAACCCAGTATTTTTTGCCAAACGAAGAAGAATACCCGCCATAGTGACACGAGTAGCTTTATTGGCATTGCTGAGAAGATGAGGAACCCATTTCCCTTGTCGGCTTGTTTTCCCCAATTGATTTAAATGCTCAGAAATTGTTTGAGGGCTTACTCTAAATATTTCTGCAAGTTCGCGTGTAGTTTGTCGAGGATCCATTTCGATCGCCTGCTTCAGTACTGCATGATCGATCGCAGGAGGTCGTGGTTGGTGGTCTTCGTCTTCCAAAGATTCATTTCCTTCTCGAAATCGTTGAAACCATCGACGACACTGGCTTTCCAAAATAGCATCTTCGCCAAATACTTTGCAGAGATCTCGATGAGATTCAACGGCATTTTTGCCCAATTTGAAGTCATACCAAAGACTGGCACGAAGACGAAACTTCGTCTCGGCCATCTAAACACGGAAATTAAATCAAAAATGAATTAGTTTAACGTCAAAAACACGAAAAGTTGTAATAAATAAGAAATCTTGAACAGTATATAGAGAATAGGGTTTGATAAAATTGTATAGCCCTAAGGTACGCTGTTCAAGAGCAGGCGCGCATTCATAACTGGACAACCTAATAACTGTAAGACGGTTTGAGGAGTTGAATGGAAACAACGAAGGAAGGCTCATCTTCTGGATCGTTACAAAACTCAGACATTTTAGTCGCAGAAATCATTGTTAGCTTTGTTCACCATTCTTTATTGGTATATCCTTTTTTGATTATTCATTTCCGAATCATTTTTCGCTGCAAAACACTACAATTGAGGACTGTTTTGATGAAAAGAAATCTATTTTCTTCTTTCATTGACTCATTCAAACACTCGAATTGCTTTAGAGAACGGTTTGGCTTAGTTAAAAGTAACAAGAATATAGTATGCAAATTTAACAATACTTCAAATTATCAAAATTTGGTAAAAAGTAAAACTTCTTGAACTTTTTCCAGTTTTCCGGTACAACCCCCTTCGCACGTGGCTTATTTTCCTCTAAAGCGATAAATGTCTCAACTTTCCCTATTTGGTGATTCATTCACAAGAGAAAATTTACAAATAACCCCTCAAATAGTCAATAGATGGCTATATTTTTGGTCCGTGCAGGTCTCCCTTTGGCGCCACTCTGGGGAGCTCAACAGCTTTTCCCCTTTCCGTGAAGAGTCCTCTCTATAGATAAGACCATATCAGTAGTTGGGGTATTGTCACCAAAATCCTTCCATCTCTCGAAAAGAGAAGAATTCCTGCCAGCTCTTTTGCTCATTCTCTTCCCGGATTGGATTTTTTGTGCCTCATAGTACCTCGCAAATCCATTTTAGACTCGTTTCAAACTATACTTTGTCAAGCAATGTTGCGTCGATTCTTTTTAGAGTTTTATGATTTTGGATGAAAATGAATTGATCGATCAGAAGTAAAACCTTTATTTTCTTAGCTTTATTGAATCTCCTGAATCACTCTAGCTAAATCTGTCCCTTCTTTTCATTTCTTTTTGCTGTAATTTCAATAATTTCAATGATCTCACTTTCTCTATTGCAAGTCGTTAAAATCACCAATTGTTACTTTCAATTAGGCATTATCTTAATAGCAAATGAATACAAACCAATGCCATAAAAGTCTAGTGTAAACTAGACATGGTTTCGAATCAGATCAAATCAGATTGAAATGAATCGAATCGAATAGGATCCGATTCGATTGATCTATCGATCGGTGTGTCGACTAAAGAGTCAACACCAAGGTTATGGGTTGGAACACGTCTTAAACCGCCCTAAAGCTTGCGCCATATTACCGTAAACTTAAGTGTGTTTTTAGGCGGTTTTTTGGGAATTATTGTTTTGTTTTTTTTGTTTACTAAATAAACAGTTGCGATTAATCGACGAAGTACAGTAGATACATTGCTGCAATACAGTAAGAGCTAACAACCCTAACGAAATCCTTTAGTTGTTGGACTCGGATTGGGCACGAGTGATTTGTCAATTGGTTCGGATTCGATTCGATTCGATTCGATAGACTCAGCAAACGAATCCATTCGATTCGATTCGACTTCAACTTTGAACTCGAAACAATGTCTAATGTAAACGATAAATCAGTTAAAATCTCAAAAATGTAATTATTCGAATTTCTGGATTTGATTGCTTTTGATTTCAAAAGATTTCCTCAAAATTCTTGATATAGAACTTGTGTGTTTTCTTTTGCTTTCATCTATATGCGATTCTATTTGATTTGTTTGACTTCGTCGATATTTTGATGCGAAAACCATGGGATACTCTCTAGATGACACATCTATTTTTTCTCGTATCAAATTTTACCAATATTTGGTTTCTGATTGGGTTTTGATTACATAACTTTTCTCTAGATGCGGTAAATACTAAAACAATTTGAGTTAGAGGTTAAAGACAACCAACTTTTAGCTGTCTTTGGCATTTATCAAAACCAAACAATGTGATTGATTGACTGAACTCTATGATTAAGAAAATGATTTTAGCTTTCATCAATTATAAAAGCTTCCAATCTTGGTTTGATTCCTTTTACTTACAATTAGAAAAAACAGTTTAGATATAGCTCAAACAATAAAATAAAGTTTTCAAAGATTTAAAATATTTCCGATGTTTCTAATCTTTCACTTAGTGTAGACCATTTAATTCTAAGAGTTATTAAGCTATTGAGAATCAATTAGATCAATTTTCAAAATTATAAAAAAAAGAGTAACTCTCTTTTACTTTTTACCATAAACCAAACCGCTTCATTTACATCATTTTGTTGATTCTAGATTTCTCTTCTTTTTCTCATTGCTTCCACCAATTGTAAAGCCGTGTTGGGGATTTTTCCCGGCGCTTCCTCTTTCCCCACTTTTCTTTTTGTCTTCTAAAAAGAGTGATAAGGGAGTTTCATCTTTGGTGGGGAAGAGAGAAGAATTTTTCTTCTTTGGCCTCAAACAATCGATAGAAACCGGTCTCTGCAAGATTATGTACGGTATATTGAAAATAAATATCTTTTAAGATCAATTTTCGACTTATATTCTTCTTAAATGAGATGATTGAAGTCTTTTTAAGTCTTGAATTGTATTCTACGATTCTTTTTTTTGCCTTTGAAACACTTTTCAATATCTCTGTGAGATTTTCTCTTAAGCCTTTATCCAAAATTTTGCAGTAATGGCCACAGCGACGGCGAACAACTTGATGGACGAGGTGTTCAACCCACCAATTGATCAATTCGCTCTTCCCAGAGATCACACATCTTCTCATGGATCACATCAACATGTATGTTGAGTCTTTGAGATAATATTAAAGTTCTCCTAACCACAAAAATCGTTTAGGCGGCTCAATTAGCCCGTCATGACTCAAACATTTCTCATCAATCTCGTCGCTCGGAGATCAGTCAATCCTCGAGAGTCAGCAATAACAACGGATATCATAACGGATATGCGGTAATAAAGTAAAGAAATGAATGGCAAAGATATTAGAAACGAAGGGAATTGAACCCTAGACTTTCTGCTTGTCGGACAGATACTCTACCATTGAGCTATTGGCGTCTTATTTACCCAAGAAGGAATAGAAAAGACAAGGAAGAGAAAGAAAGGAAGAAAGAGAAGGGAAACACATTGTTGAAAGAAAACTTGAAGTATCATAGCACTTATAAATGAGAATCTTTGACCAGATCAAGAAATGAAACAGTTGAGATCAATCCATTGAACTTGCTAAAGTACTATTGAACTAAATGCATAATAAAACCAAGTTCAGAACGGATTCCTAATGATCCAGGGTTGATCGATCCGAATCAACACCTAGAACTGGAAATTTAACCAATGGCTTTAGTTTAAACTCAAGAATTCTTGAAATGATTCATTTAAAACATTTTATTGGTGGAAATTAGGCTCTCTTAAAACTCAAAACTAAGCAATTATTCTTTTAATGATTTCAAAATAACTTCATAGCTTTCCAACCCGATTTTTGTTTTTTCAAACACTGCACGATCTCTTTTGGCCTTTTCTTATACGATGATCAATCCATTTATGTCCATTTTCTTTTCCCATTTCTTTCACCCTATCAACCATAGGCTCTGTTTTTACGAGGTGAATGATTCATTCTTTGGTGGATAGCCTAGAATTCCGTCTGTTCACTTTATTTGACTAAAGCAAATCCCTACTTTTGACTCTCAAAATTTCAATCTTTTTATGGATTCTCATGCATTCCATTAGAATCTAATTATTCCCGATTGAAAAACCATTTCCTGTTTCCTTGAATCATTCGAAAGATGACTGAATGCTAAGTGAAATTGACGTGGATTTTGCCTCGAATTGGGTGGCCTTTTTGAGCACGGCTATTCTTTATTATGTTTTTGTGGCCCTACCGGCTAGAGAGAGAATGCATGGGGTTGGTGAGAAATTAGCTCGATTCATTCATAAGTTAAACTTTACAATCTCTTAGCAATATGTTTTTGAAATAAAAAAATGATTTACGTATAAGGTTTGCGTTTTAAAACTAATGAAAAAGAACTAGCCTGTTAAACCAAGCTAGTGTTAGCAAACAAAGCTTCGCAAAACAAAACAAAACAAAATGAAACAATTGAAGCTATGTGGTTAACGGTTTTAAAATCTAGTAATCTAATCTCGTATCTAAAAGTAATCTAGTAATCTAATTCTCAAAAAAGATCAAATTCAATTCTCAGGCCATCGGCGGAGGTGCTCGTCCTCGTGAACCCTCGCAACGCTCAGCTCAACCATCGGTCGTCAGCGAAGATATTCTCAATCAGGTTTAAAAAACTTGAATCTGATTCAACTTTACCACTTTACCAATCTTTTAGATCTTCTCCAACGTTCACCTAGCTCCCGTCGAGTACACCAACACTCCACGCAGTTACGAGCAAGAGGTTTGTCGAAAGAAATCATAAAAATTAAAGTTCGAAATTGCTTCTATTATTGAGCAGAGCAGAGAATACTTATCTCACTTTTTAATAAACTAAAAATTTAGTTATTTTTATCAATATATTTTCAGGCAATGCGCCACATCGACGAGGTGCTCCAGCACGAGTCTGAGACTCCTGAGCCAGCGAGTCCAGCTCCACAGGTAACTCAATTATCACTGAAGTACTTTTCTGACTTTTGGATAATAAAGTAAAGTAAGGAATGACAAAGAAAGATTCCTGGAGAGGGGATTGAACTCTCAGCCTTTTTGCTTTCCAGGCAGATGCTGTAACCATTGAGCTATTCGGTATCTTCTTGCTAGAAGAGAAAAAGGAAATGCAAGGGAGAAAGGAAGAAAGAGAAGGAAAAGCTAAAAATTAATTGTCTAGCTAATTCTAGATTCTAAAGCTAAGATTTAATGCTAGATATTTTTTCCAGAGCCGTCGTTCTTCTCAACACTCGCAGCACTCGCGCCATTCACACCATTCGGGCGCACGCGGCATTCACATGCCCGATCTACACATCGATGAAGATGTGAGTTTAGCTTTAAGTTTAGTTTAACACATATCTAGCTACGGAATAACTTAATCTTTACAGGATCACTTCCATCATCATGCTCAACAGTCTCCGCATGGATACAGAGATCGTGTGCACACTGGAGAGTCAACTCTCAGCGGACGCTCGGATGCTTCGACTTTGAAGGTAATTTAGAATAAATAAATAGTATAAATGCTCACCTTTACAGTTTACAAGCAGTTTTTAGCATAAAAGTTTACAGGGTCACGAGTCGGAGGAGTACGACACTTTCCATCCACAACTTGAGCCGAGAAGGAACTTTGGTAGGCTGGTTTTCCATTATAACTTGCCCTTTGTTGAAATTAGTCTTGATAATAAATATTTGATGTATTAAAGCAATAAATTACTTAATTTAAATGGCTTATTTTCAGATCGAGTTCGTCGAGGATCAGAGATGACTATCGATTCGTCGGTCTCAATGACTGAAAGTCGCTTTGGAGACTTTCCCGTGCATGATTCTGAGGGACACATGCAAGTAAGCAAATTAAGAAATGAAAACAATTGAATTGATATAAACATGTTTAAGTATTCATCTAAATTTAACTCCTACTCAATTTTAGAGCCAAGAAGTAAACCTTGAGCATGATGAGGTTGCTTATGAGCGCATTAAGAAGAAGGTGGGCATTTTTTTGAGAAAGACATTTTCGTGACTACAAAATAGCAATTAACAGCTATTGGAGATTATTTTGAGTGGACAATTCGAAGTTTTAGAAGTCGCCAATGGTAGCTGATGTTCCAACTGGACCAGTGCACACTGGAGACACCTGGAGACTCCGTCAGCTCAACGATGAGCTGAACAGTGCTAGACACAGACAAACGATTCTTGAACAACGTGTAAGTAAAGAAATAAAAATCAATTCAGCTAAGTAGCTCAATAACAATAAACTTTAGGTCCGTCAAGAGCAAAAAGAGGTAGACGAGCTCCGTCGACGACAACCATCTCACCAGCAATCTCGTCACACCACTAGGGTTAGTTCTAGATCAAACGCTCTGACTCTGGAACTTCATAGATCGATTGCTTTCTGAAATTCAGTCATAATTAATGAAAAAACGTTTCAGACAAACTCTCAAGGCTCTCATCAACACAATAACAATCAGCATCACTACGATGATCACCATCAATATGATGCTATTCATCACAGCAGAACCAGCACGATCTACTCAGAGATTAGACCTGCTAGTGTTCAAAAATCAGGTATGTAACTGAATCAAAAATGTAAAAACATTCTTATTTCAGTCAGTGGTGACTCGATTGTTGAAGAAGTGGTTGGCATCAGTCAAGTGGCTGAACGGGTCAAAGATCATGGACAAATTGTAAGAATATAAGAAGAGTTGATAAAATTATAAATTCTAGGTCAATCGCGTAAACGGAATCGATTTGATTATCCCGTATCATGAGGTGGTTCAAGGATACGCAAAGAACCCCAAAGTTCGTAAAGTGGTCTTTGGTGGAGCGCTTGCTGCAAGTCCGGAAGATAAAGTGAGCTTTATTTTATTCAAGTTATATTTTTCATTCGCATTTTCATTCATTTCTCTTGGAAGTAGCTAGAAATAGAATTCTGAAAGAGTAGTTGAATGTAAAATGAAAAACGTAAGCAATTTAATTTCATTTTATGACTATTAAAGCATAAAATAGTACACTAAATGGTGCGGTAAAGTTATGGAACGAAAATTAATGGAAATTCTTCAATCGTTAATTTTCGCAATCAATAACTTTCATAAAATTAAGGAAAAACAAATTAATTACCACATAACAATTAAAATGAACACCATTTGCAGCAAAATATTTCTTCAAGCGCTTGGAAAAGTCGTCGATAGTACAGGGTACAGTACCTTTTGGATAGTACAGGGTACAGTACCTTTTGGATAGTACAGGGTACAGTACCTTTTGGATAGTACAGGGCCCATAATTATAGGTGCAAATAAAAAGCTTTATAGAGACAAAATTAAACTTTAGAGAGCAAAATCTTTATTTAATATCAATGAACAACAAATTAACCTACGCCAACAATCTAAGCCAACAAATTAACCTAAGCCGATACTCTAAGCCATTCAAAGGGATAACCATTTTTAGCCGAGCACGCTGTGTGTTTAGGAAGTCCCTGGTGGCGAGCAAGTAAGCAAGTTCATCCGGCTTTCAGAAAGCTTTTCTTCAAACTTTCAACATTCTTATGCGTTTTGAGTAAGCTTAAGGACGGACTAGTCAGAATAATCCATTGGTTTGAAATCCGGCGAGCTGGGCCATTCAGAAGAGATGAAATCGGGAAAATTCACTTTGCAAAAATCTTGGACTTCTTGACTTTTTGGGCCAGAGCCTCGTCTTGTTAAAATGTCTAAATTTGATTTTTGAAATGCTTTTGTGTCCAGTGAAATCTCAGCTTTGAGGAGATCGAGATTAATAAGTTAAAAATAATAGATAATAAGCCACTGCACCTATAATTATGGGCTACAGGCAAAGAAATCGACTCAGGCCTTAACCAAATCGCGCTTCGAAGAATCGATTGATATGTGGGATTTAGCACAAGTCTTTGTCTCTAGAATTGACCAAATAGAATAATCGAGAGGATTGAGATCAGGCGAATTCGATGGCCATTCACTGGGAGTCTGTGAGCTGACATGATCCAATCTGGAAAGTTCTTAGCGATCCCATGAACCTAGATCCTTTCCTTTTCTAGATTCACAAGTCCTGCTTTTCATATCTAAAAATCGAGCGTTTAATAATAGTTAAAAGAAAATAAAGAAAAGAAAAAACAAAACAAAACAACACAAAACAACTGATTACAAAGTTCATAATTTTGCCGCACCTTTGCCACAATTCCGTAGCTTTTAACAGTATTAAAATTCTAGACCGTGCTCTTGTTTGGCCCAGTTGGCGCTGGGAAGAGCACCTTGATCGACTCGATTCTTGATTATCTTTACGATGTGCGACGGGAAAATGAATTCCGGTGAGATAAAGTATATTGCTTGTAAAATTATCGGTACTTTTCCGTTATACATCCGCAAAAATAAGCTCTGATCATTTAATAATCAAAAATCGATCAATTAAATCAAACTCAAACATAAATAATCGAAAAAATAAACACCAAAATAAGATCAATGAGGAATCGATGCCGTAGTAATTTGTTGTAATACCCATTTGCATGTGGGAGTAGTAAGTAAGATGCGGCGTTGTTCAAAGAAAGAGATTGCATCGGCCTTGGTAGTCGGTAAGCGAAATAAGCAAGATGAGGCGTTGTTGAAAGACCGAGATTGCATTGGTCTTGGCAGTCGGTAAGCTAAACATGACCCATCAACCGTCAGGAAATCGCAAAAGAATGAATTTCCTTTGGTTTTTCTTGTTCATTTTCATGAAAGGATGCAAATTTTTCGGATGTTTAACGGAAAAGAACCAAATTATCTAGTACCGACTTGGGCAACTGCTCTAAAACGTGTTTTGACTACCGTTACCAAGCTACTGTAACATACGATAACCCGGGACACGCATTTAAATTGTAAAAAAATCTCAAACAGACATTGTCCCTGAAACTTGCCAAGTGTTGGACTATAACAAAATCCCTATTTCAGCTTTGTGGCCACCGCAAATCACGCACCAACTACCGAATTGACCGTTTACGAGTTCAACAACACGATTTTTCCATTCAAAGTGACTATTGTGGATACACCCGGAATTCCTGATGTAAAAGGAAACAAAGTGTGCTCGAGTCTCATTCAACATTGGCTTAAAACGGTTTGTGCAAAAACTTATTGCTATCTGATTTTTGGTCTTTCTAGTTTTCACTACAATCTTTTTACCCTTTTTTCAATCATTTGTCGAACTTTTTCTCAATTCAATTAGATTCTAATTGTAATTTTCTCTCTTTTAAGGTGAAACTTGTTTAAACGAAACAAGTTTTATCTTCAAAATGTTCTAAGTTTTATCAGAAACGAAATTCTGGTGAAAAGGTTTATCAAAATCTAAACACACCTCTTGGCTTCAGGTTTAAACAAGAAAAAGTTGATAAAGTGTACTTTACAATAGTACTGTTATACGCAAACTAGAAGTTGTAGTAGCCAGCTAAATTATCGTAAAAGCTCTAATAGAAGAGCTCTAATAGAGCCCCTTTTAGGAGCGTCGTGTAGTCTAAGTTTAGGCTCAAAGAACCGCTCATATCTTGGCGCCAGGATATTTGTTTTTGCGTGCTTAGCTATCAAATTAAAGTAGCCATTTCATTAAAGTAATCTTTTACGGTAATGATTTCAGGAACTCTTGGCTTCGGGTGCTTTCCGTCTTGACGCGATCTCGATCGTTCTCACTCATGACGAAGTCAATCTTGGATGGCCGTTCATTTATGAACTAGCTGCTGTGAGACAAATGTTCGGTGGTGACTTGAAGACGAATGTTCTCCCGATCATCACGCATTCTGAGGTCGCTTTCTTACCAATTGTAGAAGATCGTTTTATGGATAACGACTGAATTCAAGTTTTTGAACAACTCAAAACTTCAGGTTCTTCCCCAACCACTCGCCATTCGCTCACTCGCTCAAGCCAACATTGCTTTTGTTGAATATTACAAGGTTTTTTACAAGAACAAATTAACAAACAGCTGGTACTTCCAGTATTTCTTTAGTTTCAAAGAATTTTGAATTTTCACTAATCGAATCCTATTCTAGGTTAACAACTCCGGTTTCTTCGCCGATCCACATGGTGTTCCAAAATTGAAGCACAATCTTTTCTTCAAGCATGGAATTGCTTCACTTGAGCTTTTCTTCAGAGTGAGTGTTTCAAATTTAAATTTAAAAACTATCCGCTTAACATTAGCATTTAGTATTTAAAAGGTTTTTAACAGGAATAAGAAATACCGTAAATACTGTAATAGTACCCCACCCCCCTCGTACAGCCGCGTAGTCGCAAAAGTTTTTTAGTATTTCATTTTTTTCAAAGCGCCCGTACTTTCAAAAAATGCGTCTTTGGTATCAAAAAATAGCCCTGAATTTCAGCTATTTTTGATACCGAAGCGCGCATTGTAGCATAAATCAGTGTCGAGAAAAACGCGTCCAATGCTAGACTACGCAACACTCCGCACGTCATTATGGGGGTGGGGTACTATTACAGTATTTACGGTAGATACTTTGATGATTGGGAGACTCACTTTTGGGTTGTTTAGTCGAATCTAGTATTTTTTTCAATACTTTTCTTCTATTCTAAAGAAAGAGATCTATGCTGAAGCTGATTTAAGCGTTTTTGATAATCCTATTCGACAATTCTATTTGATATTTTTGATAATTGCCCTGTGCCTCCTGTATTTCAATCACTAAACGTTTTCTCAAAGGTGATGACACTCAGAAAGCTGCAATACTAGTCTGAAACATGTTAGAAATACTCTAAAATTAGCACCAATCGCTTCAACAGATATAATTACCTGAAATAGAAGAAAAGTATTGACACAAACCGCTCAAAACACTAGATTTGACGAAGCCAAGCTAAAAATGGCTCAAACCAGCAAAGAATCAAAAAAAAAATTGCAGGACTTGCAAGAAATGATCCATCCACTTCTCGCCGTTCTCCGACACCAGAGCCCAGCTGGTGGACCAAAGAGTCCTGTCTTCGAAAATGCTGATTTATACTAAACTTTTTATAACTTAAAACTTTAAAACTTTAAAACTTAAACTTTTTATAACTTAAAACACTTTATTTACTTCCCCTTTTTCTTTTGAACAATTCTGTAATATTATCAAGTTTCAATTCATTTTCCAAGTGATTTCTTTTTCTTCACAAACAATTTTGTTTACAACTTTTATGATCAATTACCCGGTCAATTTTCTCTATCATGCAGTAAGTCTAAAATCTTCACAGAAATTCACTCTTTTCTTCTTTTTTCTTCACACACTTTCTTCTTTTTGAGTTAAATCTTTAGAGAATAGTTAGTTTGTATTTTTGCTTGAGAAAAACTGAATAAATATTGCTTTAAAAACGTGTAAATAATGAATACAATACAATCACATGGTTATGTCTTTCTTTTCTTTATCAAATCAAGAACAAAGACAATACTCTCTTAGAGATTGAAGATGATATTTATCTGCCCACCAAATTACAAGGCATTTTCGAATTATTAAAGGTTTCTAATGGTCACCAAATTTTCAAAGACAGGACAAAGATAATACTCTCTTGGAGATTGAGGATGATAAATCATTTTATCATCCTTAATCTCCAAGAGATAAAAAAATCATCTGCTCACTTTCTTCAATTTCATTAGTTTTATTTTAATCAGCTTTTTTATATACATCATTTTCAGAGATTTTGTCTTTGAGTGAGCAAATGTTTGCTAAATTTTAAGAAATTTTATGATGTCGCGGTCGTTAACGAGACTTATAGTATTTACTTCAATCTTCAGCTTCACTCAATGGCTGCAGGGAAAACTTTTGAGATGAGAATAGAGCTATTCTCTTCTCAAAAGTTTCCCCTGCAGCCATTCGACTCAAAAGAACTGGTAAATTGCAAGGTACTTTCGGATTATTAAAGTTTTCTAATGATCATCAAATTTTCGATTTGAGAAAAGTGAAAGGCTACTATTTGAAAATAAACTATAAAGTGACAAAATTGGAATAAAGAATAAAAATCTTTATTATCTCCTATAGAACTTTGGCAGTTAATTAGTTAATTTTGTCTTTCACTGATCGATTGATGTCTAAGTGTTGATGCCTGTGTGCATGAGTGTTGTCTCATTCGTGATTGTCACCGGCCCATTGATCACTCTTGCCACAGGAACTTTCTTCTTTGGAGGTAGATTGAAGAAAATCACAATGCAACTGAATTGATTTCATCAAAAAGATACAGGTTACGGTAGCTTTATCTATTTTTTAAAGCACGTCAAGCACGTCTGAGCTACGGTAGCTTTATCTATTTTTTTAAAGCATGTCAAGCAAAAAGTCACTGAGCTACGGTAGCTCTGCGGACTTTGTAGAGTTCAGTGAAAAGACACCGGATTAGGTAACGTCACGCACTCTTTACAAATCAGCCTGTAAGCAAAGTCTAACCCAAACTGCACTCTTTAGAAAGCACTGTAATCAGCTTATCCTAACACGAAAAAGCATCGGGTTACGGTAGCTCTACGCACGTTTTAAAGCACTCAAAAGATGTGATATAAGCTCACCTGAGCACGCAATGGTCAATGAAAGGCACACATTCAAGAAGAACAAAGAAGTAGATTGGGAACCCAGCTGAGAAAACATAATTGACAATGTAGTCGGAGAGTAGAAAGCAAACGGTGATGAAATGGGTAGTGACAAGCTGAAAGGGTGATTAGTTGTTAGTATCTTTAGTTTCCAAAGGTTTTTGGATATTTCTACAGTCAAGGTTGTTTCAAAGGTGGTTTTTCCGAACCAAGTAAGCTAAGGAAAATCTAGGCCAAAGCCGACCAAGAGTAAGCTGGTTCCGGCCTGACTGCTAGTCCTATTCTGACCTGAATTTTCTTTTCTGTGAGCTTGGCTCAAAAAAGTTTCTGCGAGATCTGGACCTGACTTTGCGCCGAGCTCGAGCCAGGTCCAGACCTGTCAACCCCAAATTCCGGTTTAAGCCCAAGAATAGCCCTATCAACAGCCGAAAACTGAACATCTCCCAATTCACTGATAGATTAAAAGATACTTAATGATACAGCTAAAACCCACCATAATCGATAAACGAAGATTCGCTCGATTCATCGCATTTGAGTGATTCTTCTATAGGGATTAGTTTTCCTTCGAAATTTTTAAACAAACCAATCTTCGAACTTTCCACAATGTCAACAAATCCATGCCTAGTGTTGTCACCAGCACCCCGTACATCACTTTTCCCCAATTCCACGACAGCCATTCAACGATTGGATTCCAAGTGTAGAATAGTGAGGTACAGTACTCCAACGGGGTCCAATACCAGCCACCATGACAGACGAAATCATTATCCACACTCGTTCCTGAAGATTTATTGAGATTTCTATTAGTTTTCCACTCGATGAATGTTTTTTCAATGATTTTTTGTCAAATGCTAATCGAGTTTTGCGAATAAAATCAATCAAATAAGCGTTGAGATAGGAGCAATTTACGGTGTGAAAACTGTATTTTGAGATCTTGATTCTAGGAAGCGAAATTTTAACACCTAGCTGCTTTAAGGCAATTGACAAGCAATTGTACGGGTTTAAAATGCAAAAAGCTAAAACATATTCTTTTAGGTTATAAACTAAGTCTTGAACCTTTCTTAAATTGCTTATATCTTTGCTATAATTTGGTCGCTAATCGCTAATGTTTAGAATGATTTTGTAAAGTTTATGAATAGAATGGAGAAAATATCGGCAACATTAGCTTAGACTATTTTTTTACTACTTTAAACCAATACTATACTTTTAGATTTTACTTTTATACATAAAATGCGTACTTGTTCCTGTTAAAAACACGATTTACAATCGATTTTTGATTTACAAGCAATTTTACTTTCATTATCAAATCACTGAAACAATGGCTTTCAAGCTCTCAGGCAGCAAAGAACAGTTAGTTCTACATTTGTTGCTTCTTTATGAATTTTGAAGTATTTTCGGATTATTATATCATTTAGCCCAATCCAGATCATTTGGCTGTCATGGTCGACTAGCTAAGAGGCTTAGTCAGTCGACCAGTCGGTATCTTAGTCAGTAAGTCAAGGGCTCAATCCTGTTAGCTAGATTGATTGGTTCTTTTGGTTCTTTTTCTCATACCTATATGTTTTTTTCTTCTCTATTATGTAGGATTATTATATCATTTAGCCAAATCAGATCATTTGGCTGTCATGGTTATCAAATCACTGAAACAATGGCTTTCAAGTTCTCACTCAGCAAAGAACATTTAGTACTTGATTTGTTGCTTCTATTTTGAAGTAATTTATTATATCTTTTAGCCCAATCCAGATCATTTGGCCGTCATGATCGACTGGTTAAGAGTTCTGTATCTTAGTCAGAAAGGGTTCAATCCCGTTAGCTAGATTGATTGGTTCTTTTGATTCTTTTTTCCACATATATATGTTTTTTTCTTCTCTACATTATATGGGATTATTATATCATTTAGCCAAATCAGATCATTTGGCTGTCATGGTTATCAAATCACTGAAACAATGGCTTTCAAGATCTCAGTCAGCAAAGAAAATTTAGTACTTGATTTGTTGCTTCTATTTTGAAGTAATTTATTATATCTTTTAGCCCAATCCAGATCATTTGGCTGTCCTGGTCGACCGGCTCAGAGGCTTAGTAGGGCAATTGGCAGGAATTTAGCATAACATTACAATTTGTACGGGTTTAAAATGCAAAAAGCTAAAACATATTATATTAGTTTGTAAACTAAGTTTTGAACCTTTCTTAAATCGCTAAAATCTTTGCTATAAATTGGTCGCTAATCGCCCAATAACTTTATAATTTTGGCATTAAGCTTGTAAGATTTTGGGAATAATTCTTTTAAAATTTCATTCAAATATACTGATTCTATTAGCAATTTAAGAAATTAGAGATATTAGCAATTTAAGAAAAGAACAAGACTTAATTTAAAATCTAAGAGACTTGTTGTTTTATAATTTTGACAAAACTACTTACTATTTCCAATCATATAGTAATAGACGGCTAACGGAAGTGCCCAAAGAATAAGACCATGAGGTAAAGCTAAACCCTCGATTCGGGGATAGTACTTCCCATTGAAGAAAACGGCAAATACTCTGAAATCTGCGTTTTGTAAAAGCTATGAATCTTTAGAAAACAATCCTTGTTTCACAATCAAAATAAAATTTCGAGCGAATTTGAGCTGACAGATCTGACATCTTGACAGTCTTGCTCACCGATTAAAGCACAATCCATTCCCAATCATTTGCATCCCGTAAACCATTCCAATATTGCTAGCGGTAACAATTTGGTTAATGAGAATCCCCGGCACAAGCCAACCCGTTTCACTCACGCATTGCCAACTAAATTATTTTTTAGGAAAATTTCTAAAGCGACAAGAATTAGGACTCACGTTAGGACACAGTATGCTTTGTACAACTCGATCATTGACTCATTGAAGCGACAATAGCAATCGATTAACAAATAATATTTGACAGCCCATGAGAGAAGAGGATTCTTGATGATCACTCGACCACAAAAACCGTTTAGACAAATTCCGAAGATTCCAAACTAAAAGTGATAACGATTTTCAGGATTATGATTCTTTAATTTAAGTTTTATAGCAATAATTACTATGAGTTAGAGCTGATAAACTTAAAGCTGATAAACTTAAAGCTGATAAAATTAAAGCTGATAAACCCAGAGCCAAGCTTGATCCTTGCCCTGACTAGTCCTGTTCCTGGCTTTGCCGGGAAATTTGGTCTAGGATTACCCCTGCATATGACCAAGTAAGCCGTTAGGTTACAGCAACTGCTTAACTCACCAAGATTTGTGTCCCAGCCACATAATAATTAAAGCCATCATTGATATTTGAGTGAACTGGTAAGCCATTCCACGTGTAAACAACTCCATAACCGTTCTTCGTGTAGACACCGCTTCGATTCTCGCAAATTTGCGGATTCGTGTGTTCATAATCGTAATCCGAATAGCTCGCATTCATTTCATGAAAGTTCATCGACATCTTGAAGAGCTATCTAAAAAAATAAAAAGCTTTTCAGGTTTTTAAAACAATGAAATCAATTAGAAATTATGTACTCGATTCCAAGAAAAAAACTGTGAAGGTGTACGTTTTTTTTTCTCGGTATTCAGGCAATTCCGATGGTAATTCAATTTCGGCCGAACTCTTCTCGTATCGAATTGATGGCCAAAAAGCAAAAATAGGAAACGAATTGCCAAATTTGAGGCGAGAAGTTTTCGAATCTTTGAATAATTAGGAGATCAATAAATGAACCTTTCAATGACTAGAAGAGTAGAGAAATGACCTTAAAGTCGGAAGACAAGGAAAGACTAGACTTGGGATTCTGAACTCAAGAAAAAGTCTGCCAAGATGGCCGGGTAGAGCTAGAACCATGGAATCAAGACAGGAACCTACTTGAGTACTTTTACCCACTTTCAAACCGAATATAATGGATGGACAAAGGGATATGGCGGCGACTCCATTTCCTATGTAAATTTTTTTTCCAATATTTTCCAGAACTTCCAGAACTTCGGATTTCAAAGCAGATAGAATTGAAAGATTGAAGAGAGATGAATCTTTACATAAAAGCGCTTCAAGTGCACATTTCGAGAATCATAAAAGCTTTCTGAAAAGTTGGGGTAAAAAGAAAATGAGGAAGTGGAAGAAATGAGATCAAATGAATCGAATTTATGCATGATCTGTACATTCAATAGATAGATCTGCACATTCAATTCAAAACTATATTCTCTGATATTTCAATTCACAGAAAACCCGAGTCTAGTAAGTAAATATTCATTATTGAAACCGATCTCTAATCAGTCAAATAACGATGAACGCATCAAATGTGACGGTCGTTTGAATGAAAATAAGGGGAACGAAAACCAGCATCAAAACAGAAAATTGCTGAGATATTCTAGTCAAATCAAAAAGTGATTGAACAAAAAAAAGCTATTTCTTCCTTTGGGAATTCAGAAAAATCATTTTCATTGCAGCACTTTTCTATGATGAAACAAATAAAAATGTAAAAATTACGATAGAAATTCTTGGAATTGTTCAAAGTTCAGCTGAATTCTTAGGTCTTCTCTGTACCTTTAATTGTACCTATTTCTAAAGATTTACTTGTTTTGTGCAATCCTGATTTCAATCTGAAGTTTATGAGCATGTTTTTTAAAGTTCTAAAACTATTTTCGGACTCATTACTGACAATGAGGCCGATTGATTACAACCAAAAAATTTTTCTTTGAGTAAATCAGGAAAAGAAGTGAATATAATCATGAATTATTATAAAGAGCTAATAAATTTAATTGTAAAAAGGAAGGATTTACAAAAACACAAGAGCTGATAGAAGTCTGAAAGAATTAAGACAATCTTAATGAAATACCATGCTCAGACAAAGCCTGCAGTGCTTACAAAACTTCCTTACAAAGAAAATTCAACTGCCTATGACCAAAGATGACCAAATGTATCACACGAATAATGTGATACAGACAATAAACAAGCATAACCCTAAGCTCTAAATGGAGAGAAGAAACAAAAACACATATATATGTGAGAAAAAGAACCAAAAGAACCAATCAATCTAGCTAACGGGATTGAACTCTTTCTGACTAAGATACAGAACTCTCAACCAGTCGATCATGACAGCCAAATGATCTGGATTGGGCAAAGATAAAACCGAAAGGGAAGAAAAAACAGGGGAAAGAACAAAGAACCAACAACGCAACGGGGCCGACAAGATACAGAACCTAACCAGTCGTCATCGGCCAAATGATCTGGATTGGGCAAAGATAAAATCCAAAAGGCAAACAACCTGCTGGTGGAACTGAGCCATTTTTCAGTGATTTGTAACTTCAAATGATCTGGATTGGGCTAAATGATATAATAATCCGAAAATACTTCAAAATTCATAAAGAAGCAACAAATATAGAACTAAATGTTCTTTGCTGAGTGAGAGCTTGAAAGCCATTGTTTCAGTGATTTGATAATGAAAGTAAAATTGCTTGTAAATCAAAAATCGATTGTAAATCGTGTTTTTAACAGGAACAAGTACGCATTTTATGGATAAAAGTAAAATCTAAAAGTATAGTATTGGTCTAAAGTAATAAAACAATAGTCTAAGCTAATGTTGGCTATATTTTCACTATTCTATTCATAAACTTTACAAAATCAGTCTAAACATTAGCGATTAGCGACCAAATTATAGCAAAGATATAAGCAATTTAAGAAAGGTTCAAGACTTAGTTTACAACCTAAAAGAATATGTTTTAGCTTTTTGCATTTTAAACCCGTAGAATTGCTTGTCAATTGCCTTAAAGCAGCTAGGTGTTAAAATTTCGCTTCCTAGAATCAAGATCTCAAAATACAGTTTTCACTTCGTAAATTGCTCCTATCTCAACGCTTATTTGATTGATTTTATTCGCAAAAGCTTTGCTTGTCCTCAAAATAGACACCACTAATTATCAAAGTTCTTCCCTGAAGGGAAAATTTTAATTGAAGAGTGAAAGCTGATGATCACTAGATTCTTAGAAAGGGATAACCTTTTTGTAAATGTACTAGACTCTTTAGAAAATGACATTTTGTTTAAACTATCCATTATACACTTTTCAGTTTTAGTTTAACAGGTTTAACACTAAATGTCATTCAATTTGACAGTGTTATGAACTTGTGCAAATCAGAGTAGAAGTAATTCTTTTTCCTTGAGTACAGTTTTCGATTGCTGATTATCTCAAGCACTAACAGAACAAGTAATTTATATTGAAAATTTCACCTTTCATTCTTTTGTTATACAAATTTTTTAGCTAATTGCTAAACAATAACTGACTAAAGCTTGAAATAAATTTTCTATCTTTAAAGCCGAAGTTCCGGCTCAATGCTTCTCCAATTTATAATCTATATCTTATATGGAATACCATCTGCTATTCTCAATATTTTGTTGATGATCTGTATTCAAAGAACAGCCGAGTTTAGAGGAAATTCTTTCTACAGTGCTTACGTTTTAGTGTTATTTGTGGTGAGTGTTGATCTATTGGGTTGGTGAATTGAAAACTGCCGGACATTGAACTAAAATTTATTCAACATAAAACCGTGAATTCATTCCAAATAATTTCCATTATTATTGACGACTTCTGCCCATTTTACAGGCAATTTGCGGATTCCTCTTTCGAAGTAGGATTTTGGTTTTGAATCGAAAAACTTTCAAAACCAATTTTTGACTGCTCCTTCCGAATCGAAGTGTTCTCCCGCAAGCTCATTACTCATGATCCGGAATAAATAGTAATCAAAAGGGGCGAGGTCCGGACTGTATGGGGAAAGCGCCAAAAGTTCCCAAAAAAGGCTATTTATTTTAGAGCGAGTCAGTTTTGCAACATGAGGGCGCGCGTTGTTGTGGAGGAGAACGATCTTTGACTTGGAGGGCCTATTCTTCTTCAGGAATTCATTCACCTCTGATCATGATCCGGAATAAATAGTAATCAAAAGGGGCGAGGTCCGGACTGAATGGGGAAAGCGCCAAAAGTTCCCAAACAAGGCTATTTATTGTAAGAAATGTAAGAAAAGATAGATAGATTATAGACAAATATTATATTATTATTGACGACTTCTGCTCATTTTACAGGCAACTTGCGGATTCCTCTTTCGTAGTAGGATTTTGGTTTGTGTGTGAGACAAGTGTGAGACTCAAAATTCGAGGACTGGAGATGTCCCAGTTTGAGCACTTTCTTCAAAAGAAACCCATTTTGGTGTCAATAGAAAAGTTGTAGAGAATCAAAAATTAGGCTTATAGCCAAATTTCCAAAAAGATACACTTAGCAGTTTCGCTTAAAATGCAAGTTTTGTGAAAATTCGGAAATTTTGCATTTCTTGAAAACCAGTTTTTGAATCGTTCTGAAAATTTGGATGTAAGCTTGATTTTTGATTCTCTACAACTTTTCCATTGACACCAAAATGGGTTTCTTTTGAAGCAAGTGCTCAAACTGTCACATATGACAATAGCCCGTAGTTTTCAATTCACCAACCCAATAGATCTAAATAATCTTCTTTCAACACCTACTCTATTCCATCGGCCTTTAAAATTACGAGAACGCAATTTAAAAATTGATTCGCCTTGTCTACCCGAGTATTCAAATGTTTTCATTCGAAATCCTTTAGTACCTGCTCACTTGGATGAACACCTACATAACGGTGAAACCACGAGAACTCCTTTTTATGGCCCCTCTCTACAATCAAATCTCAACCTCATTTCTACCGATTCGATTTTTCTGGACTTTTCAATTCTCAGCTTTCCACATTCAACAACTTGCTCTCATCCTAATGCATCTCAATCGATTCACGGCCGTTTTGTTTCCTTTCATTCATCATAAGGTTTGATGGGTGCAAAGGGTAGTTGCACAATCTGTTAAACTCGTCTTAACATGTTGAAATTTTACACTGGGGTTTTTGATGATGCTGAATCGATTTATGATATTTTCAAACTATGAAGTCTTGTTATTTTGATGTTATTACACATGGCTTTGGTATTTTTCTATTTTTGATGCTTTTTCCTCAGTTTTGGAACTTTTCTTAAGTTAAGTTCTTTTCTAAATAACTTTTCTTAAGCTTATCTTTAGTGTATGGCAAAAGCAGGTTTAGCAGCGGCGGTTAGGCTTGAATTGAAGGCGTTTAACCTTTTAAGAGAATGGCTCAAACTTTCGATCAAGCGTGACAAGGATTTCGCTGATTGACTGGCAGATATGAGACTGCTTTGGAAAGGTCGAGGTTGCTCGAATTGTGGATGATGCGCTTAACAGGTGTAAGATTGAAGTTTGAGTGCAGCTTGAGAACAGGAAGAACGTTGGCTTTGACCATTGCTATGAAGTCTTGTGGAAATGGAAGCATAACTCTGAAAGCTTGCTATGGATGAAAGCTTTTTCTGGAATCCGTTGTCAATAAGTTGTCAATATCCGCTGTTTTAAATATTTTATTGTCATCGTTTTATTGTTATTAAAGTTATTGCTGTAAAATTAAAATAACAAGAAATTATAGTTTGAAAATATCACAAAATATAAAATTTCAACATGTGAAGACGAGAAATTCAATCGGTTTGAATGAGGAAAGGAAAATGAGTGTTATCCGGCTTTCGTTTGATTTAAATTCAGCTTAAAATTGCTATTGTAGTTTTAAAAGATTAAGGAAAGCTTTCAATTTCAATTTCAGCTCTGGAAACCCGTTCACTTTCGCCTAGCCGCCATCAGCATTTTCCTCATCGGTTTCGCGTTCAACTTCGAGAACTTTTTCGTCACCGGCTATTATGCGATTTCAGCAGCTGGTGTAGCAGTGAATCCAATTAATCGTTCCCTAGTAAAATGTTTAATACTTCAAAATTTAACTCAGCTTTAGCAAGTTCCAATCTCATTTTGGGCCGAGAAGACAATGGGACATGTCTATCCAACAGTTTCTGTGCTCATAAATGTTACTATTTTGACGAAATTGCTCCACATGAGAGCTTCAGGGAAAAAGTGAGATTAAAATTAGTCTAAACTTAGTCTAAATTAGTCTTAAATTAGTCTAAATTAGTCTAAAATTAGTCTAAATTAGTCTTAAATTAGTCTAAATTAGTCTTAAATTAGTCTAACTTAGTCTTAAATTAGTCTAAATTAGTCTAAAATTAGTCTAAAACTCTAAGCCAAGACAAATCAATAAAATTCAAAAAAGCTTTTAGTTTTTCCGGGCAAAAGTCAATTGAAATCAATCTCTTGATGATCTGTTTAGCAAGCCTATTCTGCCAATTGGCTTTGATGTGCTTTGTGGTCAGTTTTTCTCTAGAAATCTTTAAAAATAAGTTTTCAGGATTTCGCCCCATCTTTATTCAATCAAGAGATTTGGTTTCTAACGGTTAATTTCATTGACTCTTTTCCAATTTCAAGCAATTCTAGCTAAACTTTGTCTCTGATTTCTCTACTCTAAGCGAGGCGTGGATCGGCTTGACTGTAAATGGAGTCTTGCGGAAGAGGTTTGCAATGTGTTAACAGCCGTCAAAAAAAGTCAAAATGCACCTCTAAATCTTTTAAAAGTCTCAAAAATTGTAGCCAACCTTGTAGCTGTAGCTGTAGCTGCAGCTGTAGCTAACCTTGTAGCTAACCAAGCCCATTTTCTTAAGCTTAATAAGAATTCCTATCTTGATTGAAGTAGACTTATTTAGATTCATTCAATGGCTTCGCCCAAGTTTCTCATCGTCTCCAATCATTTTCGCCGAAGTTTCATCAAATTTTCTTCTTCGAGAGCAAATTCCTCGACGATTAAAGCCCATCAATACAACTTAGCAGCCAATAAGTTGGATCAAAAGCAATGCCAAGCTATTTCAAGTTAAACGCCAGCAGTGAAAATGCAAATCTGATCTACCTATTCTTGCTGGTTTCGAAATGTTTTTGGTGCCAGAAAAAGTGTTCATTTATTCAATAAAAACTTCGCTTTCTTGGAAAGTTTAACACAAAATTCTTTTTTGAACAACATTTAACATAACTATCATATCTTCGTTGATCCATTGCTTCCGTGTCATTAATTCTTCAGAAGTTGAAAGTTTTCTGTGTGAAACGTTAAAAATAGAAACAAAAACATTGATTGGAAAAGAAAGAGAGAATTGGAAAAGAAAGAGAGAATTAAAAGCGATTCTCATAAATCAAATCATTAGCAGATACAGTAATATAATTTTTTTGATAAAGTAAATCGGTTTATCAATAATTTATCGGGTATTAGAAGAAGAAATCAGCTTCTTAGGTCAATTTTAACCTTGAGTATCTTAGCTAGTTTTGGCTTAGGCTTATCGATCCTAAATCGGTCCAAATTTGGACTGAATATGAAAATAAGCTGAGTTACTTAAGGTTGAAACTGTTTTGCAAAGCGGATTTCATTTTTTAGTACCCGAAAAATGATTAATAAACCGATTTACATCATTTCTACATAAGAATTAATCAAAATTATTTTACTACGCCTAGCTGTCGATAATCTGATCCTAATTCCTTTAACCCATAGTTTTTTTTTACAGTTCTTCAAAGAAAAATCATTTAGCGTGTGTGGTTTTCCTAAAAAAAAGTACTGATAAGCTTTTATAATTGTTCAAAGTCGATGCTTTAAGGCCTGAGAAGTACATACACCAATCTTTCACCCAATTTTGACAGAACTGCATGCAATTTTTCTTTGTTTTCTCGTGAACAACCAGTAAATCAACAATAATGTTGTACAAGCTTCACAAAACAAAACTTGAACCTCAAAACGATAAATATGATTTGTTTTATCTCACAAATTTCCCTTTTATCAGTGAAAGATGAAAACTTTTCCGAAGCGCTTCAAAAGACATTGAAACATTGTGCTCTCTTCGACATCAAAAACTATTTTTTGCTGAAAACATTGATAAACTGACTGCTGACTCAGTTGTTTTCTTGTTTTTTTTCTTTTGAGTACCTTAATCAATAACTTTCAAACATTTATTTCATAACTTACTTTATAAAACAAAATTTAGAACAATGTCACTGAATACTGCGAATACTCCAGATGGTAAAGGAGTGCTTATTTATAATGGAGAAGCGTGAGTTTAAAGCATAAAAAGTACTCAAATTATACTCAAATACAGCAAAAAGTACTCAAATTATACTTTAGTTAAAGCTGTACTATTTTAAAACTGATTCTCTAGACGTAACACGAATCTTTAAAGAAATTAGACTCAAAGCTTTGTTGAGCGGAGATTTTTGCACTCGAGAAACTCTTAAATTAATTACTAGATTCAAATTTAAAGTTATCTTTTAAAGCTTTAAAGTAAAAGAGTTATTAAGTACTTTATTTCAGCATCTTGTTGTATACAAAGCACGTCACCATGTCTTTCAATCACACAAATATGACGGCGCTGAAAGGAAAAAAGAACGGATCGCTCTACTTGACTTCACACAGAGTAAATTAAGCATAAAGTTATTCAATTGCTCGGTACTTTTCCAATATCGCGGGAGCGAAAGGAAAATCGGGGGAGTAAATTGCCAGCAAATTGGCAGCGCTACATATGTCATATATTATACAAACTACCGCCATAAAATCCCGCGAATTACCCGTTATTCTCACAACCTTTATATTAGATCACAAAAGTGACTTAAATATCTAACACCCAGCGAAATGGACCTTTTCCCTTTGAGCGGACTTTCATCGATTCGCCACAGTTGCAAATCCACGACTGGATGACTCCTTTGGTGACGAAATAATCGTTTGCCGTCGATTCCTTGAACGCACAAATGTCGGAGAACCGCAACGTCGTTAAAGTTTTAAAAAAAACGTTGCAGTTAAAATATAGTCCCCGAACTGCATTTTTCGAGGGGGCAAAATTTGCTCCCCCGATTTTCCTTTCGCTCCCCCGATAATCCTTTCGCTCCCCCGATATTGGAAAAGTACCAATTGCTCTTATATAAACGAAAGATCAATTATCAAAAACAAACAAATAATAAGATTAACTATATCCTGGATCTTCTAGATAATCTTCGTGGCCCAATGCAATGATGGAATGCGCTCATTCTCAATGCCCTTCTTTGCGTTAAGAGATGTGAAGCTAGAACAGCCAATCTTGTCACCAAATTATCTCAAAGTCATCTTTTTGATCATCGCAATAAATCTTTAACAATTTAGGGCACAATCCAAGCCCAACCTGGCGGTAATTTTGACGGCGAAGTCACCTGGAAACTCTCATTTTCGAAAGGCGGATGTGTCGACTTTGGACAAGCTCTACTGCAAGCTGCTGATATGGGTAAGATGATTTTAAGACCTGGAAATAACTTTAAAACATAGAACATAGCAATTTTACAAAGCTGCTTTGCTGAAAATCCCCCTCCTCATTTCTGAAATCTATTCCAAAAGACTTATGATTTTTGTAAACTTGACTAGTTTAGTGGCTTATATTTAACAAAATGCTAAATTTCAGCTCAACGATATCGTCCCTATGATGCACCACCGGCTTATGCACCGGCTCCCGGGAATTTCTTTGCCGCTCCACCCGGCTATTGTATTCCACAGCAGAATTATCATGGATTCACCGCACCTACACATGCTTTCCCAGATCAGCCACCAGGTAAAAGATTGAAAATTTAACGAACAAGACAATAAAAAGGAATCGCCAGTATTCTGAAAGCCTTTAAAACTTTGTTCTTATAGTTACACTAGCCAAAAAATTCGCTTAACGGCGGGTTTTTCTGGCTTTAAGGCTGAGTGGACAGGTTGTTGGTGCAATCGGGAGAGCGCTTTTCTCTGGCCCACACGATCCGGGTTCGAACCCCCGTAGTGCCGCTCGGTTTTGATTTTTTAAAAATTCTTTTTAATAGCATAACTATAGTATATTCTAAGGTTTTCTAGAGGAATTTTAGCTTTATTCGTCATTTTATTAGTCGTTTATTGACCAATAATGGTTCAATAAGGTTTATTGACCAAGAAAATGACGATAAAGACATACAGACACTGTTCTTTATATAGTAGAGATTGTCAAACTAAACCGCTTGTTGTTTCTCTATACTTAAGATAGAAACTAAACTTGGTAGTGTTTGGAGTTCCAAAAAACTCGCAATTCTGAATCTCAAACTCCATTTAGCTGGTGAGGTGTATATGTACGAGTCTCCTCCTCCATATCCTGGCATTGCCGGCCCAGCCCAACAAGTTTCCGGTCCACCCGTTGTTCCTCCATATCCAGCTGGTCAAATCGGTCAAAATGTTCATTATCAACCATATGGTCATCCGCCTATCCCCACTCAAAATCAACCACCAGCCTATTCTGGGTATAACCCAAATGCTTCCGCGGGACCTTTACCTACCAAAGAGCCTATTAACTAATGTATTTAACAATTATTATCTTTAGTCTATCCCAATTAGTGCTCCAAGTGTCAGTCTAAATCTTCAATGTCTAGATAATCAGTTATCCATCTCATAAGCTCTGCTGTGCTAAAAATTTCCTTCCTCGTTTCTGACATCTATTCCAAAAGACTTGTGATTTTAAATGGTTGTGATGTTTTATCAATGTCAACTTTGCTTTTCTTTGAATTCAACAAGTTTTACCCAACAGCTAAGTGAATCTATTGGATCTTGTGCTTTCTTTCGATATTGATCACATTCTAGAACCCTCTCTGCAAATCCTGGCCATACCCCAGCTCTGACTTAGTCATTTTCTTGTATCTATCCTATCTTGTCAATAAAATTTCAAATTTTGCCCTTATTAATTCACAAAACAAGCCAAAAATGGCGCTGAATACAGTAAACACTCTTGATGGAAAAGGAATCATCATTTATAATGGAGTTTTCTATTGCTTATGAAACAAGCAAGTATTTTACTTAGTGCAAGACTTTACTTTACTCTTTAGCATCTTGTTATACTCAAAAAATGCCACCATGCCCTCAGCTACAAAGCTGCAAAGGCATCGATCTAATCGATCAATCTTTGTTATCTTTTGATATTCTTCGCGAACTCACACAGAATCAGACCAAAATTCGATAAACTAGAGATAAACAAAATCAAATTCGATAAACAAACCAAAATTCGATAAACTAGAGACAAGGTTACGGTAGTTTTTAAAGGTTTACAATCTAAAAAAGTTTAGTTTTAGTTTTAGTCTAAAATCTAAAATCTTTTTACTCTAAAAACCATTTCCCCAGATTGAAAATCTGTTTTTCAAAGTAATCTTTCAATTTTTCTATTTCATTTTCTATTTTTCCATGAATCTATTGGGTTGATGGAAAAGTCCTTCCGGATTTTTTGGGAGAGTACCTTAAATTTGTCGAATTTTGACGTTTTATAGCTCATCCTAAAGCTGAATTCAAGACGGATCGATTGGTAAAAACCGTTTTGAGATATCTCTTTTCTAAAAGTTTTTACAGCTATTTTAGTAAAGGGCGGCAGAGCCAAAAAATGGCTGTTTTCACGTTTCGTTAGTTTTCCGTGCAGAAACCTAGGCTAAAAACATGTGTTTCGTGATCAGCGTCAAAAATAACCCCTAGACACGCATTTTCAGAACCTTAGCAAAAACTTTTTGAAAAATTGAAAAATATTGTCACCGGTGGAAGTCGAACCAGCGACCCTCAGACCAATAGCCTTTCCGCCGCTTTTCGCGATTTTCCTTCTTTTTTCTCGCTTTTTTTTGTTTTATCATTTTTTTGATGTTGTTAGAAGGCTTTTTTCAGGAATTTTTCACGAAATCGTTGAAACCAATTCCGGATAGTTCGTTCGGTCACGACGTCAGTAATCTCTCGATGAGCCTGTGCGGCATTGAGTTTTCGGTTGAATGCATACAAAAACAGGTGCCGCTGGTGCTCCTCCGATTCAACTTGACACTTGGCTCTGCCGCCCTTTACTAAAATAGCTGTAAAAACTTTTAGAAAAGAGATATCTCAAAACGGTTTTTACCAATCGATCCGTCTTGAATTCAGCTTTAGGATGAGCTATAGAACGTCAAAATTGGACAAATTTAAGGTACTCTCCCAAAAAATCGGGAAGGACTTTTCCATCAACCCAATACTATACAAATTGCTAAAACTATTGTGATTTTTATATGATTTTCTTCAAATAATCTTCATCAGATTTACTTTTACTGATTGATTTCCTTGTAAATAATTTATATAAATTTTTAAATGAATTCTAGAAAAAAACTATAGAAAGCAAGGGAAATACAAAGTGATTGGAGTCAATCGATTGCCGTTTTCTTGCTGATAATGAATCATTTCCCATTTTTTTTCAACATTTTATTGGCTTTTCTTAGAATTCCTTTTTGAAAATGATTTTCTTACCATTTTCAACTTTACCAAGAGTATTGAAAGAACAAGTTCTCCGAAAAGTCGATTCATTGACATTGATGGAATTGCTGCAAGTCGATAAAACTTTACGAAACCACGTTTTATTGAATGGTTTATTTGGGGATGAAGTCGATGAAATCGCTCTTTGTTTTCCGAAAACTCACCCAAAACGCTTCACAAATCGATCCTGGAAATTTCTTGTTCAAAAAGGATTATTCACAATTCATGTTTCGATTCGAGATCGTTTGATGTGCAGTAAAGTTGAATCCACGAAAGTTTTCACTTTTGAGAATAGCTGTACAGTTGATAAATTGTATTTTCAATATAAAGCTTGGAAAAAGATTGAGAAATGTTTTCCAATGTTGAAAAATGTTTTGAAATTCTCGGCTCATTGCCATTGGACAGACGATGATCAATATATTCTATCGAAATTTCCCTTTCGAATACAAAATTTTGCCATTCTTGACTTCAAGAACAGAAATATTACAACTATCAGAGATTTTCTGCAAAATTTCCTTTTGAAACAGCTCGCAGAATGCTCTTTAATTAAAATTCTGAACTTACAAGGGGTAAAGTCACCAGGAGTCATTGAAGATCAATCGGATTTTCAAGATATTCACTCAGATTATCGCAAAACAATAGCAGAAAACGATGAGTTTCAATTGGTGATTAATATCAAAATTGATGATTTAAATATTGATGATACTGAAACGTTTTGGGAGGACACTATGTCAAAATTGTCCATTGAAAGCGCTGCAAGTTTTTGATTGCTTTGATTCCTTTCGTGATCTTTTACAATTTGTTGTTTTTTACCAAAAAGTCTTTTGAAATTGTTTTAACGTATTTTTGATTGCTTTGAATGTTTGAAATCTCGCAGTGATTTATCTCAAAAATGGATCTGAATGGTTTTTGAAATTATTTGGAATTGAATAAAGTTTTGTCTTGCGTTTATGTCTTGCATTTACATTTAAAGAAGTGGTCCGAATTAAGACTGATTAAAAGTATTAAGGAATCAGATCCGCTTTTCAGATCAGTTTCAAACTTGAGTACCTCAGCTGGTTTTGGCTTAACGGGTCTAGAATTAGAAGCAAAGCCAAAGCCAGCGGTCCCCAAACCGGGGGGGAAGCCGGCGGCAAAAGCGGGGGGGGGGGGCAGGCGGCAAAAGCCGGGGGGGGGGGCGGGGGGGGGAGGGGGCGGGCGAGGCGGCGGGGGGGCGGCAAAGCCAGCAGCCAAAGCCAGCAGCCAAAGCCAGCAGCCAAAGCCAGCCAAGCGCCCCCACCAAAGCCAACGCAAAAATAAAAAAAAAAAAAAAAAAAAAAATGATCAATCAAGTTTGGGCTCATGGACCTAAAGCGGGGAAAATCCAGTAACTCCTTGTCTTTTACGGATTCCAAAAGGATGCCTTCTATACCGAACGTTTGTGCCAGGCGGCGAGCGACTACGTGGCCGCACAAAGGACACCTTAACACCTTTTATAGATAGGGATTTTTCTTTGCTTTGTAGATGACCCAAAAAAGATATTTAGCTGTAAATTTGTACCCGGGGGTTTTCGGGGTTGAGGAATCGATTGGAGCTATTTATTTTATTGAGTCTACCAATGAAAATCGGTTTTAATTGGTCTAATGGTAGGCCAGCAAGGTACCCCTCTTTTAAGCAAGTCAACATGCGCAAATCGTTTTGTTAAAATAGATTTATCACATATTCACTTTTATGTTAGCTTTATAGTATGTATATTTCAAGATATTGTGTAACTTTTAGCTGAGATTTCTAACTATTAGGTCAGGTGAGGCCAAGCAAATCAGACCAGAGTCCCGCCAGAAGCTAGGTCCATGTTTGGCTTTTGGACGGGCCTAAATATGCGATCTATTGTTAGATTCTGATATTCTAGCTTGTTACAATTTTTAAATAAAGCAAAATAATATAAGAATTTGTGAAAATCTAAAATACCTTTAGCAAAAATCAAAAACAAAAAGTTTATCAAGTGGGGGGATTCGAACTGACGGCAGATATTCGATCCGTTTCGTAGACAAGCACACTACCAGGTACACCACGAATGTCACTAAAAGAGGAGCGTGAAGCTCAAGAGTGCATAGCAGAAACTTTGAGAAATCCCGCTTTTGCGAACTATTCAACCGATTCGGATTCCCCATTCGATTTTCTATCTAATGGGTTTTTCTAGGTCTTGTTTTGAAATCCCACGGCTACCTAGTACTCTTCTTTTCTAGAGCTTTTCTAGGCCAAGACTTTAGTAAACCCAAGCCAAACAAGGCACAGTCAAGCCAGCCTAAAACCTGATACAGACTACCGTATTTTCTGTAATAGTAGTGCAGGCTGGAGGGGGATTGAAAAAATAGTAGTGCGCACTACTATTACAGAAAATACGGTAAACATTTTCTAACTATCAAACAATTGATGGAAAACGCTTTTCTCCTACAAAAGTTCAGCTCACACAATTCTCCGCAGAAGAAGAGAAAAGCAAAGCGGTCGCATCCTGTGATTGTGGACAGGAAATTAGTGGGATGTGAATGAAAGAGAAGAGAAGTTGTGAGACTTGAGCCGGGCAATTACAGTCCCCAGTACACCGGACGTCCGTTCCCCCATCCACACTTCACAGGAATTCAAATTGTCATACCATTTACAAAATCATTTCTTCAACTTTTCTCTTTTTTCCCACAATTTTCCCAGAGACTGGCCAGCCTTCGCAATCAGCTCCGCTCACACGTTATGACAAGACGGTAAGCTTTTCGTTTCTAAAATAAATCTTTTACTCAATTAATTCAAAAGTTGACTATCACTAGAATTGAATTACCCTTTTGTGGGAAAAGAAATCCCGAAAGGCACAGGTGGTCACTTGAAAAGCTCTCGAAGAAAGCCAATGGGTTTTAAGGGGGAAAAGAAAAGGGATACGGTAACAGACAAGGGGTTTCGAGAAAAGAGGCAAGTAGAGGAATGAGCAATCTGGCGTGACTGATATATGGGGGTGGGAAGGGCTGAGGGATCCTCCCCTCCCCTCGCCCATTCCTGTAATCTGTTCCACATGCAGCGGCATGCTTGGCCAGCGGCGAATCGCAGAAAACCCGGGCCCGATCGCTTCTCCACCCATCTATCAATCCCTACATGATCACCAATTGCATCATCAGCAACCGTACAAGCGAAGCGCTCAAGAAGCGAATTTGTCAGGTGAGTGAAGCTACAGTAAGCTATAAGAATTTCAATTCAAATTTTCTCGCAAGTAAGCTCTAGAAACTCAAGTCTAACATTGAAAATCTTAGAAGTAAGCTCTTTAGTAAAGAATCGAGCTATGAAAATGATAGCTTGATAGCTTTTTTTGTCCTCAAATTTAAGATTTAACTTTCAATTTTGGTTTTTGAGTACTCGACTGAACTTTAAATAGGATTGACTGACAAAAACTGATTCAATATAATATTTTAGAGTTAAATGTTTATATAAATAGGTTTAAACTTAAGCAGTTAACTAAAATTGACTCAACTTTAGACGATGAATCGAAAAAGCGGCGTTTGCGAACGAATTTCACCGAAGATCAATCAAACATGCTTGAAGAGGCTTTTCAGGTGGGAAAACTTTAGATTTAAGCAATAAGTTTAAGCAAATAAGCTAGCTCAAACAATAGCAATAGGCTTTAGCAATAGTTTAGGCTAGCTAATAGATTAAAACTGAATTTCTAGGCCTCCCACTATCCGGATCAAAACTCGAAGAAGAACATGGCTCAAACATTAGACATTCCAGAGGATAGGATTACGGTAGGCTGTAGAAAGTTTTATTAGTAAAATTCAAAAGCCAGAGACTGAATTGTGAATGAACTTTTCACATTTTCAGGTTTGGTTTCAAAATCGACGAGCGAAATGGCGGCGAAAGGAAATGAGAGACAAAGAAAAGTAAGCAATTATTGATTGAAACGAGAAATTGTTGATGTGGTGAATAGAATTGATTCCTTTTTCCTTATACTTCATTTTCTAATCATTTCAGAAATCGTTACACTGGTGAATTTGTCTCATCCGTTTGTCTTCCTCATCCACAATCTTCGCAAATGGATTTCCCGCCGTTTGGTGGAGGCTTCGAGGGACAAATGGAGTTGAATGTGAGTGAAATTTGCTAATTTTTACAATTTTGCTAATTTATTCATGAAATTAATGTTACTATTTCATTAAAGATTAAAATTAGAAAGTTTATGATTGAACTGGCTATGGATTTTATTATTCTAGCAAAGGGAACTAGCTGAGGCTGCCAAATGCTATGCGATCTATACCATTCAACGCAGAACTTTATGCTGATTCCGAATAAGTATTCCGTTTTTGCTAAGTGACAATCTGCCAGGAGTTATAAGCGTCTTTCTTTTCTTTCTTTTTTCTATTTATTGAAGCTTTTAGGGTCACCCACAACACCCCGATTTGCCCACATCGATGCTCTCGCATTCAATTGACGGAAACTTGTTGGGCATTGATTCAAATTGTTCCCTTCCACAGCCAATACCATTGAATCCCGTTCAAGGTACGATTCAAAGTTAAAGCTAACATTTAAAAAGCGATTAGAGTGTGTTTCTTCCTGTTTTACTTGAAGTAAAATCAATTTTACTGTAGTTTTACTCGAGTAAAATTTGCATAAATAATTTCTACTCGATTAATCGACTTTTGTGGTCAAATAACTTCCCTTTACACGTCGAGTAAATCGAAGATCTTTATATTTCAAGGGATTTCCCATCAAATCAATTAAACAGCTGAATATCTTTAAAAGAAGTCGTATATACCGTATTTCTTCGAATAGAAGACTGGGTAAAAGTATCATCGCGTACTACTGGTAGCAGCCCTTTTAAAATTTCTTATCGCAAAAAGCTTCCACGTAAAGTGCTATAGAGCGGAAAATTTAAGTCCCGCTCAAAAATCGGTGAGGCTCATGGTTTTTGAGTCAACAATTTTCCGCCGAATATCACTTTATTTAAAGGATTTCTCACAAAATCAATTAAACAGCTGAATATCTTTAAAAGAATTCGTATATAAGTCGTATATATTGAATTGTCAAAAAAAAGGTCTTACAGATTTAGGAGCAAATCCTTTTCATCTCTACCCACCACGAGGCTCTGAGCAATTGTCATCACTATCAGGTGAGCTTTTGGATCAGAAAGATCTTAATTACGGAAGAAAAACTGCTTAAAGAATTGGATTAAATATCAGTAAAGTGGATTGATTTGAGAATGCTAAAAATTGTGCCCTATTCGAAATTGTGCTCTATTGATTTTCCCCATCTCTAGGCGATCTCTCCCTTCCATTTCCCCCGTCATCTCTTCTCACGAATCCTCTCTCCGATCACGAATTCATCAATTCCTATTGCCCGCAAACAAATGAGCAATTGACTTACACGTATTTCCCACCTGATATTTGATAATTGAATAGTTGAATAGCTGAATTTCCCCGAATTTCCGGTTTTATTGTTGTACCCACTTGTCGCTGTGAGCTAGTCATTTATTTAACAATTAAGATTTCATTTATAAGCTTTTAACATTTAAGATTTCATTTTAAATCCTAATCCTTTAAAAAAGTACTTAAACTTAATAAAATTATGATGTTGTTTTTCCAACTTTTTTGATATGACCTTTTGACCCTTCATTGTATCCCTTATTCTCACATTTTTCATCCTTTATTCTCACAAATCCAGCAACTTATTTAAATAGGAAATGTAAGCAATCGATAAACGCAAAATCTCAATTTTCGATAATTTCTTTTCAATTGGAAGCGTTGGGAGAAGGGCTCTCAATTGAGCGAAAGCCACATTGAAGGATTCGACCCGAATGCTGCAACGCCTGAGTTTCACAGAGAACTCATCGAAAAACATCAAATGTACCCGGAAAATAGAATCGATTTTTCAATGACTACATTAACTATAACTATAGATTTAAACCATGAAACGCTACAAAAACATAAGCTATATACCGTATTTTCTCTAATAGTAGTGCACCCTGAGCGTCGCCTAAATTCCTCGAAATCACGCGAACCGCTTATCAGAACCTATCGATGTGGGGTCTGAAAATGTAGCTGACGATGAGATCTAGTGGGGGATTTGAGTGTTGAGCTTCTGCAAAAGCTTGGAAACCTTAAAATCGTCACCAACTCGGCTCGCTGGGATGGACTACTATTGGAGAAAATACGGTATCTGTTTTGGTCTCCTAGTTGTACCAGAAATGAAAAATCGATTGTATTTCTAAAGAAAATGCAAATATAATTAGAAATTTAGTCTTTAAGAACTTTAAAGTCAAAAAAGGTTTTGTTAGAAAGACAAATTTCTGTGAAAAAGTTTGTAGAGATTTCGCAAGTTTGTTTTTGCATTGTTCCCGAGTTGACATTTGATGCTTTCGTGAGTTTTTATTGTTTTTTTAATATTAGAATTCGAATATGTTAAGTAAAAGTAGAAATTGAAAGCAAATACACATTTAAAACGAAATTACCGTTCTCTCGACGCGTGCAAGTTTCGATATTTCGGTGTGGCTCGTCGCCGTTTACGTCTTTCTGCCTGAATATAAAAATTTCAAAAACCCTGTGATAATAAAGCTATAAATATCAGCTTCTGATATATTCTAACCGTATTTTATAAGATAATATAATATATTTTAATTCTAATTGTCTAATTGTAAGATATCCAGAACAATTTCTCTCACCTTTGACAATTTTCGATTCTGCTCATCAATATCGTAAAGAACCGACGAGGTTTCACCGGGGGAAAACATCAAGAAATAAATTGCACTAGTTAGAAAATATCTAATATTCAGTTGTTTGTAATTGTGTTTTAAAGATTTCAATGGGAATTTCAAGGGATTTTACCCAAATTCGGCGATTTGAATGAGACAGAGGCGTTGCCTTTTACAGCCCTTCAAACAAATTGAATCTTGGGCATTCACCATATGGGACACTACCCTTTTCTTCTTCTTCTTTTATTGCTTTTCAGTAGAAATAAATAATTTTGGACTAATTCTCCATTCAATTGTTTAGTTTAGACAAATTTTGAAATAGAAATAGTTGTTCAAAGTTTGGGACAAGGAAACGATTCATTTTCGAGTCACCATTGCGTTTTCTATAAGAAAAGTTGATAACATTTCTATAAGAAAAAAGAAAACTAACGTAAACTTTAGATACCTTAATCTTTGATGCCGTAACCTTTAGATGCCGTAATCTTTAGACACCGTAATCTTTAGATACCTTAATCACCTTTAGATACCTTTAGATACCGTATCATCCCATTATATTAAGAATAAAACTGTAAATTGAATCAAAAAATGTAGCAAACATGGAAGAAAAGATAACGGTAGTCATCCAAATCATTAACTTTTTTTACAAAACGCATTTTTTGTAGTTCTCTGCCAGTCTTGCGCTGTAGTTGTGCATATCTGATAAAAATTTACTCAATCAAACACACAATTGATTCCATCACCAATCTAGGATCAAACAAAATCTGAAATCATTTCCTCTAACTAACAAAAAACACCCGTTTTTTTACTAATCAAGACCTGCAAATGAGTGAGATAAGACAAAAATCTTGAAAAAGATTAGCAAACTTTAAATTACAAGCAAGTATTTTACAGCATCAATATTGAAAAGCTTCATTGTTATACGTGATTTGATTTGGATGATCGACTCCAGTTGGATGCGTCTCTTTTCGGTGTTTTAAAGCGGTTCCGTTTGTTGATGAAACCATCTGAAAAATTAGATTTACACTAAAATTTCGCTGCATAACTTCAACTGCTTGATTCGCATAAAATGAGTACACCAGAACGAGTGTGTTAGCGCTATTTTTGAGTACAAAGTAAACATGTAACGAAAAAATTTGTCTATCCTTTTTTGCCGTTGGCAATGTAAAGTTTTGCGTGTTTTTCTCAGTAGCAACCCTTCAATTTTGACTATTTTAACGATCATTCGATGCAGAATAAAATTGCGCATCGAATGATACCAAAATTAACTCAAAATGTAACATCCACGTAAAGTTATGAGCCAAGAATTAAGTCCCGCCCATAATAGGCGAGGCTTAGGTTTTTAGCCAACAACTTTGCGTGAATATTACATTTTGAGTTAACTTTGGTATCATTCGACGCGCAATTTTATTTTGCATCGAATGATCGTTAAAATAGTCAAAATCGAAGGGTTGCTGCTGAGAAAAACACGCAAAACTTTACATTGCCAACGGCAAAAAAGGATAGACAAATGTTTTTGTTACAAGTCTAGTACAAAGTACTAACAATTCCGAGATCCAGACCTGGCTCAATGTCCCATTCATATGTGTCCCCTTCTCCACCGGTATAATATCTCCTTTGTGATCGTGATCGCCTGTCACTTTTGTGATTGTTGATTTTCGATATCGTCTGAATTGTTGATCTACTATTTGTTTATTTGAAAAGTCACCTACTTATAGTACAAATATTCAATTCCAAGAGTGAAGAGTGAGAGAACGATTCCCGCCAAGATCACGATAAACACTCCACCGATATTTTGAATCGAGATCCCATCCGATTCGCTGATCATATCCGGGCATTTTACCTGTAATGGGAAATTGCTCTAAGCTTTTTGTTAATTAATGCTACTATCAGATCTCGATCTTACATTAGGCTAAAGAAAATAATCAACAAAATGATTTGATTTGATTAAAACTCGTATTTTAGGCCACGCAAAATCTTAACTTTGATCGAAATTTAGATTTGCACAAAATCCAGATCTTAGTATGGTCAAAATCCAAGTTTTGACCTATCAAAAATCCCAATTTAAACCTAAACCTTTTCTCTTTACCCGTTTTTTTACTCTTCTCACTCTCTCATTCTCTTATTCTCTCATTCTCTTTATTAAATTCAGTTGATTATCCTCCTTTATGCAAAATGATAATAATAGTCTTAAGCATTAGCAAAATGATAGTAATAGTTCAACTCTTAAACTTGTGAGATTTAGTTTTTTTGAGATTGTTTCTTTATTGCTCCAAACCTTGTTCGAATTTCCATCCCACCACGTGTCCTTGAGCGTTTCCAACGTTCGATTGTTCAACAAAACGAGAATTCTTAATAGGTTAATAGATTAATAGGAAAATTCAATTCAAGAAAGAATTCAAGGTATCTGTAAACGAATTAGATCTTATTGCCATGTCAAATCTGTCCTATATTTAATCTTTTTGTATCTGTGTTTGCTGTCGTTTTACTCTACTATTTTTAGTTTTCTTTCTTTTTTTTGTGAAAGTATTGTAGCAATATGTTATATGCGGTTATGATTATTTGATTCGCTTCTATTTGCCACTGAATAAAGCATAGTAATCTTTGAATTTGACTGATTCATCACTAATATAAATTCTTATTTAAACAAAAGTGATAATTTTAAAACCAACGCTGATGAAATCGGATCTTTCAGCGGATGTCCGCTTTGCACAGCGATTGCATAAGGCTTTCGAGAGAATTCAGTACCCACCTAAAAAGTATTTTTAACATTTTGAATCTAGTTGTTTAAAAAATATTCAGGTATTAGTTTCATTTTGATAACATACTTGTTGCAGTTTACAGTTCGTCAGCACAGCATACTTTATCTCTGTTGCATCACCTGAAAGCAGGGATAGGTTAGTTTGCGCCAAATTTTTTGCGCAACTCGCCACAACTTTCTTCTAAGTCGGCCAATCTTTATGATCTTGGTGTCATTTTTTTACACTTATTGAGATGTACAAAATGACACCAAAATCATAAAGATTGGTTCAGTTAGAAGAAAGTTATGGCGAGTTGCGCAAATGAAATTAGCCTACCCCTGAAAGCATTCAAAGTCTTAAACCAAAACCTTTTTTTAACTAAAAGTATTCATATTTGAATCTAAAAATTGTTTTTAGTAATTTATTTTTTAAAAAATCTAACCAATAAAAGCAAATCCATCAGCCGAGTTGATCACTCGGTCAACCGCCGCGCTGATGTTCTCTGGTAACTTGGACTCCTGAAATAATACTATATAATAAAGTTTTTACAAGATTTTCATTGATTTTAAGTTAATTTTACTTGTCTTACTTGCATATATCGCCACATATTCGTGAATTTGTCCGACACTGGATAGTCCCAAACGGCCAACCTTGATCGCTCCTCTGGTGTCATGCTCTCATTCAACGACATCTCTTTCCAAATACTAAATTAGATATCGAATAAAGAATACCAAATAATTTACAAATTTACATTCTATTTTTGATGCTATACGGGTTGGGGATCCAAAATTGCTTTTGCTAATTTCGCTTTTTATATGCAATAAATTTTGCAATAGCTATGAAGATTTATGGAGCCAGCCTAAGCGTCAGATTAAGTGGTGAGAGGGCTTAAAAGAGAAGGTTTGGGATAACCACTACTATGAAGCCTTGTGGAAGTGGCAGCATAATACTCAAAACTTGATGTATGAGTTCTGGGGACTTGTTGATGATCGTTATCCTCTGAATTAAGTTGTATTGTTGTATTGTTGTTGAAGATGTTCATTTTAATTCATAAATGTTGTTATCTAAAAGAAAAAAAGCAATTTTGTGATATGGAACATAACCGGGAACAAAAATTGCACCTATATAGCATCCTATTTTTACCTTATGACTTAAACACACTTGTAAAATATCTCCTCGACTTCGGCCATTCGCCTAAAGTACGTCTCACTGGCACTCCCCTTGATTGGTGCGTACTCGATTTTGTACTGTTTAGCGAGATCATCCAGTGAACTAAATTAAATTCATTTGAAAATTCATGAAAATTTGAATTGAATTGAAATTCGAAGATTTAAAGTGCGTAAAAGATTCAAAATTTTGAGTACTTGATTGTCGTTTCCAAGCGAGAAACGGTGAGGAAAGCGGCCAAATTGGCTGTATAAGAGGCGATGATAATAAACCCGAAAAGCCACCAAGTTGCAGCAACGAGTCTTCCAGAAACGTTCTTTGGCGCCTCACCTCCTCCTGGAAATTCATGCAATTTAAAAAAACATAAAGTCGCGTCCGTTCCCTTCCAAATTACGTTCCTATTTGCATTTAATTTGCGTCGCTTTTTCGTCTCATTCTCTTCTCCAAAATTTCTTTTTGATTTTTTGAAGAACTTCTGTGACTTCTCGTCTTTTTGGGTTTAGATTTGCTCTCGTTCTTTCAGAATTTGATGTTTTTTCTCTTTTTTGTAATGGGTATCATTTCCTTTTCTTTCTTTACTAATAAATCATAAAATTATAAATCCTATCTACTTTAAACTACCCTTAAGATTCTAAATTCTTTTTGGATAGCTGGTCTAACATTATAGAAAGAATTTGCTAATATTTGTGTTACCATCGACGAAGCCGTCGTTTTGTACTCGTATCATGACCGTCAACCTTTTCCTTGTTTCTTCCTTTCTTCCTTTCTTCTTCCCTCTTCCCCCTTCCCTTTCCCTCCTTGCCACGAAACGTCAATCCATTTTGTACTCGTATCACAAGCGTTAATCTTATCCGAGTATTTCCTTCTTTCTTTCTTCCTTTTTTCTTCCCTCTTGTCTTTCCTTCTTTCTCTTGGCAAGTTAAGGTACCGGATAGCTCAGTGGTTAGAGCAAAAGCAAAAGTGGTAAGCAAAAGATCCTTCTCCCTTCTCCGGAAATTTTCTTGCCAATTCCTTTCTTTATTATGCTGAATGTTGCGTGTTCTTGTTCGTGTTTAACCTTTTGTGCTATGCTGCTATTTTGAAACAAAATCATCCCCAATGATAAGCTTAAAGCGCGTGACATCCCGAACTATAAGATGATCTCAGAAACAGTATTTGATTTTAAAATTTATGCGTCAAAGTTAAAGCCAGTCGAAGACGGTAGTTAGAATGAAGCTTTAGAGTTTTTTTACTGATGATTCAACAAAGTACAACACAGATCTTTTTCTAAAATCACCCCACTAACCTTGTGGTGTCAATGAGGTCATGCAAAACCATAAACATTCCTTGAGACTGAATATCCGTTTCTCGTGATCTTCTTTGTATCGTTCCTAAAAATTTATTAAATCAATCATTTCATTTAATCAAACCTTGTTGTTAGTGTACGAATACGGAGAAAAACGGTCGAAAACCCATAAAAGAAGACTCGTGAAGAGATACGCTCCAACGATGCACAACCAAACAGGCCATTCAAGCACCTAAACACTTGCCGAATTCGGGTTTTCTCGAAATCAACTTACTTTCATGAATTTGAACAATGAATACTCGACATCGGGTTTTTTCATGAGAATCGTTGTGCCAACCAAATCGTAATAAGGGACGGTGAAATCGACATCGTTTTCCCTTTCAGCCATCACACTCAATGGTGCTAGAGCGATGTCTGCCGAGCCGGACACTAAAATCAAGAGTACTTTTTGAAAACTCAAGACTCTGAAACTTGTTTAAAAGTTTATTTAAAAGAATTCTAAGTCTCATTTTGTTCTACCAATGATAATAGGTTTTAGAACTGCAAATAGTAAGGGTTACGGCAAAGAGCTGATAAAAAAGCTTGTACTTTCTTGAGATAAAGGCATGATTCTTGAAGTGACTTTCAAAAGTGAATGAGGGGCTTTTCAAGATTGTAGGACATTTGATCTTGTCCCACCCGTTTGCCATTGGCAATCCAACTTTGAGCTCAAACACCTTGAGGTTGGGCTATCCAATGTAAATAATTCTTGTATCAATCTATAGAGAAAGACTTGGCGCATCCAATGGTACCAAGAATATTTAAATTGGACAACCCAACACCAAGATATGTGAGCTCAAAGTTAGATTGCCAATGGCAAAAAGGGCGGGCGCGTATTAAATGTCCGATAAGCGTTTTTCAACTCACCCAACGCTCCAATTAATCCATTCCAGTTTCCATTGATATCCGTTGATCCAAATGTCCCATCTTCGACTTCAAAATACTCGTAACTGATGTTAATTTGTGAGACAAGTTTCGTCATCAACTCGATGCAATATCCGGTGTAATTTGGACCCGTATTCACATCCGGGAAACGCTCGACGAATGGTGGTTGCTAAAATAGAAAATCTTTGACCAAATCTCGCACAACTTACAATGAGCAAAGCAACTCGATAAAAGTTGAGCTCTCTCACATCGACACCCAATGAACCATAGTAGAGCTGAACGCCGGCCTCAAGTGTCCAATTGGCTAACTGGATTTATATTTTGCAAAAACTACCAAATTTGACATCAAATACCCACCAATTTGTTGTATCTTGCATCCTCCAATCCACGTATTCTATCGATTTTGAAGACTCGGCCAGGTACACTCTAAAAAGCTACTTACAGATATCAAAGTTTACAATAACTTGATAAACAGCTCCATTCGCTGCTTGTACGAATGTTCCATACTCTCGTGGTTGACCATTCAAAAAGAAAGAAAACGGTGAGGTGGCATTGTCATTGGAAACTGGAGAAGTCTCTTGGACACACGAATATCCTTCAGGAATCTGTAAATTTGAGAATTAGAGCAAAATTTGTAAGCAAATAAGCAATTTGTAAGCATGTTTGATATAAAAACCGACCGCTCCTTTTGTATCATTGAGATCTCTCATGATCTGCACCAGGGATGTGGCGGCTGTAAGGAAGAAGGAGATCTCAACCTAAACAAATGGACTTCATAATGAAATTACTTAGAAACTGAAATTATAAGTAAGAGATCACTTTAAAGTGTTAAAAGACGTTTGGCTATTCGCAGATAATCCTTCAAAGGTCCCCATTTTCTAGAACCTTTTGAATTTTGTCAAGCCACAGCTCACCTGATTGTTGCCACTCAATTTATAGGAGAGATCAGCGATGATCTGGTTCTCTTTCAAATACTCGAACATATCTCGAATCCAGAGCTCTTTCCCCGTGTAATATGGACGAATCCAGAAAATCTCCACACTTCGACAATCGTCGCATTTGAATGGAGTGATGTCCTGTAAGCTCTCAATTTTCACCCAATCCCCCTTTTTTTTACCTTTGTCCACACATAAATGTTTACGGTTCCATTACTGATTTGGTCACTGGCCTGGAATTGGAATATTAAAGTACAGTTCTTCTATTTTAATAGGTTATACTCAAATCTCGGAGGGACATAATGCATTTGAATAAAAAGAAAAAAATACTGGCTTGTTTGATTAAATAGCTATTGAATTTGCAATTAGCAATTCAAAAAAAGGGTACTATTGTATTAAACCCCTGTCATTCCCCAATAGGAATAAACCCCCGTCACTCCTCAATGGGATTAGATTACTTGGATTGCTGGCAAGGCTACAACACTAGGGAGATCGAAAACGCCGGCTACACCCATGCAACGGTCAACCATTCGACTAACGTCGTCAATCCACATGATCCGTCTATTCACACCCAAACAATAGAACGATTCTGCGGTTCGGCAAAGTGGCGCAACAAGAAACATAGAGGAACTGCCCGACACCACCTTGCTTCTTACCTCGCCGAGTTTATGGTTCGAATAGAATTTGGATCAAATAATACTCACTCATGGCTTCACAAAGGGCAGCAAAATAGCCGCCAATTACAAATCTTTAAATATTTGTCTTTGTTTGCTGTGAAGATTTTTTAAAACACAAAAGTGACGGGGGTTTATTCCCATTGGAGAACGGTCAAATTTTGGCGGGGGTTTAATGCTATAGTACCCAAAAAAAGTTTACTCCGGCACTCAAATAAGGGTTTTGGTTATGGATTTTGTTTTTGCTCAGGGACTCACCGCATAGACAAACGTCTCAATGCTGGCCGTCTCCCCAAGAATCAAAATGTTCGGAGAAGCTTTGACCAGTGATGCTACCTAAAATTCAGCTACTTGTGCAAGTCTTTTATCAGCTGTGCATCCTAGATCTATTTTAGTATAGTTTTCAGTATATTTTACTTCCTGCTCCTTTTTCAACAAATGTTTTTTCACGTTTATACTTTTGTTTATCAATTTTTCCTTTGGTTTTCAGTCTTTGCCCGAACTTTTTAAAAAACTACCTACTTCTACATTTTTCGGAAATAATTTCATTCGAAACAACCTGTCCGCTCAGCGACGAATTTGTAGCCATGGGAATAAATGAGGTTTTCACGCCGTTTGCACTGTGCACCTCATCAATCACTTCTTGCCAAGTGGTGAGGTAGGTGCCTGGAATGGGTTTTATAAGTTCAAGCTGTTAGTCAGCATTTCTTAGATTAGAACTTTCAAAAAACCTAAAACAAACCATAAATTGAATCAAAGACAACGGATACACTCCCAGAAATGTTAAACAAGGGAAACAATGGCTCGTAGATGTTTTGAAAAACCGAAATTGGAGAAATCAATGGGATGTAGTTTGGGAGATCGCCCGGTGGAACGACATCTAAAAACTTCAAAATTCAAGAAATTCGTTCTTTTATTTATACCAAATGTACCATTTGGCGACCAGCGTTCCATAAAGATTTGAATGGTCGGAATTTGAGAGTATTGAGCGGCTTGATACACAGTGTTGATAGCTGATTGGGATGTGACAAGACTGATGATACCATTACAGCCAGTTCCAGATGAGATCATTGAGCAAACTGAATGGGAAATATGTTATATACCATTAGAGTTTTAACAGTAGTACAGTTTTGAGTCCTGTTTTGCCAAAACTGCACAATTGTACTGCTTTAAGTCCCAATTAAAGAAGTTGATTAGGCCAAATTTGGATTAACTTTTTGTCTTTTACCTAGCAATTATAAAATTTCGCAAAGATTTATCTACTTACTAGAGATATTGCTAGGATTAGACACGTTTAAGATGAGATCGGTGATGATGAGATTGTTGTCGAAGCCAAAATGATTGGCCAAGAATTGCACGGAGACATTGATGTGCTCGAGAGCCGCCGAATAGGGAGCATCCGATTCGCGAATCACCACTAAAAAGTTCTATTTCATATATGTACAATTTCACTTTGTTTATTTAAAGTCTTTCTGTCAATATCTCAATCATCTTTACCACTAACCATAAAAGTTCAACCAATTTTCAACACAAACCAACACTTTTCTGTGGTTTTTCTTGTTTTCACTAACTAGGGAAAGTCATCAATTTTCCACCGAGTTTCAAAACGGAAGATTCTTGCAAGCGCTTATAGCAACTTGAGATTTGAAAGAAAAATAGTGATTTTTTACTTTCAAGACGACTTTTTCAAAAGGTTTGTTAGTCTCGTTTTAAAAATCGGTGATAAATCGGCGACTTTCCCTTGTAAACAACTAATTTCTCGGATATGTATTTTGGAATTGAAATTGGAGGTGAAACAATGTCAAAAATGAATTATGGAAACTCATTTATCGGGGACTCCATTTATTTTTTTTGCATGGCCATTTATTGACGCCAGTAAGAAAAAAAGAGAAGGAACACTACATTATCGATATGGGAAAAGACATTCCCAAGAACTAGAGCGAGAAAATAGAAGAAAAATGTGCAACTTTGATGTTGAAAGAAAGACATTTGGAAAAAATTGCTATAGTTCTGTGATTTGTGCTTGGGTTGGGTACAGACTGAATTTTCGAGGTGAATTTAGTCCAGGAATTTAAAATGAACGAGCTAAGTCTGGAAAGAAGTGATTGAACTTTGGTGTTACTTGGTTAAGAAAGTAAGAAAGTAAGAAAGAAAGGATTGACGATTATATAAATGACCATGCAACTGTAAAATGCCAGAATACCGCAAATGAAACTTTTGAGTGAAACTGGCACTTTTTCACGAGTGGGGTTTGCTCATTTCAACGACAAATGACTAAAATGACTTACAAATATTGTATGAGAAGCCCATCGACGGCATCAATATCAGCAAAACAGCCAAATAGAGCATTTCGCATTGCAATCGTCGTCCACGAAGAGTCATCTTTGAGATGTGATTAGCTGCAGTACAGGTGCATTCTAAAGAAAAATAAGTTTTGCACAAATTGATGAGAAATATTGAGGGAAGCAGGCATAAAACAAAAGTAATAAAGGTACTAAGCTTGGAGAAAATGCATGCCGAAACGGAATCACAGAATACAGTCATTTAATCAAATCTAAACGGCGAGGAGCGCAAAATATGGTAAAATGGATATTTGGAAGTAAAAGTAAGAATTTCTTATTTCAAGCAGAAAAACTTTTTTCCTGTAATCCTTGAAAAAGTTGAAATTTAGCTTATTTGAGAAGAACTTGGCTTTGATGAAAAGGGTCAAAAATTCAACTAAACACTCAGAAATGTTTTGAAAATTTAAAAAACAAAGGTGATATGAAAGACACGGGTCTGAAGACCAAGAAATTGAAAAGAATTTACCGAATAGTAACGTTTTACGGTTTTATACATCCGAATTCTAGGTCGAAATCTTACCCAAAATGCTAAATCTTTTAACCCAGAAACACCAATGCTAAATGATTTGCCAAAACGAAAGGAATAACAAAACGATTCGCGGCTGGATTGAACTGACTGGAGTTTATCGAGAAAAGAGATTTTGTTTTTTAACAATTTTATTGGTGATAGGAAAGACACGGGTCCGAAGACCAAGAAAGTGAAAAGAACCGAGAAAAGTACAAAAACTCTAAAACTTTAACAATTTTTAAAAGAAATAGGGGTACTAAGGCAGTTGGCGGGGGGAGGCACTTTTTTTTCTTTAAAACCACTTTTTCTAGGGTAATTTCATGCGTAGATTCCGAAAAACACAACGAGAGCTTGGGAAAAGACGTTTTCAGCCGAGTTTCTGGGGTCCAAAGTGCACGCTCATCAAGTGTGATGAAAAGGATAAACATACCGTAAATACTGTAATAGTACCCCACCCCCATAAGGACTGTGCGGAGTGTTGCGTAGTCTAGCTTTGAACGAGTTTTTCTCGACACTGGTTTATGCTACAATGCGCGCTTAGGCATCAAAAAATAGCCCTAAATTTCAGCTATTTTTTGATACCAAAGACGCATTTTTTGAAAGTACGGGCACTTTGAAAAAAATGAAATACTAAAAAACTTTTGCGACTAAGCGTCTGTACGAGGGCGGTGGGGTACTATTACAGTATTTACGGTAGGGAAAAGGTCTAAAAACCGGCCTTTTAGCGTTTTGCGCACCCGGCCGATTAGCGCACCTTTTTCGCGTTTTAAAAAAGCTAATATTAACCAATTTCTATTCCAAAAGTGGGTTTTCTGGGTAATTTTAGGGTGTAAAATTCAAATTTTGGCATATCAGAGCTCGTGAAATCAATTTGAAAGATAAAAAGGGTAGGTCAAATTACAGAAAATTTTCGATCTTTTCCTATGTATAACTCCGTCCGTTTGCTTTCACAAAGCTCTGATATGTCAAAATTTGGATTTTACGCCTTAAAATTACCCAGAAAAACAACTTTTGGAATTAGTTAATATTAGCTTTTTTAAAACGCGAAAAAAGGTGCGCAAAAAAGGTCACATTTATTCCACACCCAAAGAATGAACTTTTGAAGGGATGGGACTTCGTTTTATAGGCGGAAAAGGTTGACGCCGTCTCGAGTACGGTAGCTTAGGTGTATTTTAGAATTCACGGTTCGAAAGTTGCCAACCCGTACTGAAACAAAGACAAAGACGTACGGAGCTTTACTGAAACAAAGCCCAAGCAAGTAGTAAAAGTCAAATAAACCAGCTAGCTATACATCAAAATTCAGCGCTCAAGTGGAATCAGAGACCAGGGTCTTAATGGGAGAAAAAGGCGGTTCGGGAATCAATTTGGTACCACAATATTAGGGTTCAACGGGAGCACAAGTGGGGAGCCTCAGGTGCTTATCGGGGAAAAGAGCTTTCCTATAAAGACTCCGAGAAGAGGGAAAAGCCGCGCCCGGAAACCCAATTACCATATTTACATTTTATATGGAGTAGGGTCAGGTTACAGACTCCTTTCACTTACCCACCCCCATCCATTCGTTTCCATCAGAACTCGGTGTTGAAAGAATGGGACGGGTAAGTGTTGGAAGCTTCGTGTACTTCGGGAAGCTTTTGCATTTCACACTTTTAGGTTTAGATTAAAAATTGGAGATTTTTAAAGAACTTTTACGGTAGTTGGGATTCTTAAAATATGAAAATTGAAGTAAAAATTGAGGATGATACTGGACAATGAAATATCATTTGAAAAACGATCGTCACTTTCGCGCGTCTGTAACTCCCTTGTCTTTACCGTATTTCTAAATATTAATATTACCATTGTGTAGCCCTTGAAAAGAGCTTTCAGAAAATGTATAACATTAATAGTTTAAACTCAAAGACAAGAGAGTTACAGACGGAAAGACGATTTTCAATAATATTCTTGTCCGTCTGTAGCTACTTAAACAAAATTTTACTTTTAACTATTTAACTGTACTGTAGTTAAAGTAAAGTAATATCTATCCTAGGCTTTAAACTTGAATAAATCAAAATCTACTTGTATATCTAAATTTTGACAATCAATAAGTACAGCTGTATTACTTTTGTGTGAATTTTTGTCAAGCAGGTGTCTTTAGATTACTGTTTTTTGTCTCTATCGCATTTTTAATGAGAGAAAAATAAAAGTTTTAGATGACTCAATAAAGCATTGAAGCGATTGAATTAGCAAAAAAATGTGTGCGGCTCAATCAAACAATTTTTATCCAAGTGAAATGAATGCTCTCAAAAGGGGGAACTGTACTTTTTCGTTATTATTCTTAGTATTTAATGAAAACTGGCTAAAAGTGTATGTTTTCATTAGTCAACACTCAAAGTTTCGTCCGTCAGAAGGGATTTGTTTGCAATAGTGAGCCCAAATTCACATTTTAACAATCCATAAGCTAGTCAGTCTTGAAAAGATATAAAAAGCTGTTCTAAATGAAAAGTTTTCCTCTCTAAGCCACATCAAAATACACTTCTTTTAGCCGAAAAACTTTGAATCTAAAGATCACCACGAAAAAACGAAAAACCTTTTTCGTTTTTGAGGGACATTTGTTGAACTTTTTCCCTTTTTCTTTCAAATTCTCATCTAGATACTCAAAAACTTTTTTTCATATGTAAATATGCACAGAAATTCGAGAAATTCGACCTCAATCCGACCAAAAAAAGGCAATGCATTCGAAAATGTTCTCAAAAAACTTTTACAGATTCAATTACTCCCACGTGGCACTTAAAAAAAGGGATAAGTTCTCCATGTTTGCATGTTTTCCTATTGTTTACTAAAGCAATTGAATCCAAAAGTTGAATAAGTTTGAAGTTTGAAAGGGATAAATTTGAAAAAACTAAACAGCAAACAAAATTCAATAAATTTTCAGCTCTCAAAATTTTACCCGAATAATTTTCCCACGAAAATTTGAGCTAAATGATGTAAAAAGTCTGGAAATTTGGGTGTTCAGCGCTGAAAATTTAACAAGTTATACGAAATAGAGCCAGCTTATTTTCTCGTTTTCATTTTTCTTAAATATTGGGTTGGTGAATTGAAAACTGCCGGACTTTGAACTAAAATTTATTGAGCGTAAAACCATGAATTCATTCCAAATAATTTCCATTATTATTGACGACTTCTGCCCATTTTACAAGCAATTTGCGGATTCCTCTTTCTGCGTAGGATTTTGGTTTGTGTGTGAGACAAGTGTGATACTCAAAAATGGTGGACTGGAGATGTCCCAGTTTGAGCACTTTCTGGCCAAATTTCCAAAAAATTCTCATAGCCAAATTTCCAAAAAGATACACTTAGTAGTTTCGCTTAAAATGCAAGTTTTGTGAAAATTCGTAAATTTGGCATTTCTTGAAAACCAGTTTTTGAATCGTTCTGAAAATTTGGATATAAGCTTGATTTTTGATTCTCTACAACTTTTCCATTGACACCAAAATGGGTTTCTTTTGAAGAAAGTGCTCAAACTGTCACATATGACAATAGCCCGCAGTTTTCAATTCACCAACCCAATAGATTCACAATTTGTACCCTAATACTCTCAATATCAAGATCGAGTTTCTTCTCCAGCAACTTCATTGAAGCATTCCGATCTTTTACCTCTTTCTCTCTCCATTACACTCCATTCAAGGTCAACAAATGACATCACAATGAATGAAGTGAAAACGAAGAGAGCAAATTGCCATGTTTAGAGAATTTTTGCTGGTTTCTTGTTTACTTTTCGGGTTCTCAAGCTATTCAATCACACAATTCGACACTCTTTGGATCAATGCGTTGAAGTCGACGGCACAAGCGTATTATAATAGGTTGAGTGAAATGCTGGGTATCAAAACTTACTGTATAAATCAAATCTTAAGTCTTTAGTTAACTATTTAGTTTAAAAAGCCAAATTTTCAGAATAGTTTCTTTTCAGAGCTTGGTGGAGACGACAACAGGTCGAAGCGGTGAAACATGAAGCGCTCGCGTTAACAACCGTAAGCTTTACGGCTTTTAAGTGTTAAAACTTATAGTTTCAAATCAAAACTGATCAAAGTCAAATATCTTTTAGCAAACGCCCGTTTTGTTTACGATTTATGTGAATCGAACGGCGGCTCTTAAATCCGACGCGCCCGGCATACAAATGAGTCAGATTTACGGGAAACGACAAGATGTTGACGATCTTTTTGATGATTGATTTGAAATAAAACATAGATTTTGATACTTTCGAGATTCAAACTAAAAGAATGATTTCTTTCAACCAAAAAAATGGTAAAAATGAACTCAAACAGTAACTGTGAAAAGTCTGATCAAAGTGAAAGACTGTAAGCTGCAAAAGGTGCGTGTTTTAAAACGTATCAATTAAAAAAAATAATCTTGCTGTAATTTTAATCTTGCTTAATCCATAATCTTGCCGTAATTTCCTTAAATTTATCTATTTATCTACAGGGTGCGCCAAAAGTTCCCGTTCGCCAAAAGTTAATTACTTAAGATCCGCAATCTTCCTATCGTTATTCCTAAGTCTACAGAAAGAAGTTTTGCAAGGATAATAAAAGATATACAGGGTGCGCCAAAAGTTCCCGTACTTGTATTGCATTTTTGGTAATTTTTGACAAAAGATACGATTTTAAAAGTAAGAAATTCGAATTCCTCGCGAAAAACCGATTTAAAAAACGTTGCTGGTTAATTTATAAGTGCAAAACAAGTAACTGTGCCCTGTAACTGTGCCCTGTAACTGTGCCCTGTAACTGTGCCCTGTAACTGTGCCCTGTAACTGTGCCCTGTAACTGTGCCCTGTAACTGTGCCCTGTAACTGTGCCCTGTAACTGTGCCCTGTAACTGTGCCCTGTAACTGTGCCCTGTAACTGTGCCCTGTAACTGTGCCCTGTAACTGTGCCCTGTAACTGTGCCCTGTAACTGTGCCCTGTAACTGTGCCCCTGTAACTGTGCCCTGTAACTGTGCCCTGTAACTGTGCCCTGTAACTGTGCCCTGTAACTGTGCCCTGTAACTGTGCCCTGTAACTGTGCCCTGTAACTGTGCCCTGTAACTGTGCCCTGTAACTGTGCCCTGTAACTGTGCCCTGTAACTGTGCCCTGTAACTGTGCCCTGTAACTGTGCCCTGTAACTGTGCCCTGTAACTGTGCGACCAAAGCGCCCCTGAGCGGACCCTCTTCTCAATCACTTGTCTTAAATAGCGTTGCACTTATAAATTAACCAGAAACGTTTTTTAAATCGGTTTTTCGCGAGGAATTCTTGAATTTCTTACTTTTAAAATCGTATCTTTTGTCAAAAATTACCAAAAATGCAATACAAGTACGGGAACTTTTGGCGCTCCCTGTATATCTTTTATTATCCTTGCAAATCTTCTTTCTGTAGGCTTAGGAATAACTATAGGAAGATTGCCGATCTTAAGTAATTAACTTTCTTCTACATATAATATTATAACAATACTTAAAGAGTGTAAGACAAATCCCTTTCTCTATCCCAATTCACTAATCAAATTTCTTTTGAATGAATAGGTCGAGTATTGTCCGTTATCTTATCGAATGATCATTTCCGTCTCCTTTGTCGGGATTTTCTCCAACAAATTGGGTAAGAGGGAAAAGACAAAGAAAAAGAAAAAGGAAAAGAATTGACGAACTGAATCGTGTCAATGTCATTTCCCCTCAAGGCAGTTCATCAAAAAGACTGTGATCAAGAATCAAACTATGTGCAAACAGTAGCAGTTTTGACAAGTTTAGCTCGAATTTTAAGAACAATTTCAATCAAATTCAACTTTTCCCAAAACAAAGCTTCTCATTATTGAAGATTTTGGGTACTTATCGATTACACTTTCCTTTTTTATGCAAATTTTCTCAAACGGTATCAAAAAAGTGATAAACTAAACGTTTTTTATTAAAAAGTTGATGGCTAGTTGATTATTAGTTGATTATTTTTTGCTATAGCGGAACTTTGCATGATCCCTTGGTCAAAAAGTGTTTTTAATCGAGAGAGCATGCTTTAATCTATATTATAATCTATATTGCTGCTGATTCAGCTGTTTTTGCGTTGATCTTCTTTTTGAATCGAAGTTCTTATGTTTATAAGTCTTCTTACTTTTGTCCAAACTTATATTATAAATAAGAAAAGTATTAGAAATGCTTCAAAAAGATCGGCTTAGATTTGAAAAATGGTCAGTGTAATCGATAGGTACCAGATTTTGCATATAAACAATCAATTCGTTCACTTCCACAAACACATATGGTCAAGTAAAGTTGAACAATAACAATTAAGCTGAACAATATGCGTTCTATAGCTCTCAATAGTAAGCTAACAAGTCGATAGTTTTCCTTTAAATATCAAATCTTGAAAGAGATTTATTGAGTCAAATAAAAATCAAATAATTTTAAAAACTCGATTATTTACTATTCTATTAGACTAATAATGTTTTAAATTAGGAAAATTAACTCAACAAAATGATTGGATTAGAATATTAAGCTTAGATTATACAATTATAAATGAAAACTTTTCTCAGCAGTCCCTATTAGATAAAGCATTTGAAAGAAAGAGGACGGGCGTTCCCCTCTCTTTCAGTTCTCTTTCACTAATCGATTGATCGCATTGAGGTGAAGCCTCCACTATCGACCTCTTTTTGCCTTTCTTTTCTCCTTCCACCAAATAAACTCCATCAAGATCGAATCGGTTCTTTTCTTTTCTTTCTTTCTTTCTTTCTTCCTTTCTCTCTATCTCTCTATCTCTCTCTCTCTCTTTCTTTTTCTCTTTTTCCGAGTCTCGACTGCAAATCACCTCTACAACTGAAACGAGAGCAACGAGAAAAAAAATAAATCCAGTTCTCTTCTGTGAAAAATAGGTAAAAAAAAAGAAGTGTTGTAAAACCGAGATATAATAAAAGTGAGTTTGAATTCCTGGTTCAAATATAAGTTAGCACGTAAGTATGAAAACTTTTCTCTTTCTGAGTTAATGTATAGCTTATTTAAACCATTATCACTTTTCTAGCTGTTAAATTCCTTGATAAAGGGCATCACTTTTTTGAAATCCCCAGCTTTTAAATTACTCTTTACATAAAAATTTTATTTATATAAACAAAAAAAAAAGTCTGATCCCTGAAAAGAATGAAAGAAAAATAAGCATAAATATTACAGCAATTCAAAATTTACGATTGATTCATCTTGAATATGTACATCATTTTACAGAAAAACACGAAGTGCTTGATCTTTTGATGATTCATCAGGGCAATACGGGCATTTTAGAAGAGAGTGCCTGAATGCAGTAAGGTTTTTCAGAAGTTTCAACCTGTTTACTTTGAAATAAAGTTACAATATTGTAATTGATGAATGACAAGTTTTGGTGGCTGATAAATTTATAAACTGACTAGTCTAGTCAAAAAATTGCTTTATAAATGTTTAATTTCTCCTAAACTTCGTCAAGAATGGTTTCTTAAAGTTGCAATCGCTGAAATGATCGGATTTTTTTGACTTCTCTTTGACATTTCTCGGTTTCTCTTTCCCCTCCAATTCAAAACGACCATTGAATTCTCTTTTTTGAACATTATGATGTAAAAATTGTGAAGGTGAACCAAAGTTTTGTTTTTGTCAAGGGTTGGACATGTCCTTTTATTGGTTTGGGCCAGGAATACGATGGCTAAGATGGCTGGCACCAATGGCTAAGATGGCTGGTACCGGTTGGAATACGATGGCTAAGATGGCTGGCAACCCACTGCCTCCCGCTTACGGGCCGAACACTCTACCAATGAGCTACACCAATCCCATGCTTCCCACTGGATCAGGCTTTATGCCTTACTCTCTTTTCTGAGCTCACCAAATAACCACCAAATTGGAAGTGGCTAAAGGAATAAAGAGTTTTATGAAACGACAAAGAAGATTACAATCTTGACAATGAGAATTATAATGTCTTTTGTAGCTATCAATAACAGTAAGTTTTATATCTACTCATGAAGAGCTAAGATATTGTTTAAATGTTTATCTTGTAGTTGTCAGACATAGTCTAGTCTCCCTTCCTCTCCCTATTTTCAAACTTACTATGTACCCAAGGGATTACTCTACAGCCTGCAAGTTCTCCTCTCCTCGGCTTTCCTTTCTCGAGATCTGAGACCAATGAACGATTCGTTTTTCTTTATGTAACAAGTCCATGTTTGTCCAATCAAAGAACTAATTCAAGAAGATCGGATCTCGGTCATTTGAGATCGATTCTGCACTCATTCCCATTGACCTACAACTCTCAAGTGGGGTCTCAATACTGGAGAGATACGTGAGAATTATTAATTTGAAGTGGGCTAGGTAATCCGGGTCTTTTGACAAGGTTTTTCATTGTGAAAAGCTATGATATGCAAAACCCAAAGCCAATTCGATTTTCTTGAGCCTTTTCTTGAGATAAAGACCAAAATAAACTAGCCAAAAGATTCTATGCCCCCGAAAACCCTGGACACAGATTTTTAACATTAAATCTCATTTGGAAATCATTTACAGAACAAAAGAAAAATCTCTGTAAATGGCTTGTTCTTTGTGCGGCTGCGTAATCGCTCGCTTTCTGGCAAACATGTTTGGTATATGGTGGTTCCTTTTTCGCTTGAAAAGTCAGCTAAATTTACCTTGAATTTGAAGCCAGTTTCTCTAGAGCATCTTTTGATATGACATGTCCACATCGAAGTCGATACGGTGGATTCCGTTCAGTTGTTTGAACTCGAAGAATCGGACAAGTGAACGTGGAATGGTAGCGTTTCTCGATCTGAAACAATTACAAGTAGAAAAGCCACCTTATAGCGTCTTTCTCTACCAAAACCATTATCTTAAAGTATTGCCTTGTCACCAATCTCCATTTCCTTTTCCTTTAGCCTGCAAAAGTGCCACCCAATCGCCTCTTTACCCCCTTTTTCCAGAAGTGTGCTTTTTCCTTTTTCCCTTTTTGTACAGAAGTGTGCGTATGTGTGATAATCTGACCGGAATCTCAATGGGCAACTCGTCGCTCGAAAATATTTGGTCTTGTCGCGGCGCCATTACCGATCGCAGATTCAACAGTGCCGGCACCGCTTGGCAGCCGGTTTCGAGGCTGAAATTTTGGGGGAAGATTATCCAACAATTTGATACATAAATTTGATACACTAAACACTCACATTTGTGGCAATATCGATTTACATTTGAAGATTACTTCCGAAAGTCGTGACTCGAGTTGTTGCCAAGCGAGTGGGCTTGAGATTTCATTAAAGCGAGTATCATCAGCTTTTGTGAACAGAGCTCCCATAATCTAAAATAGAACAAGTCTTCTAAAAAGTATCTATTTTAGGAAAATAGTCAAATTAGCAGTTTTCAATGAATAAGCCATCAATTTCAGAAAAATATCGTAGTCAAACTGACAGTTTTCAGCTATTAAGCCCAATTTTGGTATCATTGAGTGAGCCTTGTGATTGCTTACAATTGGATTAATTGACTTAAAACTGAAAGGTAAGCTTACCAGCTTTTAAGTAAGCTACTTTTACAGGATCCTTAACTGAATATCCGTTAATTATTGGGTTGGTGAATTGAAAACTGCGGGCTATTGTCTGTGACAGTTTGAGCACTTTCTTCAAAAAAAACCCATTTTGGTGTCAATGGAAAAGTTGTAGAGAATCACAAATCAAGCAAATTTTCAGAACGATTCAAAAACTGGTTTTCAAGAAATGCCAAATTTACGAATTTTTACAAAACTTGCATTTTAAGCGAAACTACTAAGTGTATCTTTTTGGAAATTTGGCTATAAGCCTAATTTTTGATTCTCTACAACATTTCTATTGACACCAAAAAGGGTTTCTTTTGAAGAAAGTGCTCAAACTGGGACAACTCCAGTCCTCCATTTTTGAGTCTCACACTTGTCTCACACACAAACCAAAATCCCACGCAGAAAGAGAAATCCGCAAATTGGCTGTAAAATGGGCAGAAGTCGTCAATAATAATGGAAATTATTTGGAATGAATTTATGGTTTTATGTTGAATAAATTTTAGTTCAAAGTCCCGCAGTTTTCAATTCACCAACCCAATATTTTGAAGTTCTGTTTAAAATATCAAAGTTATGACTAAGAATCTTGTACCTGTGCCACTTCTCCATCTGATCCCAATCCGGAGAGTTTCCTCGAGAGTGTAAGCGCTTCCAACTTCTTACCTAAAGCTTTTTATTTGAAATTTTTTCAAACAAATATTACGAAACACTATAACTCATTGGCGCCAGTTTTTCAGGGTTGATATGAAAGTGTAAGTTTGCACGTGTTTTTCACCATTCATTTCTTTTCCATCTTTTCTTTGTTGACAAGTGTTTTGACTGTATTTGTCGTCGAAAATGAATCATGAACACTCTTTTGATTCGAAAATTCCCCGTCTTTACATACAAATGTCTTGGATCATGCCGAAAAATTGGGTAAATGAATCAAGGGAAAGTTTTCTTAAGAAACTTTTTAAAGGTCAATGTTTACTGACATTGATTAGTTACTTAAACTTGATTTGAGTCATTGATCCTTAACTTTAAACTGTTCTAATGTTAAAATGTATCAATAAGTCAAATACTAAAGTAAAGTCATCAATTTTCATGATTATATGAGTCATTTTGTTGCAAATCTATGAAATCCAACTTTTTGCTATTTTGAGTCCATAGATTTGCAACAAAATGACTCATACAATCATGAAAATTGATGACTTTACTTTAGTATTTGGCTGTTTTTTTAGATTTGAAACAGTTGTAGGAAAGTTTATCATAGTTTATCATTCAGAAAAGTATCTCAATTTTTGTGATAGAACTTAAAGATTTCAAACTAATCTACCGTAAATACTGTAATAGTACCCCACCCCCATAATGACGGTGCGGAGAGTTGCGTAGTCTAGCTTTGAACGAGTTTTTCTCGAGACTGGTTTATGCTACAATGCGCGCTTAGGTATCAAGAATAGCCCTGAATTTCAGCTTTCATTTAATATTTAAACGAACACTGTAGCATAAACGGGTGGCGAGAAAAATGCGTTTAAAGCTAGACTACGCGATGCTCCGACCGTCTCTATCGGGGGGAGGGGCTACTATTAAAGGTATTACGATATGCTTTTCCTAGTTTAGCTTAACCTTTATCTACTATGATTCAATTTAGAACTATAATTTAAACATACCGTAAATACTGTAATAGTACCCCATCCCCATAATGACGGTGAGGAGAGTTGCGTAGTCTAGCTTTGAACGAGTTTTTCTCGAGACTGGTTTATGCTACAATGCGCGCTTAGGTATCAAAAAATAGCCCTGAATTTCAGCTATTTTTTGATACCAAAGACGCATTTTTTGAAAGTACGGGTGCTTTGCAAAAAATGAAATACTAAAAAAACATTTGCGACTACACGACTGTACGAGGGGAGTGGGGGTACTATTACAGTATTTACGGTAGGTATTGATTACAGCTTTTAGATCAACTGTATAAAACTACAGTATATAAACCCTATAAGAGCTATTCAACAAGTACGAAAGAACTTTCAAAAGAACGCAAAAGAGCCCTTTCCGGAAACGCGGCTGTCTGTTTCCATCGAAAGATTCTACCCCAAGTCCCCTAGTTGAATCAGAAACTCAGCTCCATTCCTCTTTTCCTTGTGTGCAGGGTGTTCGCTTTCCAATCAATTGCCCGATCGGTCCCTGAATCTGTTCCCTTTCCCCTTTCCCCTTCCTCCCCTCCAGTCCTTTCCCCTTTTTTCTCCCCCGTTTTTCACCATACCCTGTCCGATTCCCACCCGACTAGAGCTAAATAAAAATTTTTGCGCTCTCCCTCTTTTTTTTTTTTTTTGGGAAAGTGTACTGTAATCGAGCTGTCTATCACATTTTTCTATTCTAAAGATAGAACAAATTACAGAAAATCGACTCTTTTTGGGTCTAAAGATAGACCAAAATCTTGAAGATCTTGAAATTCTCTAAAGATTCTTTAAAGATCCTGAAATCTTGTACCTTGCTTGATCAGCTCTAAGACTTGATGTCGGACGAGGTCAAAGATGAGGCGTTTTTCTTGAGGAGCGTTCAGCTCGATGTAGTTGATCGCCGGGATCGTGTTGTGCTGTCTGAAAAGAAGATTTTGAGCGATTTGAATCCTTAAACCAAGAATAGCTCAAAGCTCTTTCAATTCAAAAATCACTTTCCCAGTTTACCTAAAACTCTCGATCACTTTCCCCACAGTATCCTTGATGGCTGTATACTCGTCCAATCGTCCGTGCAAGTTGCATTCCTGAAATTTCGAGTCTCCAGGCACACTTCTCTAATCTTTTCTCTTCCATAATTGGCTGATCCGTTTTGTCTACAAGAACGAGATAGGACCTTGATTGAAAGAAAGAGGTAGTTGCCTTCCCCTCACTAGTCCACAGCTCCACAGCTGACAGATCGAGGCGCTGGGAGACGAGATTGGGAGAAGCCCCTCATAGAGAGTTTACACGGAAAAGAAACAGACACAGACATTCCGACCCTTTTTTGCTGACTGTTGAGTGAAATCGATCGATCGGCCGAACGCTTATCGGTGCGGGGCGTGCACAACGGAGACTCTTTGGGGGAGAGTTTTGCGAGGAGAAAAGAAAGAAAAGAAGAGAGACCGAGGACTGACACTTGACCCCGACCATCTCTTTTTCTTTCTCTTTTCCCTCAAACTCGCGCGATCATAAATGCACACTGAGGGATAGAAAGATATTTAGGGGAACGGGATCGCCCTAGGGGCATCCAATTTGCTTGTTGACAAACCTCGACCGGGAAAGGCTAAAGATTGTCTTTATCCACTACAGCGCACACTTCTTTTGGGGTAAGAATTGAAAGAAACGGTAGTGAAAAGAGACAAACAGGTGTACGTGAGTTTTGAGAGGTTTTAGGAGTGAGTATGGGAAGTCTTGAACCAAATTCAAATTCAAAACGAAGCCAAGTCTTGTCTTGTGTGTCAAAATGTGTTTATTGATAACTGACAAACAGAAAGACTGATGTCTGATGCTAAAGTCTCTGAAAGATAAACTGTGCCCTATTTTACTGTAACTGGTTTTGCTGTAACTTTAGTACTAGTTCACTAAAGCCAAATGTTTTGAAAGCTTTAAAAGCCAATCTTTCCTATCGAAACAGTCAATAAAAGCCAAAGAATCAGTTCGAACTTGGCTTAGACTTTAAATAGGCCCCAAGGTTCGATGGGCGTCATGGCCGAGTGGCTAGGAGTCCTGTAACATAATCAAGGGTTCAATCCCACCGACTAGGCAGTTTTTTTCTTCTCTTCATTTAGGGGATACTTGTTTATTGTTTTACCACATTATTTGTGTGAATAAATGTATTTTTAAAGCTTTTTAAAGCTCATTTTTACCTGTACATAGGTTTCAGCAATCTCTGGATGACCAGTGCTCATCAAATAATTCACAATCAGATTCGATACATTTCTTGCGCATTTCGGATCGCTTTCAATATGCTTCTCGTTTTTGATTAAACCACCGGTGGATTCGCAAAAGTTTCTCCCAATATCTTTCCCAATTCGCGAGATCGACGAGTGAATGTTTCGATGGGTTTTCACGTACTTGTCCACCGTGTCATCAACCTGAAATTTGAAATGCAAATTTGTTTCAGTATTCTGGATTCAGAATGCTTTAAGAATTTCCCCCCATCTGCCTTTTTTTTCAACAATTCCAGATCACTTGTGAATTCTAAAGATCAATCCCAATCGTTCCCCCGACTCCTCTCTGTCATTTCGTCTATCAGTAACGTCAATCAGTGCCTTCAAATCATCGATGGGCAATTGAAAAGGGAAAAAAAAGGAAAAGACAAGTCCTTAGTCATAAATCATAGGCAAAATACCCCGATAGGATCTCTGAGAAAGAAGAAAGAAAGGCCTGTAGTGCCCTTTTTGTATAGATACCCGCACTCAATCCACTAGACTCTTTCTCTTTCTCTTTCTCTTCTCAACTCTTCCCCAAATGTCCTTGCTTCAACTTTGATCGCATTTTGTCCTAAAGAGGGTGCGAAGAGAAGAAATTAATTGAACCCACTTAGCTAAACCAAAAAAAAATTGGCATAAAAGGTGTGATTGGCTTGGCTTTGCTTTGCTTGGCTCGACTTGGGTTTAGTTTTTTACAGATGTTTGATTACAGCTCACTAGAAACCTTGAGTCAACTTAATTTCTTAGCTAGCTCAGGCTCAGGCTTAAACTTTAAAGCTTTAGTCCTACAAGTAAAAGCCAAAGTTATATAGGTCAATTACAGACAAACTCGTACACTAATCACTAACAAAAGAAGCATCCATTAATAGCTTACAATCAACTATATGCTTTGAATTTGATTACAGTGTACTGTGAAGTTATCTAGCAATCATTATGCTTGAAATCTTGAAGAGGTACGGTAAAACTATGCAGTTTTTTGAAAACCACAATCTCTACTGTAAGCAATAGCGTGCTGCTAATGATTTGCTCTATTCAGCTTGCAAGTTTTCATGTATGTGCTGGCTGTCTCTGTCTGTCTGTCGTTTGTCCCCCATCGATGCCTTCGATGTGTGTGTAGGAATGCGTTTAGCCACGAGTTCGGTCGTACGATTGGAAAAAGGAGAGAGGAGGGAAAGGGAAGAGAATCCGCCCGGACACAGCCCTCCCACTCCCCCTTCTCTCAGCCTATCCACAACCCCTTCCTTTCCCCCATCAAATATCGATTGACTGCCCCTCTCTTCTTCTTTCAAATCTCGACACCCAATAACTGATAAATCTATTTGAGGAGACTTATTGGATGAAGGGTTTTACTGATTAGATTTATAGTTGTGGCGTGTTGCAAAGAGAGTCTTCGGGCACGTCTGTTAGGCCGTTAGATGATTGATCGGTTTTTTTGGGGCATTGGACAGGCTATGCACACATTTTCTAACCACAAAAAGCTTTGTTTGCGGAAATTTTCTTATGAAATGGGATTGAATTGAATGAAAAATTGAATTTTCTTAAGCAATTTTCTTTGAAATGTTACAGAAATGCTCAAAGTTATTTTGACTCACTAGGAAACAAAAGGCTAACTCATTCAAGGCTTATAACCAAGTTTTTTTTAAAACCCTTCGTCTTATCCAAAGCTTTATTTGAGTGTGAAAGATTTTCTGTAAAATCTCACCTTTTTTATATGCTCAGTTAAGAGGATTTGCCCGCAAGTGGTCAATGAGCCGGATGGTGATGGATCATCGACCAAACCTTGGTACACTTGATCAAGCTGTGTGCGTGACTTCTTATACGCTGGGATCTCATCTCTCAACTCGTTCACCCGTTTCTCGAGAAACTCCAACGACTCCTGTACCATTTCGACAGCCTCCGGTCGATCTCTTTGTAAGTCTGTGACTAGAGGCATCTTTCTGGAAACAATTTTAAAATCATTGCTACTGGCAAAAAAAATCTCTTATCAAAAATGGAAAATGATCGAAAGGGATAACGGCGAGAAGCTTTCACAATGATCTCAGACACGAGTTTTCCTCTCAGACCATGGTGAAAACCGCCGGCCGTATCCTAGAGTTTGAAGGAAAAGGAAAAATTTGATAATACAACTTTAGAATTCAATTCTAAATAAGATTTTGATCTTAACAAAGCCAAACAAAGTTTAACACAAATCACGATAAATCTAACACTCTCAAAAATCAAACCGAATTCATTAGCAAAAGGAATACAGTGAGTAGTTTTCCTAGAGATTCGAATCCCGAATACGGTGGCTTTGGGAATGGAAGGGGAAATGGATGGGACGCCGGTACTCGAACAGTCAAACATAGAGAGGAAGGGGAAGGCCCCGAAGAGCAAATATTGAAGACACATTAGGCCAGAATAGAAGGAAGTGGGGGAATATGGAACGGGCAATGGATTGGAGAGAAGGAATAAGGCGGGCGTCCGCACTACACAGTGACTGAAAAGTGCTCGAGCCGACCTGGCCGTGGCCGCCGGGGGCGGAGCCTCAACTCCCCTCTTGTTCTCACTTTTTCTCTCTAGCCTTTCTCACTTGATCACTGACTCTAGCATCAGAGAAAATTGAGAGAAAATGGCTAGATTTTGAAGAGAAAGATTTTCTAGAGATCAGAGAAGAGAAAGCGAAATCAGTACAGAGACACTTTACACCACTCGCCTTTCTTTTTGTGATCTCTTTTTCCTAGACAGCGTCTATACAGTCGAATCTCATACAGAGGAAAGGACATCGTTTTGCTTTTTGAAGAGCTTCTTTTAGGGGAATATTGATGGGTTTAGAGGAGAAATATGAGGAAATAGTACGAAGGACGCTTGGCTGATGGCTCATGGGAGAATACCTGTCCAGAACTGGAGAACTGGATTGGTTTTGCTTTAGTTTTGTTTCTTTTTGATTTGTAGTTTTACAAAAGTCTCGAGTTTTAAAGCTTAGTCTTCAAAATTTTTGGATTCTTAGATTTAAAAGATTTAAAAGCATCTGATCTTCAAATGTTAGAGATTTAATTACTAAATCTAATAGTTTCCCCTCGAGGGTATGTTTTCCAATAATGTAAATAACTTTAAGACTTTCTATTTCTTAAAATTAATAGCTATTTAGCTAAAGGCTGTTGAGTTAAAAGATATTCAGCTATTCATAACAAACTTGAGCAGTTCTTGAACAAAAACCCATCGTTTTAATCAGTTTAAAAATTCTTGGCTTTTCATTAAAGCCGGGCTACTCATTGTTAGCTTTTTTGTGGAAAATTTGGCTTGAATTTATCTTAAGTAAAGTTCTAGACTATCTAGCTTTAAAATTTCTTTAGTTTTCCTGTGATACAGTCCGTTTTTCAAAAAAAAAATCAACGATTTAATAGTTTCCCTCGTCTTTTCTCTAAGAAATCGTATTCCAAATGCTGCATTTGACGCATAATCGTCTTCAAAATAGTCAATCCATGTATCGAATTGTTCCAAATCTGATTCACTTTGTCACCCGCCGTTTCGATATCGACCGGGCACAGTGGTGGTGTCATTTCATCGACAGACAGACAGAGTCAAAGCAAAAAGTGGCGGGGAAACAGCCGCCGATCACAATTCAGGTACAAAATCGATACACACAAATGATTGGGAAAGGAGAGATGGGTCCAAAAATATGCCTCTAAAGAGGCGACACACACAAAAGCCGATCGGCGGTGTGTATGTATCTTTTTTTTGCATCTCAGTTGTTGCAGTGGCACACATCGGGGGAAAAGAGATCAGCAGAGAAGTGATTGTGTTTGTAAAGCGGCCTTTTTTTTCCTATTGCTTCAACCGACAACCGGGTGCCTGTGAGGGAAAAGAAAGGAGCGAATGCTGTACGAGTCCCCTCCGGTGTCGATTGACGGGAAATGTGGAGGGAATTGATTTCCATGCCACTTTTATCGGTTTCTCGGATTTTTAGCACGATTTAGCTTTACATTTAAAGCTAGGCTACTAATTGTTAGCTTTTGTATACGGTTTTTTATATGATTAGCTTTTCAAATGTAGGGAGGGGTTGATCAAAAGCTTTACAAATGTAGAGAGAACATCTTTAGATCTAAGATCCGTTCAAAATTGCTTAAACTTATTGTTTTCACTAAAAAGACATTCAAAAATACTAATACTTTGCCTGAGAGCTTGGATTTAGAAGACAATCTTCTGGGATTGACCAAAAACGGTTCAAAGCTGACACTGGGTTTTCTGGAAAGGATACCAGAAGGTCAATAATCTTTTAAAGCTTGGAAAACTATTAAACTTTAAACTTTAAACTTTAATTTTTAACTGAAAACTTTAAAATCTATTTTTGGTTAAGTGCAAAGATGTAGAACTTACTGCTAAAGATTAAAAATGAAGAAAAACTTTGTTTGTTGGGATTAAAGAGGCTAGAGATGTGTTCAATGGCCAATAAACTACGGAAAATTTTCAGAATTCTTAGAATTTGCGTCTAACTATCAAATTTCTAATGAAATTAGCTTGTTTTAGTCAGCTAATGTGTTTGTTTTAGTCAGCCAATAATCTCGTAGACTACGTTATTGTTCCTTAATCCACTCTAATTTCAAAATCTTTCATAAAAGACATTGTACTGTCTGGCCGAAATGAAACAATCAATGGAGAGGGGCATTTATTTGATCAGGAGCCTCTATTCATAGCAATGGCTTCAGTGAGAATTGGGGGAAAAGAGATAACATACTAGCGGGAATACAAAAATTTCCCAAATGACATTGATTGACGTATAAATGGGAGATTCACTTCAATAATGAGACCGTTTACTGCTTTGATACAGTTTCTCATTCAAGTTTTATGAAATTTGAAAGATAATTAAAACCAATTCTCATTGTTATCGGTTGATGTGGTAAATTTGAAAACTGCGCTCCTCTTCTCTAACAATAAGATAAGCTAATAAGTTTCCGAGTTCCGCTAAAAGTTTAAACCAAGTAAACACGACTTTCAATTGATTGACTCAACAAAAAGCTTCAATCGATTAATGAATAGCTTCAATCGATTCACCGTCTCCGAAAACCCCACGGATACAAATTTACAGCTGAATATCTTCTTTTTTGGCGATTTACAAAGCAAAGGAAAATCATATAAATGACTGGCAAGATGTTCTTTGTGCAGCAATCGCTCAGCAAGCACAATCACTCGTGATTTGGCATACGCCACCAATAGATAGTGTTCTCTTTCTCGAAATTCGAAAAGAGCGACTAGCCGGCTTCACTCCCCTTGGCCAAGTTCCCTGGATCCATTCCCGCCCTTTGATTGTATTTTGCTGCTAATTTCACATGCCGCAAGCAAAACTACAACCAAAACTAGCTGAGACAAGTCTGAAACCGGTCAGAGAAGAGGACTTGATCCTGTATCCCCTCGGTCCCAATGTAGCATCCTTCACCCATTGAAAAGTTCACAAACGAGAAGCTTTCTAAATCAATAGAATCTGTATAAAGTCTAATAGATCCGATTTGACTAGATTACCAATTCCAAAGCTCAAAGTAGACTTGCGTTCTGGCTCATAGTCAGTTCAATGTTTTGATTCAATAGCAAACTGAGCTTTCCTAAGCCACTAGATCTCATTGAATTCAATCAATTTTTTGGGAATCAATTGTTGTCCCTTTCTCCAGTTCATTCTACCAAACAACTCGAATCACCTCCTTTCTGACCACACCCCAACGTTTGTCAAAGAAGGGAATGAAAATCGAGGATAGAGAATGGAAATTCGATGAAAAAGAGTCCAGTCTATCAATCCTCTCCATTCTCTCACATTACAAGCCTGCAAAATTGGAAATAATGTCTCTGTGCTTTCACCCGATCCCTTTCATAGCTTCTTCATTTTCTCTATCAATCCCCCCTTGTCACCATTTCCCCCAATCCAATTCCCCAATTTGTTCTGTTATCAGATACGGCCTCCGATACGGTCTCCTTTTCTCTTTTCTTTTCTTTTCGCTCACATTGATTCCACGCCACACCACCCACCCACAAAATTTTTCGGGTTTGAGAGAGTCCTTTACGATTTCAACGGCCTCCAATTTTCTCGACACTTTGAAAAAAAAGGGGTTTAATTTGACAATCGACAATGGAAAGGTTTATAGCATGCATCACAGATGCGCAACACAAAGCTATTGGAACAAAAGCTTGTGAAAACGAATGAATGACAAAATCTGAAGCAAAACCAAAGTTAAACATGGTTATGAAACCTTGATATAAGCCTTGATATAGACCTACAATGGCTTATTGATTTGTATTGATGGAAAAATTAATAGAAAAATCCTGAGAATTGACAAGTTGACATTGACATTGACATTGACAGGTTAACCAGTTACAGCTGAAGATTGGTAACGGAAAAGAACGTCTGATTAATTTAAACACTCAATTAAGTTTAAAACAAAACTCAAAAGACAGAAAACTACAGAAAACAGAAAACAATACATACAAAAACTATTTTTTAGACGTATTAAAGTGATGGGATTATGGTTCTTAAGCTAATTTGGGCTCAAATAGTTAAACTTTATAGAAAACTCTAGCTTTCTGCTACATTACCCTGTAGCACTCTAGCTTTCTGCTACATCAAAAACAGTGCAAGTGTGCTACTTATAGATAAATGACATAAGAGCGCGCGAAAAACACAATTATTGAGCTTGACATAAACCTGAACTTGAAGCCTGACCTACTAGCAATCTCCCTTCATTTCCTCTAAAGTTACCAATTCAATTGGTGTCCTCAGGCAAATGACCTTTCCTCTTATCTTTTTCATTACTGTACTACAGTCATCATCTTCATCATCGAAAAGAAATGATATTGAGTTGGAAGAAATTATCATGTCAGCGGATCCGATTTGTGTAGAGGAAAGAGTGAAAAAGATAGCGAGGGTCACTCTCCAACAGGCTCAAGGCCAACCACATCTATCATCTAGCC